GTGTGTTAACACACAATTTAAGTATTAATTTTGTGAAAAAAATCCTAATTTAGCCGACTTTTGATGATTAGTTAATAAGGTAGCATATTTAGAAGAGTACCTTTAACACCAGTCTTTAATCTATTATTGCATATATATCCTCCAAAATTTGTAATACGCTTTTGTTTTAATAAAAAAAAATAAAACAAATTATATGTAAATTGCTGACAGTTTTGTTCCAATTTATGGCAAAATTACTGTTTGAATGCATATTAATGTAATACCAGTCACCGCGGAAAGTGCTATGGTTTTAATATCCAATGACACTTAGAAATGACTTTAGCACTAACAATAACACTATAAGAATTTATAAACATTTGTCCGTAATAGGATAGTCAAGTTAAACATTGAAGCCATGACTATAAATATTAAATATTGGACACACTATCCAACAGTAGAGATTGTTGAATAATTTAAATTGGACTATTTATTCATGACCATAGATTTAGTAATAAACTACATTAATAAAAAAGTATGCCTTGACAAAAAACAAAAGAATACTAAGTTACCTTTGATGTTTAATTAGTTAACAGATTGAGAAACAAAAACCTAAGCAGTCTATTAAAAAAAAAAACTTACTTATGACCAGTAGACAGGTTTGGTGCTTAGGTAATTGAAAGACTAAGTTTGATAACTTGATGTATTTTATAGTGTAAATAAAAAACTGTAACAATAAACTAAAAGAATATAAAAACCAGTTCATGTGGATTCCAAAAATTACAATAATAAAGTAGTTAGATAATACAGTCATACCCCTACCTCAAATTGTAGATACAAATAGAACTTTAGTAATATGTTTACAATTTTCTTTAATGATTTATAATATGTGAAAATAACAGAACTATGAATAATAATTGTATTCTGACAAATTCTAACACTTTTTTTGTAACAGAAATTGATGCTAAGTTTTCACTGGATGAATTTTCACAAATTGACATCAGAAAGAACATATTGCGTTACTCAAAATTTCAAATTACTAAAAGTGAATAAAAAGGAAATTATGTTAAATATCAAAGACAAAAGTTTGCATGTGGAAACCTAGGACAAAATAAACAGGGTAAGTAAGATGCACCTTTATAAAGGTACACAATTCAAGGACCAAATGCAATCACTGAAAATTCAACATGAGCCTTATGATGACATCAGCTGTGAATACTATAAACAATTCTTTAATACTGAGAAGAGACTTAATACACAGGCATTTTTAATTTGGCAACCACACAAAAAATTATCTATGACAACATACATTCACCAATTAACAATTCTACAAAGTTTTGACTAATCAAAAGCGCAACACTTTGTAACCCTTAAAAATATCTTTTAACCTCTTATTATATCAATAATACAGTAACTTAAGATGATATTTCAAACAAACCAAAAAAGTACTTTCCTACGTACCTCTAGACCAACAATTTTATACAGAAACCAATCTATAAAACAAAATCAACTAAGTGAACAAAACTTATGACAAACAAATCGAAAATTTCGATAAGTAGGTACCATGTACCTGAATACTTGCAAACTACAATTAATCACCAAATAAATTTGTTTTGCTTGAGTTCAACGATTATGTATTATCTATGATCAAAACAAATAATCTATCTGTCTGAACAAGAGGAAAATTTTAAAATGGAAATTACTTAGCAAAACAAACAACCAGCTGAACGAAAGAAAATCCAATTTGAAATGAACGAGCAACACAGACTTAGTAGGTATCGAGCAAACAAAAGCAATGTCAGTATAGTGCAGTGCACGGAATATTCTAAGTAGTATTATTCATTCAATTGATAATTCAATTAATAAAACTACTCATTACAATCTTGTATCCTGTTTATGTTTATTTATTTATTTCTGCATAAATATGGAATGTACAAGATGTTAAAATTTATTTTCTAGTTAACATACATATTTACGAGAAACTGGCATGTAGAAGGAATTACAATAATAATCAATCATCAAATATCAAATAAATCAATTGAATTACATCAACATAAAAGTAAGATTTAATAAAAAGTCATATATACAAAACAATAATAATTAATTAATTATTAATTATTCATAATTTTAAGTTATTTTGTCAAAATTTATATTTATAGTATTCCTATAAGCTATAAAAACATTTCGCCATAAGCCAGTCTTTAAGCTCAAACTTAAATATACTAAGCCTTTCGTTTTCAGATTTTATTGGTAGCTTATTAAATATTTTGATTACTATAGAATAAGTGCTTTTTTTGGCACATTTCCGTTTTTATTCAAAAATAGCTGCAATTTATTTGGATATCTAGAGGTAAACTGGCAAGGAATATCATCATAACATATGAAAAAGTGCGGATTATTCCAAAAAAAGCACATATACAACAAGGTTTATAGAGATAATTGTAAACAAAATTTGAATTCAAACGTAATTTTAAAAAATTTAGAAAGAAAAAGTAAGAGCTGTCACCCGGATAGAGAAATGTACATATGGATTTTTAAAGAGTTTTCATTGAGAATATTTTTCATTTTAAATGCAAAATTAATAAAAAATTCTTGTTTAAATTATTCAATCTGTAATGTGTCTTATTGATACGCAAATTTTTTAAGTATCCGATGTTACCGAGTACTGTCTTGATATTTATAGATAACAGAATGGACTTCTGTATCTGCATTTCAAATGAAAATACAAAATAAAATCCTGTCAAAATATTTTATGGAAATGAACATATACTATTTGAGAATTTCGAATCTCACGGTATGAGTCATGCTATGAAGGGAATTCCCCATTTTATTGTAAGTTTACTTGTCTTGTAATAAATATTTTTCTTTAAATATCGGTATTTTTTTCTAAGAAAAATAGTGGATTTACAATCAAAGTATCGGAACAAAAGTATCAAACACAAAACATATCATTGTAAGTTTACTCGTCTTGTAATAAATATTTTTCTTGAAATATCCGTCATTTGTCTTCCAATTTTCATATGATTATATTAATGAGGAAGTATTAAAAAAAAAGAAAGCACTAAAAGCACCTCCACTAGATGGCGCCTCTAGCAAAAGTTCATTTTTGCAGGAAACGAATGGAACAAAGGTAGTCATTTCCGTTCCCTTTAACTAACATATTAAAAAACTGAAATTCGCATAATTCGAAACTTAGATATCAATACAAATATGAAAAAGTACAAAAATACAATATGAGTTGTTTATTGAGTATTAAAAATTATTTTTTTACAAAACGTGATTGACGTTATGTGACAAAAGACTTTTACAGATCTGTTACGAATCTGCGTTTGCGCCAATCTGAGTTTTGCCAGATTATCAGTATCATAATATTATTTATTTCATTCGCCGGGTCAGAAGAAGATTTTGTCTCATTTTTTATTATTAAACTATGATATTTCTGGTAATTATTAATTTATTGGATAAATACTTTCAATAAATTAAGCTACTCAATGTATTATAAAATTATTATTAACCTAACTGATTTAATTTGGCCGCAAAGGTTATATTTTCTCACTAGCAACTGGATAGTTAAAATATGGTGGTATGAAGTTCGCTGATATGAAGTATGAAATAAAATGTACTAGAAATTATTCAAATTATTTATTTAAATAATCAACAAAGTAAAAAGAGAATTAAATTGCCTTGGATAAGTAAAAGCGGATAGTTATAACTGTTTGCAACTCGTGCGACAAATTGACTCGATAACTCTACTGAGTAGAGACTAGAATAATTTTTTTCAAACGAGTAAGAATATAAAAAGTTCACTTGTATATCTCGAGTAAAAACTGGGCGCGAGTCGCATCACTAATCTCTAGTTTGTTGTGTCATAGAGATGCCCGGTGTTAAAAGAACATCAATGTTGAAATCGATGCCAACATCGTAGCTTAAACATCGATGTAAGCTAATATTGATATTTTTTTGCACAGATCGTCATCAATAAATAAAACAACTATAATATAAAACGACATTTTAAAAATTAAAATATTAGGGCATAGAAACACATTATATGTTCCAATACACATAAAGACGCCAATCCTCTTATGACAAAATGACTAATCGTCGTAGTATATTATAGAACAAGACAATGTTTCCACACGGACTTATAGATTTTGATCGATTACGTATGAGTTGTACACGATCAAATTTTAATTATGTATTCCTACCGACATCGTTGTTACGACGTTTATTTAATGCAACATTAATGTAAATTAAATTGATTAATTAGATCGAATTTTTAAAACCATGGCCATCGGGCATAGGGTTCGAAGTATCGGCTTCTGGTATCGATACCGAGTACTCATGTGGTATCGAAGGTCATGGTATCGATACCATAAAAGTATCACTCCCAAAGTATCGATACTACTCAGTATCGAGTATTTATCGACATCATTAAAGAAGGCTAATCCTAAAAAAAACATCTACCAGACGGACAGACAAACAAAAATTTGTAAAAGTGTATGAAAATTGTTACAAAATAATGTTTTGGAAACGTAAAAAAATTAAAAAAAAAATGTCTATAACGAAAATATAGTTTATTAAACAATCAAGCCTTTCCATTTCAAAGTAAATGGAAGAAGAGAAAAAAGAAAAAAAAAAACCCGATCGAATACTTCCATACATTTAAACAATTCAGTCATACATTATTTTTATGGCAGCCAAAAGGGTTAAAGTATAAAAATAAAAACCAAGGAGTAAAAGTATAAGATTTAAGTTGAAACGTCAAATGCAAACGCCTATAGTATATATTCTTTAGCAAGAATACTCGATACCAGCAATTTTGATGAGTACTTGCGAGTATTTACCTTTTTGTAGTATCGAGTACTTAGTATCGAGTTTCGCTTTTGAAAGTATCGATACCTACTCGGTATCGAAAGTAACGTTCAAACCCTAATCAGGCATCTCTATTGTGATAATGACAGTTGATTGTTGTGACTTTTTATATGGATATTTATTTCATTTTGTTTTAAAGTCAAACAAAGTCGAATTCATTTCGTATTTTGTGATTCCAAGGAACAGTCGCATCGTTATTTTGTCTACATTTGTGTTTACCGGACAAATTACATATCCTTCTTTATTAAAAAATGTCAGGCGACAGTGCGAAACCTATCCTTTTACCGCATCACGAACAGCAGTCGCTGTGTACAACCAGGTTACCTTACAGGCAAGGCCGAAAACTTACTGCAGTTAAAGTAAGTAAAACTAAATATGTTACTCAAAGGTATATGTAAAATTACCCTCATAAAGATTTTTATTCTTTTGTAAATGTGATTTTTTTCTCTTCATAATCTTGTTTTTCTCTGTTCAGTTAGAACAGAAAAGAAAGAAGAAAAGCATTGCCAATTCAGGTTCTGTTTGTTTAATTATACTTTTTGGTTTGTCTGTATCTAGTGAGTTTACCTTGACACAATTTTGATGTTTTCTGTCTTTGTGTACAAATTTTTGTTTATAATGAGGCATTTAGAAAAGCAGTTACTTTTTCATATTATCATATAGATTACTCTTAACAATGGTTAGATTAGATTAGTTTCCTAGGTTTTCCTCCATGCTCGGCCATATTATATTATAGGTTTGTGTGGAAAAAAACTAGATAAATGAAGCTCAGGATATGTAGTAATGGCATGTGATTGAGGAAGCCTATACACAACTATGGGTTAGGGAAGACTGATGAAGACTTACATAGACTCATGTTCATTTTAGAGTGTTTTAGGGTCAGCATTTCATTCATATTATTTTACAGTCTGTTTGAGTGTCTTAGAAACGTGTTCTTGATAGAAGGAACACAGAAACTTAATGAATTAATTAAATTTTATGTTTTTAACTTCCAGGTTTACACAGTGAATGACGAATCGAATCATCTGCTGATATTCGGTGTTCCCTCTCTAAATCTCCGTCAAGAAGCTAAAACAATGTTCCTTAAATTCGGTAAACTTCTCCAGTTCAGCATAACCAAAGAACATGCAGCTGAAGATTTCACCGAGACATACCATGCTGTTTATGAAAAAATACAATCTGCAAGACTTGCTAAGAAATTTACAGACACCAAAAACTTTTACGGTGGATGTTTACATGTTTGTTACGCACCAGAATTTGAGACCGTAGATGAAACGAGGAACAAATTGTTACAACGGCGACAAGATGTGCACTTTAGACTGAGGAATTTACAAAAGCAAAATGATGCAGAGAAAATAGAAAATCAAACTACAGCTGTTCAAGAAAATAGTGTTACTGAAACAAATGTGAAATTAAATATGGGTGAAATTAACAATATTCTAATAAATAATGAAGTTAAACGTAAAAGGAAAACTGAAAGTAGTGTCACTATCCAGAAAAAATTCAAACCGTGCTTTGTTCAAAACGACGTTAAGAGTACAAACTCTATGAATACAACTAAAATTACAATGGATAGTAAAAGTGAGAGTTCTCCTAGTTTTATTAGTAAAAATATAGAAATAGTTGATTGCACATCAACAAACATTGAAACCATAACAAATATTAATGAAAGTTTGAATTATAAAAACTTTGGTAATGAAATAGTGAGAAAAATTCCACAGAAACCTGTAAATAGAATTAAGTTTAGAATAAATAATTAAAACACTATTCCCAGTAGTTTTCTTTGTTAATTGTTTACTAAGTTTTCACAACTTCGCGCCGTGCAAATTATATCTTCATCTTCTATTAATTAATGGCATTGCCCTTGTGGAAATTAAGAGTAGTAACATACGTCTTTGATTTGTCTATCAGAAATTTAACTTCAACAAAATTCTAAATTTAACTTTGGCTTTCACTACCAACGTACAAAGCATTGTTTATAAAATATGTTGTTATCTGAGCGAACTATGTCACCCGTATATGATGTAGCTTCACGTATCTGAATGAATTTTCATAATAGAATTAGTAGGTTTTTCTGAAGATTACAATAAAACAAAGTTTATCTCATTATAATATTAGTATACAATAGATTTACTATGCATCTACCAATGCAGCTACCAATATTTATCTTAGAAAAAAAAAACTTGAAAAAATTATCCTAGCTCAGTCACTAATTTCCATTTGAAACCACGTTTCGCTGATCCAGGGAATACTGCTACAGCGGCAGTCTATATATACTATATACATCCGCTAGGCGGCGCTAGTCAAATTGTTGGTCAAACGACATACTGTTTATTTATTTATTTATTTATAACAAGGTACACCAACAGCAAAACACATACAACATTCACAACATCCAAAATAATTCACAAAAGGTTCAACTTCAATGCGCTCGCCAATTACAGGTATACACAGCATTTACCATAACAATACAATTATCAATAAAATAAAATAAAATCGAATCAAAGACACTTAACTGAACTACAGAAATTATATTTTATACAGAGTGTGAACTGACTGGCCGAAAGTAATTGTTTAGCTTAAGAAAACGAGGGTACGGTTATGTAAATTGCTGAGTCAAACGTAATTTGGATAAAAAATGGTGCGAAAATATAGATGTGAAACCGTCAAATGAAAATTCATTAAGAAATATCTCTACACAAGTTTAAACACAGATTTGATAGGAATAGGAATGGTGAGATTTTTGTTTTGTTCGATATCAGCTCAATAATTAGCGTTAATGCTTGTTATAACGAGGAATTATTTAAAAAAAATAGTTCCTGAAATCAAACTAGATGTCGCTACGGTACTTTCTTGATGTCTACATGACAACCCTTCCGGTTTTCTTCATGTATAAAAGTGAATTAATTTTCAAAACTCAATAAACAACTCATATTCTATTTGTACTACATTTTTGTATTTGTATTGATATCTAAGTTTCGAACTTGACAAATTTCAGTTTTTTAATATGGTCCTTAAAAGGAACGGAAATGACTCATCATCATCAGCCCTTTTACGTCCCCACTGCAGGCTCAGGCCTTCCTTATGGATGGTTAAGGAGGATGGGCCATGACCCTCCACGCTGGCCCAATGCGGATTGGAGGGTATTAACGACTGCAAATGTAGCCGGGACCAACGGCTTAACGTGCCTTCCGAAGCACGGAGTAGCTCGAGATAATATTTTTTTGGTCACCCATCCCGTGACGGACCCTTGCGAAAGTTGCTTAACGACTACGATCACGGGCCGCGGCGCTTATCCACTACGCCACCGAGCTACTGGTGGAAATGACTATCTTTGGTAAATTCGTGTCCTGCAAAAATCTATGCTAGTGCTGCCATCTAGTGAGGTGCTTTTTTTAATGCTTTCTTTTTTTAAGGACTTCCTCATTAAATAAAAATTCCAAGATAATGTTTACATTTTTTATTCATGACTCGATCCTTAAAAATTAGTTTCATTATAAATTAATTAATATTACTGTTATTCAGCTTGCTCAACTTCTTCGTCTGGTGGCATTTCTTCTTGTTCATCGAATTCACCGTCTTCTACGCCTACTTCCTGTAAATTATAGAACCAGTTATAAAGACAACTAACCAACCAAGCGACCCCACCTGGCCATCCTAGCCTTTAATGTGTATATGTGTAATGTATATTTTTTTTCTGATTTTGTCACCCCTTACTGTCGCCCCTGAGGCAACTGCCCACACTTGCAATATCCAAATAAACAGATCCCTTTAATATCCAAATAAGCTAGTATTTTATAACAAGAAAACTAAAGGTAGGTCTTAGTAGGATCTTTTATATTATTTTTCACTGTAATATTGAAGTAGCTTGATGGTGGAGTGGTTAATGTCAAGATGGGTGACCAAAACTTTACTATCTTTGGTCCCTACGTACTTCGGAAAGCATATTGTCCAGTTCTCTTTACTGCATCTGCAGTCGTTAATACCCACAAGAAGCAAACATGCCGCCCGTTTTACCTATTTGATTCCTGGTCGATAATGATTGAAGTCATAGTTTGTGGAAGTCATAGTGATGTGGCATTATCACATATAAGTATTAAGAAAAAATCCCGTTAAGTCCGCCAGTTAGATAACATAATTTTTAGTTCAGGGGTAACATAATTTTTAGTTCAGGGGTAACATAATTTTTAGTTCAGGGGTGACAAACCCAAATTTGCTGAGGGCCGTAATATTAGAAAAAAAAAATTAGAAAAGCATAACCAATTAAAGCTCTCGCTCGTCTAGAAACGCGGTAATCTTGAAATCACTTATAAATAGCGCGCATTTTTAAACTTCTGATAGGCAACTAATGTGATCTAAAAACTAAAAAAGCAAAGTTTTTTTAATTAAATATTGTGGTCGTGGTCCGGATGGCTGTATACCGGATAGGTATATAAGGCTCCGGGTCATTACAACTCGCTGGCTGTAAATTTGACTTTGACTGACTTATTTATAATAGGTAGGCATAAAAGTTGAAAGGTGAGTGACGTACGGATACGTCAAAAATGTTTATAAATGCTTAATTATATGGGTAGGTAATTGTCTGACCTCATACTGCTGGTATTCCGACACGAGATCGTTCATGTTACTCTCAGCTTCTGTAAACTCCATCTCATCCATACCCTCACCCGTGTACCAGTGGAGGAACGCCTGTGTACAATAAAGACAAAAAAAACTTTTTTATATTAAATGGCTGTACTGGAAAATATTTTTAACGAGAGATACTTGGGGCTGGTGAAATTTTAAAGCATTTTTCATTAAGAATATAATAAATTAGAAAAAAGTTTCGCCTTAATCAAGTTAAAAATATTTCTTTCGGCTGTTTAGGTGGAATGCCTGAATATTTATGAAAATACGCTCACCAGCAGCGAAAAGTAACAAGTGCTTGAAAAATTCGTCAGTCCTGTTAAGTTCTGATCAGCTCAATGGTTAGAGCAGTCCCCCTGAATGCAAAAGGTCGTGGGTTTGAGTCCATAACTAGGATCTTGGACTAGGAGTGGTATTTTTTTAAGCATTTAGAGATGCTCCGAATAGTGGTTCACTAAATAACCGTTTAACCTTTACCGAACCGGATATTAGGTCGAATTATTCGGCTTCATTGTTTTGACGCGTATACAGATATAAAACAAATGTTGATTTGAAATTCAGTTTCTTTATTTAAACATATTTTTTGACTTAAAATATGACATAAATCTTTTTCATGAAGGTCTTCCTTTTAGTTCCACCCCGGTATCTACGAGTATAGTTCCATCGTGTAGATAAGGAAACAGAAATACTTGAACCGAGTATATTCTGCACCAAAACCAAATAATTTGGCTGTATACAAATAATAAAAAGATAAATATTGTTAATGAAAGATGCTTAAAAATCCACCAGTCCCAGGTACCCCGAGATGGGATTCGAACCTATGACCTTTCGTAATCCGTACAACTGTTCTAACAACAGGATTGGAGAATTTTTCAAACACCTGTTTCTTTCAGCTAAAGTTCCTTCAAATTCGCCCGTATAGCGAAAGGTTTGAGAGATTTTTTTTAGCATTTTTCATCAAGAATATTTACCAGCATAGCATCATAAAAACAAAATTGATTATATTTGTATATTAAGGGAAAAAAATACCGAATACGCCGAATGCCGAAAACCAAAAGAATATTCGGCACATCTCTAGCGATTATAATATTGCAGCAATTTAAACCAACCTTCCGTCTGAACATAACTGTGAACTGTTCCGATATACGTTTGAATATCTCCTGTATCGCCGTGGAGTTGCCCACGAAGGTGGCCGCCATCTTTAATCCACGCGGTGGTACATCGCACACCGCCACTTTAACATTGTTCGGTATCCATTCCACGAAGTAGCTGCAACATAATAAATTTATAAAATGAAATCAAGGCCAATTGCAAGTATATTTGTTTATTTTATAGTGTTTATTGTTGAAAAGGCAACAGAAAGACATCATCTGTGAAAATTTCAACAGTCTAACTGTCACGGCTCTTGATATACAGCCTGGTAACAGACAGACAGCGGAGTTTTAGTAATGGGGTCCCCATTTTACCGTTTGGGTATGGAACACTAAAAATACACTCGAGAGAGTTTCATGATTAATGGTATAGTTTGCATTTTTGTGAGGAAGAGACGGGTGAATGAGTATTTAATTATCATCATCAGCCTTTCTACATCCCAGGGTTCAGCAGGGCTATTGCGTAACTTTGTTGGACAACTAATTTTGATAGCCACTGACAAAGTTGACATCAAATATCTGTCAAACTTCGAATTTGTTATTGGCTAACTTGAGTGTCCATCAAAGATGACGTCACGGGACCGTTGTACACCGTAAATTATTTTGACAAGCGTTGCCGTATCGATAGTCTTAAATTGGTATTGTGTAAGCAAAGTGGCTATCAAATATACTACAAAGTGCTAATCATTTAAGTTCTCAACAAAGCCGTGAAAGGAACGGCTATGGAGCAGTGTTTTATCAATTTCTACTGTTGAGCACTATTACCCGACTGCGTTGAATAGACAGAGCTGAGATAGAAATCGTTTTAATTTAGGTTTTACTGAAATTCGCGAGATAATATCTGTGTTTATTCAACAAGTTTCTTTGTTTGTATTGCGTTATGTTAAATAAACAATTCTTATTTCGGTTTTATTGTTCAAAATACTATTGCTCTCGAAAGAAGTTTCTTTGGTTTTGATTGCGTTAAATAAAGCTAATGTTGAAAACAGTTATAATTTTGTATTCACTGGACTTTTCAAGATAATATTGTTTGATTTACGGAGTTTCTTTGTATGCAATCCGACAAAATACCAATCTATTGATTATGGCGAGGCCTTATTTAATGGAATTTGCTGAGGAAGAAAGAAAGAGAAATCTGTTAAGAATAGAGAGGCGTCGATGTCGCGATATGAGTGACCCTTTGCAGTTGCCTGAAAATGAGTTTATTGCTCATTTCCGTCTTAACAAAGATGGATATCAGCGGCTTCTAATGGATATCACACCACATTTACCAGTATCCCGACGAAGAACAGCTGTGCGCAATGATATCAAGGTTGGAATATGCCTATTATTTTGAAAGATATGTTTAAAATGTTATCTTTGGATCTAGGTTCTCTATTTCTTTGCAGATCCTTGCAGCATTAAACTTTTATGCTAATGGATCATATCAGCGGAATGTTGGTGCCTCATTCTTGTGCAATATGTCTCAACCAACCTTCAGCAAGTGCTTACATGAAGTTACTGATGCACTGAATGTTCGGGAAATATTATTGAAATATATAAAATTTCCCTCTTCCCAGAATGAGAGAGAAATAATTATGAGAGAGTAGGTATATTGATTAAAATGATTATAATATTTTATTATTGAACATACAATTTAAAATTAACTTTTTTTAGCTATATGGAAAAATTTGGATTTCCGGGTATAATTGGATGTATTGATGGCACTCATGTAGCTATAATCCGACCCATAGAACATGAAGAAACATATTTTAATAGAAAAAATTACCATTCACTAAATGTTTTAATAGTAAGTAATATAATGTATCTAATTTGTTTAAGTATGCTAGTGATGATGATGTTGTGAAATAAAAAGTTTGATATATATTTCAGATATGTGATGCTAAATTGAACATATTGCATGTCGATGCTTCCTTTGGTGGTGCTTCTCATGATTCCTATGTATGGAATCAATGCCCAATTAAAACATATGTGGAAGAGCTAACAAACAATAGAGAACATTGTTGGTTACTTGGTATGTATTCTAATGAAAATATCTTGACTAAACAATTGATATTTACAAAAAAAGCTGAAGTAGGAAAAAGAATATCTATATATTATATTATTATTGTAACAAATATTGTTTTGCAGGAGATTCGGGTTATGCTCAACGTCCTTGGATGATGACACCTATCTTAGGTGCAGCTTCGGGGTCTCCTGAAGAATACTACACAAATCTACACTGCCGTGTCAGAAACACAGTGGAGCGTTGCATTGGTGTACTAAAAGCACGTTGGAGGTGTCTTTTAGCTCACAGGGTACTTCATTATGATCCAGTTACTGCTGGAAAAATAGTTAATGCATGTGTTGTTCTACACAATATTGCGATTGCACAAAGTGTTCCGATGCCTGATTTGCTAGATGAGAATATTAACCGTGACCAAGAGAACCAAATCAGTAGTGTGGCAGCTAGAGTTGACACACTAACCGATACCTCTAGAGATGTTCTCGTTACCAGATTATGGCAGGCAAGAACATGATTGATAGTAAATTTATAGTCCTGCATGCTGTTGATTATAACAATTTAAAGAAAGGCGGAGGCCAATTTGAGTTTACTCTTAAAAAAATTATCAGATTATGGCCTAGGTATTTGTAAAACTATTATTAATAGTTTAAAGGAATTTTAGACACAACTGCATGTTTTTTCTTCGAGAGAATGCCTATTTTGAATAATTGATATAAAATCAGGTTTATAATTAAACTCAGAAATTTTTGGTATTAGTAGTATATTGTGGTAAACCCATTTTTATAATAATTTATTAAAATAGAGATACATATCTTCATATCATGGCTCAAGAGCCTGTCTGAGTTTGTTTCGCCAGTTCTTCTCAGACAGGTTCCAACTTGGAACTGGTGGTAAATTATTCTAGTTAGGGCAAAAATAATATTTTTAAATCAACATAATTTGCTCATAGATTTAATAAAATCTTAAAAATAACTAACAATAACGAATTCTTAGCGAAATAAAATAAAATAGAAACAAAACAATAATAAAACCATGTACAAACCTATAAAGACTTTTATTTTTACCATCTAAGTTTGTTTACCTAAGTTATTAATGTTATTATCTTGTATCTGTATTTTTATTATTTTCTTCCACAGCCACCATTCTTTAAGTAACAATTACAATTAAAAGTTTATAATAAAATTAACAAATACAATGTTCACCTAATCCTATGAACTAAATTATGAAAATACAGATTTAATAAAATTAATTAGAGAAGGCTTATAACAACTAACTGTATAGTATAAAATTAAATATTACAATTTACATTTGATTCTATGAACTAAATAAAGAAGTAACAGAATTAATTAGAGAAGGTTTAAATATTGAAATTTCTTTCTCTAATTAATTCTATAAAAACTGTTAAAAGGATAACTATTGTCTCCATAGAAGCAGCACGACGCTCCTCTACTCTAGCTAGTCGCTCCTCAATGACAATACGGCTCTCCTCGATGGCAATGCGCCTTTCTTCCAATTCGTAAGCCCATCGAGGAACGCCTTCATGTCGACGAACTGTAATGCATAAGAATAATGTTTTATGAAATCTACTGAGACATTTCATTTCATTGGATTCCTACTTGTATAAATGACATATTTTACAAAATTTTCATTAAATAAATATAATTAAACTATAACATACTTTGCCTTTGTGCCCTGGGTCTTCTTATATTGTGTGGAACTTGAACAGCTGGAGCTGGAGCGGTACCTGAAAATTTAAATTATTTAAATAAACAAGTCAATCATAGCAAAACAAAGAAAATATCTAAAGGAATTATTATATATAATTAAATAATATTATATTAATATTATGTAAAAATTTATATCAAAATACATTGTACAATGTCAATTATTTATATGATGCATGTTGTCAAAATAAATGAATTCTATTATTATCTTCTCTGTAACTTCATGAAATTACTTTAACATTTATAATATTATTTATAATATTAGTAGTAAGACAAAGGAAAAGGAGGTAGGTACTTACTTTCTTCAGCTATTACTCTGCTAGTCTGCTCCGGAATCGGTTCAGAGTAGTGAGGTTCAGAATCAACTGGAGGCTCACCACATTGAACCAATTCTTGCTCCACTTCCTCGCTAGCTGTCCCACCCATTGCTTCATCTAACCATTCCACTTCCATTGCTGGTGATAAGACATCAGGAGATGGTTGTGGGGTAGTTGATGTACTTGGCAACTAAAATAAAAACAAATGTTTTTTACACATGTAAGTTTTTTGAAGACTTAGAATTATCACACCACCTAGGAAATCTAAAAAAGTTACTAACTTCAACGGGAATACGAACACCAGGCAGTCCTTCCACTGCTACAGGTCCTAAGAGGGCTAGCACCCTTTGATCGAAGTCACTCAGAGGAATAAGTTTGCTTCGCCCTCCACCTGTAGCCGATGCACTCCTCCTAACATCTGCGGCCTTGGCCTTAACCTTGGCTTTAAATTCTATCCAATACTGAAAAAAACAATAAAAAGTTAGTTTAACAATAATATTTATATCGAAAAACATTTTTATAAGTAGATCATATTTGGTTAGTATAAGGTACAATAAAAAAACTTATCAACTAGTGTTAGTAAGTAATAATTTAGCTAAACAAAACTTGAAGTTAAAAGTATTAGAAAGATCAATACTGAGAATGCACCTTTAAAATTATTTAAACATAAGGTTGATTTAAGAGTATATTTAAACAAATCTTTTTGAGTGGCTTCACCCTCTCAAGTGGATGAAACTATGCAGGGCGATAAAATATCCCTTTTTTAGACTTGAAACAGAAAATCATTGAAGGAATCTGCTATACAATATTAAGAAATATTAATTATAAACTTACTCTCCGCCATTGGTCAGGTGTTTTAGTAATCCCATCAGCCACTGCATTGAGTTGGAGCGCTATTGCTTCCCAAGCTTGCTTTGTAGCTTGGTTCGATAGCGGACCACCACAGAAGCGGCCCAATGCAATTTCCTGATGAGATTCCGCAAATTCTAGGAGGATTTCTAGCTGTCTTTGAGACAGTTTTCTCTTTGCCGGCATCTGAAATGTTAGGTACCAAATAAAGAAATGATCACTCAAGAAATATATTACAACATAATAAACAGTTACTAATATTAAACACTAAACTAGAGGTAATATTATTTCGTATCTATATAAAATAATGAAAGCGACAAATTTTCTCCAATGGAATATTCGTAAATCGTAATCTATTTTAAATGCATGCGAACAATAATATTAACACGAAAAAACAGTAACAATACTAGAAAATATATACTTACATTTACACAAAGCTTTACTTACATTTATTCCTTGACTATTAAATCTTTCAACAACACTAACTTAACACCTTTTAACTTGACGAAAGTCCAAGTTGATATGAATTTAGCGCCAAATATTTTAAACATTTTTGTTTTCAAGAGTCAAACAGGTAAATAACCCGTCTAAATAATAATAACTCCAATTCATATTAATGGATGTGCTTTGGACACGCAACTAAATTTCGGCGCATAACGTCGATAAAAAATAGAGGAGTCAAGAGGTTTGTCGAATGACACTTATAAGGCACCGTAAAGCACCGTTAGTTGATGTCCAACTACTATGATACGCAATACCAATGTTAGTGAGAAACTGGTTGCGATCAAATCGCAGTGTACAACGAATTGTCAGTTGCACACTTTGATGTCAAAGTTAGCCAATAGCCCTGCAGGTCTTCCGAATGGATGAATAAGGAGGATAGGCTATGACCACTACAGGCAGTGACCTTCCGAGCTGGCCCAATGCGGATTGGAAGGTTATAACGACTGCAAATGCAGCCAGGACCGACGGCTTAACGCGCCTTTAGACGGAAGAGCTCGAGATACCAAAAAAATTTGGTCACCCATCCCGTGACTGACCCTTGAAAAAGTTGCTTAACGACAACGACCGCGGACCGAGACGCTTATCCACTACGCCACTGACTTACTCCGTGTTACTTAGGAGTTTAATGAGGAAGTATTTAAAAAAAAAGAGAAAACACTAAAAAAGCACCTCCACTAGATGGCGACTCTAGCAAAAGTCGATTTCTGCTAGAGTCGCCATCTAGCGATTCTAGCAAAAACGAATGGACCAAAGACAGTCATTTCCATTCCTTTTAACTAACATATTAAAAAACCGAAATTTGCAATGTTTAGAACTTTCGATCAATACAAATACGAAAAAGTACAAATATAATATGAATTGTTTATTGAGTTTCGAGAATTAATTCACTTTTATACATGAAAGAAAACCGGAGTTCTCATGGAGAATTCAAGAAAGTACCGAAGCGACATCTAGTTTATTTGGAGAACTATTTTCTTATACTCCCACATTAACTTACCTTGAGTTCTTATCTTGCACGGTGAGCATTTGCTCGTCCACTTCCTTCATGGACATGCGGCCCCGGAATATCGCCGCCACAGTCAGGTAGCGGCCGTGGCGGGGGTCGCACGCCGCCATCATGTTCACGGGACTGAACATCTATCGTTTTAAACAAATATTAACTTTATCTTACTCATTCAACAAACATTATATAGTCTCGTAGTTTATATTACTTTTTTTTCTCTTTAAGAAAATAATCATGTACACTTTCCATACATTGATTGAGTTGTCACATGTTTTTTTATAAGGTCTCGTCTACCCATCATTAGTGATAAGCAGTGGTCGGAATTAGGTAGAGTTATTAATGTACTTACACTGATTTCATACAGCGAAAGAATAAAGTGGATATGCCTCAAATCCCGAGATTAATTTTAAAGAGCAGAAAAGATCCCGTGATTTTTTAAATAAAAAGTTATTTACTTTTATACAATTTAAACTACTGCACGGTCGACGTTGCCAAACTTACATCAATGACATCGGATGTCCAAAGTTGCAAAATTTGTATTGTAAATTTATGTAAACTAATAAAAATTTAAGTTAATTATCTTTGTTTTATTTGTCTATCTCTGACGTTGTTATTATTATTTAGTTGTAAGATTGTTGGCCACACGGGATTGTCCATTAGAAATCCGGGAAGGTCCACATTAATATCAACATTTCGATGCAAGTACATAAATAACTCTACCTAATTCCGACCTCTGGTGATAAGTTAAATTAGTTTTTGCTTTAAAATAGGATAATATACCTATAAGCATCTTTCCATTTGGAGGCTAAGGAGATTCTTAATTTGTAAATAATATTTTGAGGTTACATTTTGAAGATTTACTGATATGAAGTAAGAAATGAGCTACATTTTGAGATATATATCTAGACGCGTTAGTAAATTTTTAGTTCAAAATTAGATATGATTCTTTAAGCCACCGCCAGCCATATTTGATTTTATATACCTACGACAGGAAACAATTGGGTGACAATAAAAGGCGATAAAAAACTAACAAATGTAGCTAAAGCCTTAGGGTTTCCATATCACTTTTAGTCTAGCTGTCATTCGATTTCCGTGTTCGGTTGACAAACTAAAATATTGGTTTGCTAAACTACCCCAATGTGATTCGGACCAATGAAATTTTGCTACGTTTCGTTTCACCAACTAAGGAAAGATATTATTTCGTTATAAGGTAAAAAAGTACACATTAAAATAACATTATTTCCATATTTGATAATTAAACTATATAAAGCTTTTATTTTAATGCATTAATTTTTAAAGGAGCTTCGCAATTATCTTGAGTTTTGACAGCTCTTTTAACCTCAAAACATTGAGGCATAGATTATAAATCTTTTTTCTTTTTTAGAATTATTCTATTGTATATAAGTATGAACTAATTTAAATTATCAATAATGGTAGGTAGACGCGGACTTTAAAACAAAACATGTGACAGGTTTGTTTAAATCTCACCTGCTGTGTTAGTTCTGGTACAGTAAGAGCTCTATATCCTTGACTATTGCGTGCCGTTAATGGTGCGAATCCTGTAAAAAATTAATATTATTTTAATTATAAAAACATCTAATCAAATTTCTTGACTTTAAAGTTAAAATACTTTGAGAATCCGTGGTGGTGACACGACACATCAGCTTGTAATTTATTGTAATGTTTCATATTTTTTTTAGATTTCTTTATTAATAAAAGTAACTTAATTGGTGCAATAATAGTACATTACGATATAAGTACGTTATGTATGATGGTTATAACATGCGACGCGGAATTTCAGCCCGAGCCGAAGGCGAGGGCGTAATTGAGCCGAGCATGTTATAACCAATACGCACGTATATCGTACGACGTTTTTAACACATTTGCGAGGAAACAGAAAAAAAACATTAAATAAACTCAATCTGTGAATGTACACTGTTGCTTTCCCGCCATTTTAACAGCGCGCTAGCGCTGCCTACCGACAGGCGCCGCGCGGCGATTAGTTCGAAATTTGAATAGCAACAGCGCGCGAAATGGCAAATAATACTGTTATGGAATTTGTATGGACTATAACTTGACTATTTGCTTTGGTAACACACGCGTTTTTTATGACCCGCTTTACATATTTAAAACCGGTGGAATTACATCAGCTTTACGAGCAAAGGTGTTAAAAAAGTTAATTTAGTTGTTAATTTAGTTTACTTAAATGGGTATTAGCGTAGCCTAGAGAGTAGCTTGGTGGCGTAGTGGATAAGCGCCGCGGCCTGCGATCGTAGTCGTTAAGCAACTATCGCAAGGGTCGGTCACGGGATGGGTGACCAAAAAATGATTATCTCGAGCTACTCCGTGCTTCGGTAGGCACGTTAAGCCGTTGGTCCTGGCTGCATTTGCAGACGTTAATACCCTCAATTCCGCATTGTGCCAGCGTGGAGGGTCGTGGTCCATCCTCCTTAACCATCCATAAGGAAGGCCTGAGCCCCTGCAGTGGGGACGTAAAAGGGCTGGTGATGAAAAGAGTATTAGCATAATTTATTTAATATTATATTATATTATATAAATCATTGAAATGGATTACGACAGACTTTGAAATTAGACCACCGGTCATAAAATTCTTTTTACCTACAAGAAGCTACATCATACAATAACTTATGCCAAAGACATAAACCCAGTCGCACAAACGTCCATTAAAATTGACATTAGTTTAAAGCAACATGATCATTACAAATTTTCAAATTAATAACGTTCTTAAGAGCTTAAAGCAGCCATTAAATCTTAATGGACGCTTCTACAGCTGGCCGTAAACCAGCTAGTTAGATGTATAGTTACCGGGCATGAAGAAGTGCAATCTCGGGAAGGGCACCATATTGACGGCTAATTTGCGGAGGTCTGCATTCAGTTGTCCGGGGAATCGTAGGCACGTGGTTACACCGGACATAGTTAACTAACATAAAAACCATAGTGAAATGAGACAAGAGCATTATAAATGATTATAACCACTCGTTACATCCGGTTTCTAAATAGCGTATTTGATACAATTAAAAATAAGTTGCATATTATGATCAAAATATTATAGTTAATATAACTGAAAGAAGTTTCGTTAAACGCTGTAGTATACATTTAACTTACCGAAACCAAATGGTTTAGATCGCCATACGTGGGGGAAGACAGCCTCAGAGTCCTGAAGCATATGTCGTACAGCGCCTCGTTGTCAATACAGAATGTTTCGTCTGTATTCTCGACTAGCTGATGAACTGATAACGTTGCGTTGTAAGGTTCCACTACGGTGTCTGAAACCTAGAAAAAAAAAACAGTAATATTCGATACTATAGAAGTATCAAGAACATTTGGACGCGTGTTCAACTGTTTTATAATTATCTTATAACCCCATTAAGGCCGTAGTTTTATCACTGATTTGGTCTAAAAACATAAATGCTCTTTAATATTATAGAATTAAATCGCTTTTTTATCACTGTATAGTAACTAATGGCCTTATTTATAGAAAATAACGTTACTTGAGATACTTCGTCTTGGTAACGTGCTAGTGGCGGACTAAGGGGGGGAGGGAGCGATCCGTCTCGGGTCTCCGGAACTGGGGGGCTTTCAAATGGCTGCAGTATCCGCCAAAATCATAATAATATAATAAAGTTTTTAATTGTGTGTGCGCGAGAGGGTAATCGCAATATCAAGTTTCTTCTCGCGATTGGAAAAAGTTGTCGATCCGGACCTATTGTTGATCTGAACCTTTTGTCGCTCCGGGTCTATGATGACGTTAGTCCACCACTGCAAAATGCTAGTAGCCCTTTAACTACTAATCCGATTTTCATAAGATATATCTAAGAACCATCGCGTTGATCAAGGATTTCGTTAAAAAAAAGCACTCAAATCGCTTCATTTATTCAGGAGCTACGGTACCGACACACATTACAGGTCAAACATATGACACCCCTCTATTAGGGGGTTAAAAATAGGACGATGTGTAGTTGTTTATTTGCCTTAAACACGGTATAATTAAACATAATATGTATAAAGGTGTTAACTCGTGTATACGTGAGAAGCGAAATCAGAATTTTGTTAAATCTTCGGAAATTCGCAAGTCCCACTAGATCTGGATAGTTATAGCAGTCGAAAAGATTATATAAGGTCGTCGTCAAACCCCATCTTGGTCGCCCAGGACTGATGAATTTTTCGAGTTAAATACCTACTCTTTTTTCGTGTATTTATCTTTAAGATCTTACTTTTGGTGACGGCATGACGCTGAACGTGTTCACAATTCTGTCAGGATACTCTTCACGCAGCTTACTGAGTAGCAGCGTGCCCAGACCAGAACCAGTGCCGCCACCCAGCGAATGGGTCAACTGGAAACCTGTACACAACAACATCATCAGCCTATTAATGTTCTCAATGCTACGACACGAGTCTTCCCGGATTTAAGAGGCCAATATCAGGGGTTACTAGAATCATCATTATACAATACTTCTTTACAGATAAGAAAACACTGCAAAATATGGCAATATTAAAAATTCGGTTTCATGGGCAGGGGTAGAGGAAGGGCGCCATACGAAGTTTCTGCCCTGGTTAATAAGAATCGTGGATCCGGGCCCGAGTCGTCGTTATGTATAGACTCACACACAACGAGCTATATCAGTCAACACTTACTACTCATACGAACTGACATGATACCCGAATGAATATTCTATTTCTCCGAAAACGAAATATAGTCTAACTTCCAAATGTTAATTCGACTCCAAAGAATCGCATTTTGCAACGGAGGTAGGAGCTGCCACTGCCTCTGAAGCACAGATAATCTTCACGAATATGATTCTAACAAATAAGAACGATATACAATTATCCGAATTTTCGTTAAAGGACAAAAAGAACAGGCCCAAAGCACGCTTAGCATGACGAACTCGAGAAACGATTTGTCTACACCCAAATATCGTTTTCTCGGGTCGTGAGCGAGACATAAGAGAGCACCCGAGAAAAGTGACATTTGCATGTAGACAAAACATTTTCGGGGTCGTCATGCTACGTGTATTGGTGTCACGTTAATTCAAACGAGTTCTACATTTAAAATAACTAATATATAATATTGAATTTAATATCCTGAAACCTGGGGCATCCCCCCCCCCCCTCTATAATGTCTTAGCTCCTTCATAATGATCCATGGAAATCTATACTCAATGGCAGTGTTTTACATTGTAACGGGTTGTAACATTCCCACCTCTTGTACAACGAGACCTTAGGTTAAACTTTCCGTAATTTTCTTTAGTTGGTCTTTACATTAATACTTTGCTATAAAATTTAGTGGCTATAGGCAGTTAGCCGTGAGCACCCGTCTAGTTAGCACGCGTACCATCGTTTCTGTCTTTTCCATATATCAACAACATTTTACTCATAATAAACAATCTTTCTTTATTCGACGGAAATGAAGTGCGCGATCTGTGACTCAGGTTTTGAGGACGGAGTTCAGTGTGGAATATGCAAAAAATATTTAGACTTTGGCTGTGCTAACATTTCCGAGGCTGGATATAAGAAGTTGGGTGCTGATCGGAGGGCAGCTTGGAAGTGTCCACAATGCAAACAGTCGAGACTGTCACCAGCTCCAAGTAATGACCCATCTATTCTAGAAAACATACTCAGCGAATTGCGAGATGTGAAGAAGAAACTAGCCAGTCTTACTACCCTCATGGAGGAAGTCAAGTGCATAAAACAGGAGCTTTTTGGACTGAAGGAGTCATGCGAATTCAACGGTGACCAATTGGATAGACAGGCGGTTAAAATTTCCAATTTAGAACAGAAGATACCCGACATTCTAAAAATTGAATCTTCTATTGATGCGAAGACCAATGAAATTAATGCTCTTAAAAAAGACTTGGCACTTAGAGATCAGTGGAGCCGTCTAAACAATATCGAGGTGAAGGGTGTACCAATAAAGACCAATGAGAATCTTTTTTCTATTGTCGAGTCATTAACTAAAGAAGTGGGCTATAGCTTTCCTAAGTCACAAATAAATTATATTGCGAGAGTACCTATGCAAAATTCTAAAGAGAAATATATAGTAATAAATTTTCTTAACCGCTATATCAAGGAAGAGTTCATAGCAGCGGCACGGGCTAAGAAACATATAACTGCTGCCGATATTGGATTTGGAGTCAACTCACAACGAGTTTTTATCAATGACCATCTTGCTCCTGAATATAAAAATCTCCTCACCAAGGCTAAGCTTGCTGCCAGAGAAAAAGGGTATAGTTATGTGTGGGTTAAGTACTGTAAAATTCATGTGCGAAAAAATGATACTTCACGTGTTTTCATTATATCTACCGAGAGTGATTTAAACAAATTCGTTTAAGTTATTTTATAATCAACTTAGTAAAGTCACAATTGGTATTAATTCACATTTATTTAAAAATTATTGGTTTGCTTTTAATTTGCTTAATCGCGTACACTGAATGCTTAATTATAAATAAAAGGTTTGTAACCGCTTGTTTAGCTATTGTGATGACGCTTCGCTATTGTTCCAGACGACCCGTTCGAAACCGGTCCGTGCACTTATTGCGCCCGCTTTTTTTTCTATTCGCTTCGCTGTGTTGGTAGAATGAATTACTTATCTGCTAATGTCCTTGAACGCTTTATTTGCCTGTTTTGCTGTTACTCGACTTATTATTCCTACAATTTGCACATTTTTATGTTACTATGCATGGAATTTTTAGTGTTTCTTATATATAGATTAAAATTTTTAAATTATTTATTGTTTCTTACCAGTGATAGCAATAGTATACGCCATTGGGGGATTTATTTGACTGTAAATTATAGCTTATCAATGTCTTATTACATTATTATTTACTGCCGCGGAATATTATTAATTCACCACAATCTGCATACATCGTTAATAGGATGGAATTCTGTATATTTGCGACGCCTATTTATATATAAATTAATTGTTTTACATATCATTATTTACCGTTCATATGTATTGGAATTATTGTTTTACTTTTAATTAATGATGAATTTATGATTTATAATTTTACCGCATTATTTGTAATGCCATTGATTTGCTTTTATTTTTTCTTGCTATTTAAAGTGCTAATATATTTATGCTGCCTATTTAAATATAATTTAAATATTTTAATATCAGATTATTATTTATATATCATTAATTTTGGAATTCTAACTTTTTTGTTTTTAATTATATATTTAGGATTTAAGATCTTGCGCTGTGTTTATTATGCTATAACACTGTTTTATTCTTCCCGCTATATAAATGGCTAAGTCAAATAATAAACTTAAAGGTTATTACCAAAATGCCAGGGGTTTACGTACGAAATCATCGATATTTTTTCGTAATTTATGTAGCTGTGATTACGACATCGTTATAATTACTGAGACCTGGCTATTGGAAGGTTTTAAGGATACAGAGCTTTTTGATAACAGATATATTGTTTTCCGACGAGATCGTAACTATGCCGTGACTGGCCAGCTATATGGTGGGGGTGTGCTTATAGCTGTGCATAAGGATATGACGGTTATGTCTCAACCGGGATTCAACTCGAGTGCTGAAGATCTTTGGTTATCGTTAACACTGAGACTACGAAGTACTCAGCGCACCTTAAAATTACATATTTGTGTGCTTTATTTGTGTAACGAAAACGGAGGCTTTACATTTTCCCAACAACTGTCAAACTTTCTGGATAGCTTAAATGACGTGGTGATGAGACATCCGTATGATAAATATTTAATAACAGGAGATTTTAATTTAAGTAATATAAATTGGATAAAAAGAAGTGTTGATAGTTCTCACTACGAACCTTCAAATTTTAGTACTAGTGACGAGATTTTACTGGTCGATGAGATTAGTACTCTTGATTTAAAGCAATTTAATGGCATTAAAAATGCTTATGGGAGGACTTTGGACCTTTTACTATCTAATGATAATATCCAGGTAACAGATTGCAGTGACGATCCGCTTGTACCTATTGATTTACACCATGGCGCTTTGAATTTTGATATAGAATTTGCTAATTTTGTCCCCTTAAATGATGCCCCTCGCATCAAATATCTTTTTAATAAAGGCGATTATAATACAATTAATTCAGAAATAACTAAAATAGACTGGCATTATGAATTAACATCTAAACCGCTAGAAGCGGCAATAGAGTATTTTTACAATACATACATAACATTAAGAGACCAATATATACCACGCCAAACTGTTATTACCGACAACTACCCTAAATGGTACTCACCGGCTTTAAAAAGGGCTATTAGAGAAAAAAACAAATATTTGAAGAAATTTAAAATTTATGGCAACCGTACGGATGAACAATCTTTTAGAATTCTAAGGGAGCGATGTAAAAGATTGGAAAAAATATGCTATAGTCAGTATATAAGCTCAATAGAAAATTCACTGAGGGATAATCCAAAAACATTTTGGTCGTTTATTAAATCTAAATCAAATATTAATGAATTACCCAACAATATGAACCATGATAGCTTTGTATTTAATACTGGACAGTCAATTTGCAATGCTTTTTCTCAATTTTTTCATTCTAATTTCTTGCCGGCTCCAACATCTGTAAACAATTTAAGTTTGGCCTATTCGCCTCCTACTATTACCAATATTACCAAAATCATAATCGATATAAACGAACTGACCAGACTTCTCTCAAGGCTGGATCCATCAAAATCTGCTGGTCCAGATTTAGTGCCAGCTGTCTTCCTCATAAACTGTTCTAAAACGATTGCCATTCCTATTTCTATTCTTTTTAAGAGGTCATTGACAGAGGGCATTGTTCCAAGTGTATGGAAGCAAGCTTATATTACACCAGTGCACAAAAAAGGGTCTAGATCGAACATTGCAAACTACCGCCCAATTTCTAAGCTCTCTATCATTTCTAAGGTATTGGAAAAAATTATTTACGAGCAACTTTACTCTGCATTAAAACAATCATTCAGCCCAACACAGCATGGTTTCCTTAGGGGTCGTTCAGTCGTGTCCAATTTAGTCTTGCTAAATGAGTCGCTTACATTTGCTATGGATAGTGGCTTTCAAGTCGATGTAATCTACACTGATTACAGTAAGGCCTTCGACCGGATTCGGCATGATATGCTTTTGCACAAGCTTCTATTGATTGGCGTGGATGGCGACTTACTGCGCTGGTTATCGTCATATATAAATAATCGCTCACAGGCGGTTGTGGTGAAGAATTATATATCTAGTTGGCTTACAGTTCCAAGTGGAGTTCCCCAGGGCTCACTGCTTGCGCCACTCCTATTCGCAGTGTTCGTGAATGATATTGAGCACTGTTTTAAATTTTCACAGCTCTTATGTTTCGCGGACGATATGAAAATATTGGCTCCTATCTCGTCATCAGAAGACGCTCTCCTATTACAAGACGATCTAGTGAGACTTGACAACTATTGTTCCGACAATTGTTTAGATCTAAATGTAGCCAAATGTAATGTTGTCACTTACAGCAGGAAGCGGAATCTGGTATTATATGACTATGTGGTGAAAAATTTAAGTTTGAAACGGGATGTGGTCGTTAGAGACCTAGGCGTTTTCCACGATCATAAGTTGATTTTTGATAGCCATATCGACAATATTATTTCAAAAGCATCCAGGGCTCTTGGATTTGTGATGCGTAACTCCAAAGACTTCACACAGGCTAAAACCCTAAAAATTCTTTATTGCACATTCGTCCGTAGTCACCTGGAGTACGCTTCGCAGGTCTGGAACCCTGGATACCAGACTTACATATCGCGATTAGAGAAAATACAAATAAGATTTATAAAATATCTTTGCTTTCGTACGAAACAAAGCTATAATTCGAATCGTTATGAGGAAATTTGTAAGAAACATCACTTGCTCCCTTTAGAAAATCGACGTGACATCTCTGATCTGGCTTTTCTCATCAAAATTGCTTGTGGTGCTGTCGATTGTCCTGAACTCCTGTCAAAGATCGCTCTTAGGGCCCCACAAAAACAACTCAGGTTCAATCCTTTATTATATTTACCCCCAGCTTCTTCAAAATTTCGGCAGAATTCCTTTCTGTGGCGTGCGTGCAATAGATTTAATGAGTTATCGAAGCGAATAAACGTCGACCTTTTTAACACTAGCGAAGCGTCAATTAGGCGCATTATAAGTAACCTATTTTTCGAAAGTCCATAGTGTTGTAGATTTAAGTATAATGTAAGCAGCATAGTCTATCATTGTTATGATTGTAAGCGGTCTTTCTTCTCTTTTTTCTTTTTTTTTTATACTATGTCTATCTGTGACGACCTGTAAGTGGCTGTCTGTTTTTAACTAAGATTTTTATTATGTAATTTTTAGCTGTTGGTCATCCATGTACATAAATAAATAAATAAATAAATAAATAGGCGATACCAGAGTCAGAGTCGTAGGTCTATAGTATTTTTTTACAATGGCAATAATAATTAAACGATTTAAGAACTACACCATCGGTTCGCAAATCTACTGCGGTAGTCCTTGTACTGAGAAGAACCGGCAAAAAACTCAGCAAGGGCCGATTTTTCCTGTTTTATTTCATAAAGAATATTCTTATTGGAAACTGACTTGTTGTGTGTTGAATAATGTTTAAGGAACACTACTTTATGTGTATCATTCCCCACGATCGCAGAATAGTCTGCACCATAGTAATGCTCAAGTGGTGACAACTACCTTGCAGGCAGTCGCAAGGCTCAGCCTCTTTGCGCACCACGTCCATGACTGAGTCCACCAGCTCGGCACCTTCTGTGTAGTGACCCTTCGCCCAGTTATTGCCTATAGGATAAAAAACCGTGTTACATGTTACGATTCATTAAGTATAAGTAACGCAATTGGTAGTCCGCTGGAATCCTGTCTAAATGACAAATAGAAAGTATGGATAGCACAATAAGCAAGAAAAAAAAATATTAATCATTGAAATATCTATGAGTAATCCCCAAAATATTGTTTGTTAATTTCTTGCAAAAATTTTCGAAAAGGCCAATTTATATGTTAATATAAATCAACAAAATATTTTAAAAATATCATTTACTTTCTAATAATAACCCAAACAAAACGAACGGACGAATTTTTAAACATTGCTAAAAGTAATTAATTTTCATATGCTGAAATCATAATAGAAGTTACTATTTGGTCAACCAAAAGTAACAACAAAATTTAACAAAAAAAAATCGAAACAAAGCAAATCATAACAAAATTTGTGTGTGATCTCAACACAACGCAACTTAATGAGTGTACTCGCCAACCAGTGTTTATTTGTTGACGGTACTGATTTTTTAACATAATTACGTCATCAAAATCGCGCAGGCGCATTACCAATTTGCGGGGATTATATCCGGTGTCGTTTCGATTTATTTAATATCTTTAGTTCCTGCATTTAGTTAATTTCATCCTAGTTATTGTAGCTCGTATGAACTGTTATGAAATAGGTACATCTACTCTGCCTAAAATAGGATTGTTCCCTTCGATTTTAACCACTCTAAAAAAGGACAAAGGTTTGCCGATATTTTCATCAGAAGTGGATTGATTTCTATGAATCTTTTTTGTTTCATATTTTCGTTCTGTTTTGAATCAGTTTGTTTTTTGTTTTTATTATTCTATACACGACAGCGCTGCAATGTCGAGTTCAAAGCTGGTTTTATTACAGAATAACACTGCTGTTTGCGTAACATGACGAACTAGAGAGACTCGAGAAATTATATGATATCCTTACCGGCGCCGCTCTGTCCGAACACGTAGTTGTCCGGCCGGAACACCTGTCCGTAACTGGAAGACCTGATGGCGTCCATCGTGCCAGGCTCCAGGTCCACCAGTACCGCGCGTGGCACGTAACGTTTACCTATATTCAACAGGTTTGGCAATTAGAAACTACCAATAGCAATGTGCTATCAATCAGTGACTTGACTCCCAGCAATAGGATCATAGACATATTATAAAACGCACTGGCGTATTTAAAGTTTATCGAACTTTGAAAATATTGAATGAATTTTAAAGCGAGTAAATTAACGACTGCGTAAACGAGGATAGAACGCGAACTATTACCATCATGCTTTTATATTTTTTAATAATGTTTACTTCAACAAGTGAAAGCGCAGTTTTTGCGCAAAAGAATGAGGAAGTATTTAAAAAAATGCACCTCCACTAGATGGCGACTCTAGGAAAAGTTGATTTTTGCAAGAAATAAATGGACCAAAGATAGTAATTTTCTTTCCTTTTACTTACATATTAAAATTCCAAGATTTCTCCATGATAACCCTTCCGACTTTCTTTCATGTATAAAAGTAAATTAGTTTTCAAAACTCAATAAACAACTCATATTCTATTTGTACTTTTCTGTATTTGTATTGATATTAAGACTATCTTTGCTCCATTTGTATCCTGCATAAATCAACTTTTGCTAGAGTCGCCATCTAGTGGAGGTGGTTTTTAGTGCTTTTTTTTTAATACTACCTTATCATCTGGCGTGCACGACAATTGGCAATTCTTTTGTGTTTAAGGAAAGTGAGGAAAGAGAGGTAATAGATATGTATATTTATTAACTGAAGAATGTATTATATAGTTCCGTAGCTGAGTGATAAGCACACCAGTTTAACTTTTCTACATCGTTCCGGATCTGAATGTGTGGTTCTTATGTATAAAACTAAAATTATACTAGATAAAAAACATGCCCCAAATCTTTGCCGAAATATAAGGTGCCCAGTATGCTGAGAGCATCAGCTCTTTATTCAGTTACACTGATTATTTGGGCGACGTACAGTCCAGTACGTAAGATTATAAAAATGGTCAAATTTCTCCATTTCATTTTAAAACTGCTTTGAAGGCAGAACTAAAAATCGATTGGAGGAATCTTACATACGTATTGTGGTAATCTGAAATGAAGACGTATGTATAACCCGATATTCCCATCACTAGACCTGAAAAAACGTTTATTTTTTTAATTTTGATATAAACGATGCTGCAGGACCTCTTAAGTTCCATGATCCAAATACCACGATGAATTTAGAATTTCGATTTGAAATTACTCGACGGATACACCAAATATTGCTGGCCCGAATGGATAACCTTGTTTTGGAAGAAAGTATATATAGGTACATAAATGCGAAAGCATTGTCAAAGAATATTATACCATAAGAATACTGAATTTTTAAGCTTCAGCTACCTATGTGGTGCTGTCTTATATTCATTAATATTTATAAATGCAGTGAAACGACAAACTAACCATCCTCGGCCTCGTTGTAGTAGACCTGGATCCTCTCCAGCTGCAGCTCACTGTCTCCAATGTAGTGGCCGGTAGGATCGATGCCGTGCTCATCAGATATTATCTCCCAGAACTGTGGAAGTAAACTATAAATGTAGTGATGGTTTAACAATGAGATCAGATTGATATTAATAGATTACAACAACCAGCCCTTCCCAAAGTGGGCAATAACGACCCTTGTGGGCGCTGCAGGCCTAAAGGCGTAGTGTAGAGTCTTAGGGCCCCCCTAAGACTCTACACTACGCCTTTAGGCATTTGTAATTTCATATACCTACAAGGACTCTTCGACACTGACTGAGCTTTCGACTATCGACTACAAGTTGTAAACATTAAGAGATTGCTACGTGTAATTTATGTATGCATATCTGTCTTGTTTTATTGAATAAATAAAATAAATTTCATGTCATTCGGTCGCTCAGTTTAAGTTTAAATAATAATTAAAGTAATTTAAAGTAATAGTGGTTTTTAAGTTGGTGAAATAAAATATATTTTTCTCTCATATCTGAGATGATACGAATTTCTTTTCATAAAAAACTTGAGTTTTGAGTAGAATATAAATAACCACCACTGACGAAAATACTCGCGTTAGTTTCGACTTTCACAAGTGCTCTGTAAAAGCCTAATCTGGATAAATAAATTTTGATTTTGATTGAGTAAAATTAATCATAGGTAGACAACTATCCCTAGTAGCATTTTGGGTTGGCCAACCGTGCAATACGGTCGGGAACAAGTTGGGAAAACGTTAGTGAGATTTATTACAAAGTTCCAACTATCTGCCAACAGTTTTATTGCAGGAAAAAATACCATACGCACATCCAACTATGGCCCTACTGTCATTTATTGTTATTTTTTCTCACAAATATTTCTCACGTTAACCCAACGAAGGACCTACTATGATTTTTGGTTGGGTTGCCATCTTAAATGCCATACCAAAATGTTATATTGGCCCTACCATAGTTTTTCATTCATATCCCAACTGAAAAGCCCTACAAATTTTCAACCTGGGCCCTACCACGACTTTTAGTTGGAATCCTAACAAAAGTTCCACACAAAAATCTGCCGTGAGCCCAACCACAGTATTTTAATAATATTCCAACCGAAAATTCTTACTTATTTTCAAACTAGGCCCTACCACTACTTTTAGTTGGTATTGTTACGAACATTCCATACAAAATTAGGCGTAAGCCCAACCATAGTATTTTTATTAATATCCCAACTGAAAAGCCCTACAAATTTTCAACCTGGGCCCTACCATGACTTTTAGTTGGAATCCTAACAAAAATTCCACACAAAAATCTGCCGTGAGCCCAACCACAGTATTTTGATAATATGCCAACTGAAAATTCTACCTTATTTTCAAACTAGGCCCTACCACTACTTTTAGTTGGTATAGTTACGAACATTCCATACAAAATCAGGCGTAAGCCCAACCATAGTATTTTTATTAATATCCCAACTGAAAAGCCCTACAAATTTTCAACCTGGGCCCTACCATGACTTTGAGTTGGAATCCTAACAAAAGTTCCACACAAAAATCTGCCGTGAGCCCAACCACAGTATTTTGATAATATGCCAACTGAAAATTCTTACTTATTTTCAAACTAGGCCCTACCACGAGTTGAAGCAGAAATTTTATCAAAAAATCCATAGAAAATATGGCGTAAGGCCAACCACGCTATTTTTATTAGTATCCCAACTAAAAAGCCCTACTTTTTTTCAAACTAGGCCCTACCACGACTTTTAGCCGGAATCCTAACAAAAATCCCACACAAAAATCTGCCGTGAGATCAACCACAGTATTTTGATAATATGCCAACTGAAAAGTCTTACTTATTTTAACGAAAAAAAAAAATCTTAAGTATTGTAACGAAAATTCCATACAAAATCAGGCGTAAGCCCAACCATAGTATTTTTCTTAATATCCCAACTGAAAAACCTTATTAATTTTCAAACTAACCCCTACCACAACTTTAGTTTTGAGTTTAGTACTAACATTAATATTTGTGAACATGCACAAAACTTTACAGACAGACTTCTTATTTATTCTTCTTTTATCTTGTAAACCTCTCATATAAAAATACTTCTGAAAAATCAAGTTTTACCATTTCATATTTTGCGGATTAAACTATTTAAAACCATTTTTTTTTCCGGAGGTATAATTATTTTATTTAACGTTGATAATTCATTATATTTTTTTTTAGTTTTATTGTGATTATTATCTTCGTAGCACTTTTTAATCTTTATGTAGTGCCGTCCTTGGCCCATCTTCTTTCTTAAAAAATTGGTTTGAGCCCAACTGCAGTATTTTTATTAATATCCCTACTGAAAATGCAAAGAATGTCCCAAACATACTACCCCATCCATCTGATGAGGGCCCTATCTAGTATTTTAATAATATCGACTCCCAACCGAAAACGCCTACAAAGGCTCAAAGAGGCGCCATCTTATTTTTTGATTTCGCTAATGTTGCTAGATGTAAGGACGTTCTCCCAATTTGGACTATATTCTCAGCAACAGAGAAAATGTCAAAATATATATGGATATTTTTAAAGAATGTTATGTAATGAGAATTCACTTGATAAAATATCCAACAAATAAAATATTAAGGTATTACTTATTACTTACTCTAGAGATTTTTCTGACATAACACAATTTGACACCTTTGTACGATCTAATTTTCATTTTACAACAGTACTACCATATTGTCCTTTACCAACATATGTTGGCTAAAGGAGAATGGTGACTTTGGATTTGACAACGTTTTAGGGGGTAATCTATAAAAATTGCTTTGTTTGAGAATTACAGCATACTTAGATTAAAAACATTACATAATATCATTCGAAAGTATAAAAAGTTCTGTCTTTCTTTTTGTAAGGAGTAATCTCCGGAATGACTGAACTGATTTTGATGTTACTTTCACTGAAAGATAGTTTTTATTATTTTTTACCCCAAATTCAAGCGGGTTCGGGATTTACGCGGGAAAAATCGTGTTGACACAAAATCCTAACTACGGGAGTGAAGTCACGGGCAAGTTAGTCTATAATATAACTGATTTAACAAGATTTTCAAAAATTTATCGAAATAAATCTAACGTGTATAAACATGATAAAAAAATTATAAAAAAAGCATTGTTAATGCTAAAATATTAAATTCAGTATTAGAATCGATTACCTCGGTAATAATCAGTACTAAATGCCATGCTATGCCTATAATTCAACCTCTTTGTTATATAATGAAATCACTATATTGACCTGTCAAATAGAAATTATTTTCAATTTCACGCTCTATTTCAAGGAAATAGAGTAGGCCCCTAGTTGCGCTCAGGCATCATGTTAACTGGACCGAATAGTATAGCAGTACAATGTGTGGCGTGTGTGACATTAACATGTGCTGTTGTTCTCTTTCTCTATCTATTGTGATTTTAATAAATAATTACTCTGTATTTTGTCAAAACAATTTTTACTTAATGTAAAAAAAGACCAAACTGGTATTTTTTTATATATCCTGTTTTTTTATATCAAATAAGTAATAAAGTTTAGATCACCTTTTTGGAAGACATAAATCGGTCGTATAAACAAATAATATCACAATAAGTTCTGTTAATTTTTATAAACGTACCGTATGTAAAAATAAATCGTTTTTTTTTCAAATAATAAAAAAATAAACCATCTTTTTTACAGTTGGTTAAAAAATTAACATTACGGGTAAATTTGGGTAATTTTCGAATCAGTTTCGGACTTTTCTTGGGTGACTAGCGGCAACACTGCACAACCGCCGTTTGTTTGATGTCTACGTTTGAACCGCGTAAGTTTTTGTTGATTCCCCTTGTTTCAAATCATTATATAGCAAATTAACATTTGAATTTGCCGAAATATGTACCTATCATAGTGTTAATCAACTTCGTTTTTTATTTATAAAGATATTAACAATACACAATGTACAAGGTGGTAGAGTTTGATGATGGCGGCGTAGGCGTTATTCGACAACAATGGTCGACTCCTAGAAAAAATAGTTGTGTTTGGCCATCAAACAAGAGGATAAATTAAAGTTTGATCGATGGCACAGATCCTGATTCTACCTGGAATATTTACAGCATAAGACGTATGTTTTATGAAACCGGTAAGTCTTTGTATAATACTCGACCTGGTGATTATCAAAAGTGAGTTTTTTATTTAAGCCTGCCCTAGCTTGAGAATCTTATAAAACCTATTTATATTGTATATTTTTTAAGACAAATAAGAGGGTAAGCTGTTAGTGCATCACTAAATACTCCATAATTTAGTGCAGATTTTCCACAATTTATTTATACTGACATGCAGCAGGTACAATAAGCATTATTATTTTTTACAGTATTATTTTTTACATTATTTTATTACAGTAAGCATAACTAGTGAAATAGGTTGTGGACTATCTACTTGTGTGTTAATATGGTTATGGTTGTGAGACTACCAACATGCTGTGTATGCAAGCTATAAAATAATATTTAATTGCATGGCTAAATAATATAAGCATACACAACCTCGCTTTGTGGAATTAATCACATTGCAATAATTCCTATCCAATTTTTAGATGTAAGCAGTACTACTGGCGATACTGACGTTTCAAAAACACTATCTTATATGTACTTACTATTACTTTAATATTAATTCAGTCTTTTTTGTTTTACACTTGGTTGCACCTAAAATTTGTTATTTACAAATATGCTATATTAAATTCTTATTAAATGCATATAAATGACATTATTGTAATTATATTTCAGTATCATTGGATTTAACATTGACACTTATTTTAAGGACAATTTGCTTAACTCGCAGTGTCTAGGTAAGAAATACACAAGTATTGTACATTATTACTTTTTAACAGATGTAAAAAATATAATGTTAATATTGCTATGCTCTTTTATGCATAAATATAGCTATGAATAAGTTTAATAATCCCTAAGTGATATGAAATACATTTTCAGATGTAATTGCCCGCCATCTAGCTAACATTGAATTTGCTATTAAAGAATTGCAATCAAATCAAAATGAGATCTTAACAAGGTTAAGGAATCCATCTTCAACTCTATCACCTGCTATGTTGCCTGATGGTATTAAAATATTATGTGATGATTAACAATCTTTACAAGATTTAGAAAATTGGATTTCAAATGATAATTATAAACTGTTGGCAAGTATTCATATGTTTTTTTTATTATTTACCATAAAGTTTGACTAAGTATTGACTTCTCCCTACATTGATAATAATACTGTCAAAAACTATTATGACAACTTTTTTTAATACCTGACTTTTTATGAAAAAGAATCATGTATGAAGTTGTATTGAACAACTTAATAGTTTCCAAGAAATCGGTGAATAAACATGCAAACAGACACACGCGAAATTAAGCACAGGTGTATGGAAGGGATCTGAAGGGATCATCATACTATATGTATGGCAATTCCATACCTGCTTTTTAAGTTGGTTAAAAATTATCGCCTTGTAATATCAGAGCTTAGGTTAAACGACGTGCGATAGTTTTATATCTTGTATTCGTATTTCCGGATAGGGACCACTTTTTACCATTACAATTTTTAACCGACTTCAAAAAAAGAGGTTAGCAATTTGACTTGTACATAATACTGTTGGAATTGGATAATATTTGAGTATGATGATCCATTTAGGCTCTAAGCATGTGTGCTTAATTTCATAAGTGTATGAATGTTTGTCCACGGATTTCTTGGAAACTATGTTGTATTGAGATGATTCTTTTTGATATAAGTTAGGTATTGTTCAACTTGGGGAACAGTCCAGGTTTCTTCAAATTCTGTTGAGTAGTTTTCAATATATGGGTAGTGATTGGTATAGGAGGTCTGTTTAATTTTTTACTAAATTGAGCTTGTTAGTTAAAAGTACCTATAGCAATATGGCAGATAGTAAATCATATGACGTAGAAGAAAAACAAAACCTAGCAGATGCGATAATTTAGTAATCTGTTAACATTTGCAGGTAAATCATTTGAGTTATATTGGCGGCAATAAACCTCCAGCCATAGTTAAAAGGATACTTGAAAAAGTGTTCACAAACAACCTTGCTGTCAATTGTAACTGGACAGGGAAAAAATTAAAAGACTTCCCTAAAGGATCTTCGTATAGTAAAGATAATAAAAGGTAATTAAATTAACAACATTTTTACTAATTAATTATTTGTGTTGATTGTAAAATTACAATTCATTATTGCTATACATTAATAATAACATTAGTTGGTACTTGTAGTATGTGATATGCAACTCACCTGTTGGAAATTATCACAGATGCTGTATGTCATCATAAGATTGCAGAGTTCGCAACTGATGATGTAATTCAGAATATAATAAGTGGTTGGTTCAGATTTACTAAAGATCGCGATGGAGGAAGAGAAAAGAGAAGAACTACATTTGCCTTCAAACTGACACAAAATTTTTTAGTCAAGAATATGAGGATCATCACATATCTAAAACTGAATTACAGAACTTGATTTAGGTTTAGTGACGCAAGTCCCATTAGACTTTATGCGTTTAGTTTGTTTAGACGTTATGAAAAAAATTATACAAAGTTGGATATGTAATGGACCAAAAAAATGTAAATTAAATGCTTCTAAAATATCCGTAGTATCAGAATGGTTAAAAATTATACGTACATTATCCCACCGAATTTTCGAGACAGCCTAGGTCTTTAAGTTTATTCAAGTATTGGAAAGCAACGGAATTTAGAGCTTTTCTTTTATATTTGGGTCCCATTGTTTTAAAAAATATATTATCGAGTAGTTTGTATAAACATTTTTTGATGTTTCATTGTGCTATATACATATTGTGTTGTAATAATATTGATCAAAATAATGTATGATGTATATAACTTTGGAGAACTAGATTCCTTTTCAACATTTCCTTTTGAAAAATTCATGTGTAAAATTGAAAGTAGCAAATTGAGAATATATACATGGTCAGTGGTGAAAAAAATGTTATTGTCAATTCAAACGATTTAAGCAAGAAATGTTTATTGTTGCCTAATTTTGATAGTAATGACCATTCATTTATCTGTGTACCTTATGTGAGTATGAATTTGCACTATTAAGCTTGATTTACTCAATGAGAAATGCTAGTTTCAATTTTAAGAGTGTGGGGAGTGAGTCAATTCCATACAATTTGCGGTGCTCTTACACAGCTATAATATGTTTTAAAAACCTACTGATTGTAATTTTTTCAAGTTTTGTTTTTTTTTGTTTCACGCCAATTCATGGTTTTTCAGCCAAATAAAATATGGTTAAATTTACAATTGTATTTTATTTTTACAGCCTCACCAAGATGCCCACCAAGACTACGAGACATACTGCAGTGTTCCTCATAAAAGGCAAGGACACTGGGCCAAACTGAGGATTTACTCGTTATAGCGCCAACATTGTTTTACAAAGTAAGACCTTCAGACACATTATTGTGGGATTTACAAACTGACTGAATAGTAGGCATGTCATCGGGTTCATGAGTATTTATCAACATTGGTAAAAACATTTGATAAATAAATTTTTTAATTATTTGTTTTTTTATACGATATTTTGGTTGGCCATTTGATACTTTTTAATAGTGCTGATATTCATATGTTTTCATGAATTCGATGATATACTGTGCAGTCAGTTTGTAAGCCCTACAAAGATGGTGTATGTAGGCCTTACTTTGCAAAATATGTTGGCCCTATTATGAGTAAATCTTAGTTGGCCCTGTGTCCTTGGCCCTTTATGAGGAGCACTGCAGTTGGCCTTATATAGTAAAAGTTGAGTTAGGCCTACAATTAAATACCACAGTTGCCCTACCATGAACGGTCAGCCCAACGTTATAGAATGTTTGTTGGCCCTATGTGAGAAAATTGTGGGAAAATTCGCAGTTGGCTTTACGTTGTAAAAGGTGACTAGGACCAACGAAGGAAAAGCTTCAGTTGGCCCTTTCTCCAATTGTAACGGTGGGCCACGGTACTTTAGCTTTGTGGGCAGCAGTGCAATCAGGGGTGCCATTACCCACAGTTGACCAACCGAACAGCAAACAAAGGCCCAACGAATTGCCGTACCAAAAATGCTACTAGGGATGTCATGTCCAACTCAATGGCAACACTCGAGCATAGTAAGACGTTAGTCGATGAAGGTGGGGAGAGAGTAAAGTCATCAAAATGACAAATCCTAAGATCTACAACGTACATACATCACTTCTCGTTATAGGTCTCTTCCCCGACTGATTTTGCATCATTAACCGAAATGGAAAAGGAGGAAGTTCTATGTACGACTAGTATCTATGTTTTTTTTTTAATATATACCGATCGGATTTTTATATTTTTTGCCATATTAATTATGTAATTGCATTCAAAAGTCTGTACCGATGATAAATAAACACCGGTTGACTAGTACAGTTATTGAGTTGATTATTATGATATCCAATTAATTTTGCATTCACTATGCCTTAATATTTACATATAAATTGATTCTTATCCAAATATGCATACAATAATAAATTAACAAACTAAAAATCATTAAATTATAATAAGTAACATTCTTTTAGTTATTATTCATAAATATTACAATAATAAATAAATAATTTATCTCTAGCCTTTTGTGCTATCTATACTTTCTATTTTTATGTGACGTCATGCGGGAGTTATTTAGACAAGGTTCCAGCGCGTTAGTAAGTTATGGGACTTATACGTAATTATATTTCCGGTTTATAACTTAATAAAATTTATACGATCTTGCGTTCTAGCCACCGCCTAGACTTGCTTTAATAAACGCTTAAATATTTCTCTAGATAAAATACCAGTATCTTATTTTATTATATAAAATATGAGTAAAACATATGTATGTATCTATCTATTTATATATAAAATGCAAATGACAAATACATTGAAAAATTGCGCTGAGTACGACGCGCGCACGCAACGTTTTTAGAGCGTGACAAAATTAAAAATAGAACAACCATTTCTCATGAATGAAATAAAAGGAAAACAAAACGCAAAACGAGAAAAGAGGTTTTCAATACCTTAGATCCTATTTGGTTGCCGCATTGACCTGCTTGTAGATGCACTATTTCTCTCATTTTAATTGAATTTTGAATTTATTTGTACAATTATACAAACAGCGTGTTCAGTCTAGACGTGGAATACGTACTATTTTAAGATCGTGCGTCTACTGCGCGTGAATAGACTCACATGATAAGTGTATATACATACTCATCTGTGTGACATTACATAGTTAATATATTTAATTCTTATATAAATTTAGGAAATTATTGATTAATATTAAGATATATCACTTTTCAAGTCACAAAATAAAACGCTATTGATTGTATGTTTCAACTGCCTGTCTGAACGATAACAATAAAGTAATTATAAAATAAAATTGCTATCCAGTTGCACTAACGTCCATTAAAGTTATCATTAGTTTAAATCGACATATTACCGATACAAATTTGATATTCATTAGAGCTTAAAGGCATCATTAAAACTTAATGACGTTTGTGCAAATGACAGTATGACTATCACCAGCATCAAAAAATGTAATACTTTACAAACTTGCTTATTTATTTTAATGATATCAAAGCATATTTATATACTGAAGGAACTGTATTTATAATTTCTAAGCTTAAGATTTTAAAATTTTCTAAGAAATCACAAGGTTTAAAATTCGCGCCACTGTGTTAACAGTGCCTACAGATAAATATTCATAATTATATATAAAATTCTCAATATTTACACCAAGAATAATGTGTTAGACTTTTTCTGTGGTAAATTATTATTATCTTTAAAATCTGATTGCAAATCGAAGCTGCAAATGCAAAAATAAAACGCAGCTTTGACTGACAATCGCGGTGACAGCGTAGCCGTGCGCAAAAACGTCAAACAATCTTCAATTTTTTTTCCTTCTGTGAAGCTCGTATAGCTATAATAAAAAAAAATTGCCAATATTTAATGTGAATTTTGCCGTATTTAGTTTACAACACTACTTCATTAACATACTTCGAACCTTAATTTCTACATACAAAGTTTAGAAACACCTTAAAAATGTGATTAAATTATGGCCGAATATAATTTGTCTACTATAGGCCGTAAGCCATTTTTCGTTATCAACATTTTTAATAAGCAGTTATATTGTGCTGACTTTGTTTTTGATTAAGTGTGACGTGTTAAAAGTGCAATACTGAGTGTAGATTTTCATATTAAAGCAACAATAATAAGTAAGTTAAAGAGAAATTAATAATACTGTTCTAAGTTATATCTACTAACAATATGACATTGAAAGTTGAATGCTAAGTGTGTGCTCTTACAACTTATTATTTTAGTTTTGTATATTTAAACTAATATCATAAAGAGAAATGAATTCGATTGTTTATTTGCATCGAATAGAATCCGAAAGTAGTGGACCGATTTTTACAGTTCTTTCACCTACGGGGATATCATACGCGGGCGATAGGCTATAATTTATGTGTTCGAAGTCGGGGGAACATCTAGTACTTCTATATATCATTAAGTCTAGTATTCAGTGGAGCTGTATTACATGTATAGCAATTTTTAGTAAAGGTTGTTAAATAAAAACGTAATTATATATTTATTCTGCAATTATTTGTAAAATGAATTCAAATTTGAATTTGAGTGTCTTTAGATCCATATTCTTTAATTTGTTTGTATTTGCTGTTGGATTGATTTATAAAAGTATGATAAAATAGTCACTTTATTTATGAGCTATGTAAATGTCATTAGTTATTATGATAAAGAGCTGGTAAGTTTCTTTCGCTTGTTCTTCTTGTCAGCTAAAAGACGTCCTAAACAAGTGGAAGGGGAAAAAAATTTTTGGACGTTTCAAAAGTGCTTGTAACAAGCTTACTTGATTAAAAATATTTTCATTTCATTAAGAATTTTAATAAAAAATTAATATTAAACAATTTCACATACATTGTTTAAGTTTAAAATAAAGTTTCTTAAGCTTAACACCAAAGGTATTGTAGCACCCACACCTGATTTCTACGTTAATCTGACTGGAAGTCAATAATTGATCTCATATGGTTACTGGTGTGCGAGCCACTTTACCGCAAGGATCGTAATAGGTCTATGTTAATCAATAAATTGTGAAGATTTTGTGATAAATTAAGAAGAAATCATTGATTAATGTTTATACCATTGACAAAAACATTGAATATGTGGAATGCAAGCTAAGAGAAGGGAAACAGTGTATGATAAAGGTGCAGTCATATTTAAAATTTAAAAGCTTATTTTATGTCCTATTAACTTATTGGAATTCCAACGTTGACTCTTAAAAATATGTAGATAATACACTTATATTGGAATGCCAGCATTGATACTATATTATAATCTACTTTAGGTTTGTATTTATGACACACCAGATGCACAAACTACTAAACTACCAATACAAATTTAGAACATTTTTTAGAGAATAGAATAGAATAGATATTTATTTGCCTTTAAATAGGGTACAATTTGATAGGAATTAATTAAAATAAAATTAGAACTTAAAACCTATTTAGCCATACATAGATAGCATGCAAATAATAAATTTTTATCAAAATCAATTAAATACAATTTTTATACAAAATTAAGAAATTCACTAAAATTACCTTAATCATTATCATTTTGAAGATTAAATGTCACAATAATAAATGTTAAGATAAAGAATTTCGTAATTAATAGCGTCAAAACAATAAAAAAGATACAAATCATATAGCAATCAAACTTTGTGTTAACTTATATAGCTTTGGCTATTAATTTATCTAGTAGCATGGTTTAAAAAATCATCAATAGAATAAAATGCCATTTCCAATAACCATTTACGTAAAGTAGATTTGAATCGGTTAGACGGTAATATTTTGAAATGATTGAATATTTTGTTATATATTTTTTGGCACATGGCGTTACTGCTGTTCTGAAATTTCAAAACTAGTCTTTCAGGGTTTCTTCTTAATCTTTGGCTCAAATCCTATGCTTGTGTAAACTTTTACTATTTAATTTTACAAATATGCAAACCTCTAAAATATAAAGACAGGGCAGTATCAATATTTGGAGAGTTTTAAAGTAAGGCTTGCAAGAAATATCTGGCTTTAGATTGCATATAGCACGAATGCATCTTTTTTGAACAATAAAAAGAATTTTAGCATCAGTGCCCTTTCCCCAAATTAATAAACCATATCTTAAGATGGATTCTACATATAACATAGCTTAAAGTCGTTATTAATCCTTAATGGATGTTTGAGCAATGGACCATTACTTGTGTAATGTTAAAAATAATGAATTATCTATATCTAAGGTGAAAGTTTTTTCAAATATTTTTTTATAGCAGTCTATTTCGTAGCCAACATCAAGAACATAAAATACGTCTTGTATTTTCTAACAGATTTAATTACGAAGATGAATAGACAATTTAATAGCTGTCTTTTTTTATTACGACATAAGAACATCTGTGTTTAATAAACTGTACATTTATTAGCACCTGAGTAAAGCAAAATTATAAGAAACTGCATTTTTGCAAATTTGCTACACTTCATGGTATATTACTACAGGCATACTCATTATCGGTATATAATTTACAATTGGATTCGTTTTTTATTTTATTATTGTAATTTTTTTATTTGATTGAATGTTTTAGGATTTTAATTTTTTATTTTATTAAGACTTACTTAAGTCAATACATTACAAGAATTAATTTTTCAATATTTACGGCGATAAAATTTATCCAGTCATGTCTTCACACACTACTGAACTATAAGAGTGGCATGAGAGTGACAAATGTCTGCATTCTCACTACATCACATTACCTAAGAAGCGTATAATAAGTATAACTCATACAAATTAATATGACCCCCCAATTCCATTTGTCCTCAATTGAAAATAAATAATCTTTCTTGATGATAGTGCTTTAAAAATTCACTTTGTCCCTGGATTTCATTAAGGACATTTTTCAGAATAGCATTGTGAAAGCAAAATAGATCAAATATAATAATTAGATCAAAATTTACATCTTTATCTAAACTTTCTTAATAAATTTATTTTCCTCAGGCTTCAAAGATGGAGGAGAGGCCTGTTGTCGAAGATATAACTGTAGAGATAGAGCCATTAGAAGATATTCTGGAACCAATGGAACCGCACGAAACCCAAGAACCGACAGAATCCAAATCGCAATCTAGCGATGAAAAGAAAGTGGTGAGATTCATTAGCGTCAACAGCAACCAGTTGACTGACGAACAAAGAGAGATGTACGAGTCTGTCTTGTCTACTTGGAAACCGATCATGTTCCCCAAAAGAACAAAGCGTTACATATGCAATAAGTGCAATAAAGAATTCAAGAACTACCAAAATCTGTATTTGCACACCACAAGAGTGCATTCGACGGAAGAATCGGCTGTTTTGTGCGACATTTGCGATAAAACATTCAAGAATAAACACTACTTATATATGCATAGAATGAATAAGCATTATTCCGAAGCAGAGAAATGTTATTGCCAATATTGTTACCAGGAGTTTAGGACACGAAGAGCCTTACATATGCACATTAAACGTAAGCACCCTAACACCCTTCCGGAACTGAAGTGTCCAGAATGCGGCAAAAAATTCTCCGTGCCGTACAAGTTGAGATACCATATCGAGGCTTGCCATAAGCCTGATAAAGAAAAGTTCCAATGTCCAATCTGTGAAAAGCTTTACAAGAGCCACTTGAATCTTAATAGGCATCTGCACTTCCAACACTCGCAGGTGCCTCGTCACAAATGCGTATTCTGCGATATGACCTTCAAATCACGTCACCACATGAAACGTCACATCTTAAATATACATCCTCCTTTGGAATCCAAAGTGAGCTGTCCCGAATGCCTGAAAGAGTTCAAAAACGACCAGTATCTAAAGGAACACATGCAAGTACACTCCTCGTTGGATACTAAAGTGAAATGCGATTTGTGCAACAAGTTCTTCCATTCGGCGATCCGTTTGAAGAAACATAAGAAAATTGTGCATCCTACTAAACCAAAGATGCGGTGCGAGAAGTGCGATAAGGAGTTCGCCCACGCTCATTATTTGCGGAGGCACAATAACTCTGTCCACATGGAAGTGGATGAAGCCAAATACGAGCATGAGTGCAATCAGTGCGGGAAGAAATTCAAACTGAAACGATATCTAAATAACCATTTGCAGAGGCACGAGCAGCAGCACTTGAAGAGGATATCGCAGATGGTTAAAACAGTCATGGGGGACGAAGCGAAACCGAAGAAGAAGAGGGGGAGACCTAAGAAGACTAGGGAAGAGATTGAGTTTATAAAATGTGAGCCAGCATCCAGTTCTGAATCGGAATCTGGTGATACGGAGAGTGAATCGGAGTGAGTATGAATGAGTCATTAAGAATGGCTCTTTTGGTTATAGATATCTGATATTCTTTTCCTCTTTTATTGTCTTAGTGTTTAGCTTTTGAGATGTTGAGGGTTTGGTTGAATCTTAAAAGGCGACTTAGGTGACGACTCGTCCTTAAAAATCTTGATAACTTGCTGACTAGATTGTTTTCGAGATTGATCTAACTTATATATAAACAACTTCGTTGCCATAGCGATATCCAGAGGGGCCCATGATGGTACCATCTTTGTTATAAATTACGTAGTGAAGGAAATTAATACCCTCGCTTGTGCAGCCTAATAAGGTTCACAGTATATCGATACGGGATAATACTCCGCGAAGCCTGTGAAGACTCCAAAAAGTTTCTGTGCTTCTGGGCGGAGCTGGGTTGCCTGGAGTAATCATGTAACTGGTAACTGGAGCCCCCCTAATCTAAGCCCAGATATGAACGATGTTCCAGCGCAAAGAATAATTTTTTTCAGTATGATATGAGGTATGATATAGTAAAAAATGATGAAATAGAAATAGTCCCGAGGACTGCTACTCGGCCCGTGATCAGGATTTAATTAGTTACCTAGGCCTAGAATGCCTGTTGTTTTTGACATTGGAATTTTGCATCCAATGTTTGTGGGAACTTGAACAGAATGACTTGTAGATGTCGCTATATTAATTTTTATGGTATCTTAAATATCTGCTTTAATGTAATTCCTTTTTTTTCTAATTCTTCTTTATCTCAAAAATCTTAGCACGAATTCGCTTAAAAGTGATGTGCACTAACTATGAAGAAAATATCGATATTGGTGTTGAAATTTATAAATAATATTAAAATTATAATATATGTGTAAGATATTATTGATATATTTATATCTAGATTTTCATTGGAAATCAATCATGAATGTTTACTTCGTGAATTTATTAAAATTGGTAAAAATATGTTTTGCCTTTACACCTTTATGGATACACATATGTATAAGTTATATGTCTAAAGCGATGTACGAATATAAAATAACTTACATTAGACAAGACAAGTCAACAATTACTATGAATAAAATTAATAAATACAAAGGAAGGGATGCGGCAAGAAGACATAGATTAAAAATTTTGTTCAAATAACCTCAAATGATATATTTATATTATTTTATTTTTATTTATTTATTATTTAATTAGGTACGTCAACATCATGCATGTTTAACCTTTATAATACAATGTTTAAACAATTACAATTTCATAGTAAAAATGAAATTAATAGAATCAAAATTAATTAAATTAATCAAGTCAAATTAAATTAGAAAATAAAAAAAAAAAACAAATAATTTAATCAAAACAAAACAGCTTAAATTTATATTATTGTAATGCAAACGGCAACATACACGTCAATATCCCAACATCCATTTGGTCAGTTCTCTCTTAAACTTCACCAATGGGTCGGCAAAGATATATATTATACTTCAATTGTGCACAGATGCGCTGGTCGTCATGTGTTTGGTCTTATATACTATTCTAACTTGTGTTTTTTTTATGCCGTAAAGTAAAACGGGTTATTATGTATTTCGGAATGTTTATAATGAAGAAATATTAAAAAAAAAAAACATTAGTTCCCGAAATCAAACTACATGTCACTGCAGTACTTTCTTGATTTCTCCATGACAACCCTTCCGGTTTTCTTTCATCTATAAAAGTAAATCAATTTTCAAAACTCAATACACAACTCATATTCCATTTGTAAATTTCCGCATTTGTATTGATATCTAAGTTTCGAACTTTGCTTTCAGTTTTTTAATGTTAGTTAAAAGGAACGGAAATGACTGTCTTTGGTCCATTCGTTTCCTGCAAAAATTAACTTTTGATAAAGTCGCCATCTAGTGAGGCGCTTTTTAGTGATTTCTTTTCTTAAATACTTCGTCATTGCTTTTAAGAGAACGCCATGCTTAATATCGATGCAATCAAGAACAAAAGGTCAAAAGATTGATTTCGGAACTGTTTTTTTTTTTAATACTTCCTCATTGGCATGCTGTTAAATATTCATAACTTTGGAGGCTACAATAATATCGATAAATTATTGATTACGCACATCACTACTTGTTATGTGATACATCGCAATCCGCTACAGTGTCCCTTTGGGACTAGAGTATTGATCTTTTTATCTCGGTCCCGTATTGATATAAGTTTCTATACGGACTCCAAACTTTTTAATATTAAAACTCAATGCGTCAAGGCTGGGTATTAACGCATACAACTTACCCTTATGTAACTCGTTACGTTTGATAATGAGATAGATGAAACAAGATGGCGGATTGCGCGTCGAGAACTTATTTATTAATTATACATTAACAGTGCTGTTAATAAACAAGGTTTAGCGTTAGACTAAATTTACGCCAAAATTACAATTTTTGTATTAGTCCAAATTCATATTATACAGAAAATAAGCAAACCTACTACCTTCTAGGAGTAAATATTACTCCCGTATAACCTGGTACTAGGTAAACCTTTGCCAAGTCTCTGTTTAATAATATGAATTTTGCCTAATACTAAGTGCAGTCTCGGTGTAAATTTACACTAACTCTAATACTTGTTTATAAATAACATTGTAAAATTTTATTTAAACGGTACCCAATTAATTACATTTTGCCTTGTAATTAATGTGTAAGGATAACAAATGACGTATTCTAATAAGTTTTGGCAGTTTTGACGTTGTAATACCGGGTCAGTTGACCCTTATTTGCCTACCCTACCCCTAGATACGGGACTGTCTATTAATGTTATTGACTAGTCCGTTGAATTCGTTTCGTTTTAGTATAATAACAGTTATCAATCTGAATATGTGATCCATTGTGGTGTAAAATATTGTTAAATAAAATTAATGATTTTTAATTTGGGTTTCTCTATGTCTGGTGGCATGTCATCTTTTTCTGACACTCAAAACCAGCATTTGCTAGAGCGAGAAAGATAGCGATTGTGCAATAACACGCCACGGAATCTTGGCCAGTGTTTACCATGACCCACCAGTGTGTCGCGAATAACTATTCATCATCATCAGCCCTTTATTTGCCCCCACTGCAGGGGCTCAGGCCTTCCTTATGGATGGTTGAGGAGCATGGGCCATACGCTGGCCCAATGCGGATTGGCGGGTATTAACGACTACATATGCAGCCGGGACCAACAGCTTAACGTGCCTTCCGAAGCACGGAGTAGCTCGAGATAATAATTTTTTGGTCACCCATCCCGTGACCAACCCTTGCGAAAGTCCACTACGCCACCGAGCTAATCGAATAACTATTGACATTGCATAAATGAGTGATTCGCCACTGTGTGACACATGTTTTTCTCCGCCAAAAAAGCTCTGACAGACCGAGCTGTATGACAGGGAGCTCCATCTTGCATAAAAATGAAGGATTCCCCATTTGGAAACCATTCTTGAAGCTGCGGGATCAACCGCTTTTCCAAGACCTCTTTGTATTGGTCTTGCCTCATCATACCTTTTACCACGTACAGACGTCCAGTACCCTTGCCGCTGATGACTGACCAAATCATTATTTTTGTGGGATGCTTCACAGTCTGAACAACACAGTCAGGATGAAACTTTTCATCACGACGACGACGCACAAACTGAGCTTTGTTCTGTAAAATTTCAAACGTGCTTTCATCACTGAAGCAGACCTGTAAAAAAAAACATTACTGGGCTTTCTGGCTCTCTTTGACGTAGAAAATGATTGATGGAAGATATAAGAAGCATTTTTTATGAAGAAATCATAAAAGCTTACCGATCTCCAGAAGTCCATATCTTTATCACGCAACTCTTTGGCCCAATTCCAACGCTTTGCTTTCATTGCAGCTGTTAACTTGGGTTTCTTCACGGGGCGACAGGCGTTAAAACCTAAATCTTTTAATTTTCTTCTAACAGTGCGTTCAGAAGCATTCACATTAACCTCTTCGAGTTGCGATTTTATCAGTTTCGTGGTAGCAAATCGGTTTTCAAGACAAATTTTCTTTAAAGATCTTTCTGACCTTGGAGTAAAAATAGGTTTCCTGCCGCATTTTTTCTTTCGTTTTGGGCTGAATTGATCCCCTGACTCAATTTTCTTCTTTATGCGACGTACACTAGCTTCAGAAACTTTCAATCTTCGTGATATTTCACGGTTAGACAATATTTTCGCATTCAGGAGCGCCTTAACTTCAGCTTTTATACGTGGTGAAAGATACCTTCGTTTTCAACTAAGACTGGAGTCTTAATAATATTAAGAACTACTGTTCTAGGAGATAAGCAACACGCTCTCTTTCTCGCTCTACTAAATAGCGGTTGTGAGCGACAGAAAATAATGAAGCAACGGAAGAAGCCAAATGTAGACAAACCCTTATATTGACAACAAAAGACGAGTGATTTAACTAGCATTATTTAGAGAAACGGATATCTGTAAACTGTATTAGTTTGCTATAATAACTAATATACATAATCCAAATATGAGGGCTTGTTGGTAATCCGACTCTAATGGTGATCGAACGTTTACTTAGATCACTTGACTTTAAGTCTAACAGCCAGTTGCACAAACGTTCATTAAATTTTTCATTAGTTTAAAGTGACTTTCCCCATACAAATTTAACATTCATTAGAGCTTAAATATGTCATTAAACCTTAATGGACGTTTGTGCAACTGACCGTAAGTCTGTATTTTCTGTTATTTGTTGTAAAAATCGATTAGAAAATGATAAATTATGTAAATAGTTACAATCCCTTTGTTTATAAAGTCTGTTACATAATAGTTTTAAAATAATATTAAGATTATCTTTTCTCTGTAATTTAAAATTAAAATAAAATTTACTCGAAATTTTGCCCTATAAATATTGAAATCTTAACTCTACTGTTGATACAATAAGTTGTGCAATTGTTATTATATGGAATATGAGCTATCCAGCACGCGTAGCTTGACGAACTCGAGAAAGGCTTTGTCTACACTCATTTGTCAGTTTCTCGAGTCGAGAGTGAGATATAGTATGGGCGCAACCGAGAAAAGTGACAGTTGAGTGTAGACAAAATGTTCTCGAGTTCGTCATGCTACTCGTGCAGCACGCGTAGCATGACAAACTCGAGAAACGCTTTGTCTACACTCATTTGTCAGTTTCTCGGGTCAAGAGTGAGATATCGTATGGGCGCAACCGAAAAAAGTGACATTTGAGTGTAGACAAAACGTTCTCGAGTTCGTCATGCTACTCGTGCAAGACATAACAGGACTGACGAATTTTTCAAGCGCTTGTACTTTTTCGCTACTACAGAGCGTATTTTCATATATATTCAGGAAATCCATCCAAACAGCCGAAAGAAATATTTTTAAGTTTCGATAAAGTTAAAAAAAAAAACTGTTTTTTTTTTTCAAGAAAAAAAAGTGGAATATTTCCCAGTATAGCATTGTGAATAAAAAATTGATAAAATTTAATAATATTAAATTTGAATTTCTTTTTTTTGTGAAAGTTCGTTTTTTTAGCCGTTGTATATAATGCTGATTTTGGCGCCTCTATTTCATATATTTCCCAGTTGTGACGTGCGGCTATTAATAATATACGAGCAATCTTGCTTCAGATTATAACTGAAGCAGAACTGCCAAATTTACGGTCGGTTTCTGAATTTAGAAATATGCAAAATCTCAATTCTTTTCTTTTTTTTTTCTTTTCACAAGATATAAAGCCTTAGTTTTTTATCAAACTGCCACCAACAGATCATTAAAATAACTAAAATAGGAAAGAAAAACTTTTTCAAGTACAGTTTGAGACGTGCAAAACTTTACTCAATTCAGAAACCGGGTTAATTATTGCAATATTTTTAAACATACCGCATCCAAATTAAAAATTAAGTCATAATTTAAATTAAATCTTTTTCCTCTTAGAAAAGGCAATCGCCTTTAATAAAGGTAAATATAATAGTAATATCTTTTTTATTTTAGAATTAATAGTTTTTAATGTAAACACTATATTTACACAATATGTAAATAATAAATTATTATACACATTTTTGTTTTAATAATAAAAATACAAGATTATATAAGTACTTAAGTTATATGTCGTATTCAGTTCAGAATGAGTTATAATATTGTATTTTTTTTCTTTTTATGAAAACGACATTTTGCACTTAATATTATTTGACTTTATCGTAGACTAAGTAAATTATATAATTTTTACTTACATTGCGGTATAGCCAATAAAAAAGTTTTATTGACAATCATAAAGCCAAATATCCCTAAACATTAACTCTGTGAATTCATAAATAACAATAAACAGTCGAAAAATATTTGTTTGGCTGTACTGTAAAGTTTTTAAATTATGTCATGCACCATAATTTACCTAGGAAGCGTCAAAAGTTGTAAATATTTCAATTATATTGAGTCATAGGACTTATTGTTACCTAGGGCTCCTAGATATCAGCTGAAAATTGACACCACAGCCAACTGTGGCTTATGCTTTTTGGACACATCATGCTGTTATACTTTAAATTTTATAATAACTGTATAGCATTATTTTTTTCTAATTTGTGTCCATTAAATGTTTCATTAATTTATGTTGAAGTAACGAGTGTTGTCTTTTTGCTTTGTTTGCCTGCGCAACTATGGCCAGTGTTGCCAATTCAACTCTTTTGCAGCTACGTTTTATAAAAATGCATTAGTTCCACAAAATTTGCAAACTCCTTTGTTCTTTTTTATGAACGACTTTTTTTTTAGGTGTATATTTTTAATCAACTGTCAGCAGCCTAATCAAATTCATCTAGGATTGGACATACCAATCTTGTTGAACTGACATGGTTGGGTTCATTTTGCATATAGAAATTAATTTATTTTAATTTAACTGATTTAATCACATGGCATTGAGAGAATTGTTCGAAAGAAACAAATAAACCAACAATAAAAGTAGAAGAAGATACCAATCTTGTTTGGTAAATTTGAGCTCTCACTCAAAAGGTTAGATTTTAGCAACTTTTCTAATAATGGAGTTGGCAACACTGGTTATAATCTCTGTAAAGTTGGACTTGGACTGAATTACACAAAGCACCACTGTAAGTTTGTGGCTGAACATGTCAATCCCTCTGTTTGTTCTGATATAACATTTGCTTGAGAAAAAAAAACTATCTCCTTTAAACGAGTATTTGGTGAGAAATCCAAGATTTATTCGTGTGGCATTTTATTTTTTAATAACGAATTATTTTCGAGTGTTAATTAACGAAATAAAGTATACTTTATGTGTACTATGAGAGAGTTTAACTTCATAATCAATATTGAACTAATCGAATCGCCAAGACATCCATATTAATTTATTTATTGCCTGTAAAATTTCAAAGAAGATTAACCAAGTTGAAAATAAAATGTCTTTATAAAAAGGAACTTTATTTTGATTTCTAAGTAAACGTCGTGTTAGTGCAGACCTGGGGTGACAAAGTACACTATGTAAATATAATGTATTACCCGTTAATAGTTTTGTGATATCATTAGATTTTCTATGGTGGTTTAGAGGTCATCTGTTTCACGCTTAAAATGTTCACGTGTTGTTAGTTCGATTTATATCTCAATAATCACGGCATACGACACACTCTGCAGTAAGTTAGGTTACGACAACATGTCTAACTATCGCAATTACTCATTCACAATGAGGAAGTATTTAAAGAAAAGAAAGCACTAAAAAAGCACCTCACTATCTAGTGAAGTGCTTTTTTAGTGCTTTCAGACAGTTGCCATCTGGCAACTCTACCAAAAGTTGATTTTTGCAGGAAACGAATGGACTAAAGGTAGTCGTTTTCGTTCCATTTAACTAATATATAAAGAGATTTAAATTTGATATCTAACTTAGATATCAAACAAAAAAAAACAATTACAAAAAGAAACGGAAGTTAATTATTGAGGTTTGAAAATTAATGAACTTTTACACATGAAAGAAAACCGGAAGGGTTGTCATGGAGAAATCAATAAATTACCAAAGCGACATCTAGTTTGATTTCGGGAATTAATGTTTTTTTTTTTAAATACTTCTTCATTAGATCCTACAATTTGTGCTACCACCTAGTGACATACATTTTTGTAATTTTTATTATAATACTTTCTCATTGTTATTTAAATTAACTGTTAAAATATATCTTCTTTGTTTAATGATATACTTGAATTAACAACTCTATGTGATAATTGTGGAGGGCATAGTCTAGAAAGCTAAAGAATTATTATTTAGTGGAATAGTGTGTAATAGTAAGTCAATTTTATTAATGTGAACAGTACAATTAAATGTTATGATGAAGATGTGCTGTATTTTTTTTTGGGTCCCTAATTAACTTCTTGACAGTTATAACAAAAAAATATATGTTGCAAATAGTTATATGTAAACAATAAGTATGAGGGTCAAACTGAAAGTTCTTAGAACTGGCCACTTATAAACAATATAATAAAAAATAATTCTAAAATTTGAAAATATAACTCTTTGCCAATATTACTGAGTATATATTTCATTCATTTGTCATTTGTTTTACGATTTGGCGGCAAATTGAAAATTGTCTGTGTCACGTCATCATGAATTTAACACGAGAAAATTTTCGTGCAATGATTTTTTATGACTTTCGATGTCATTTAAGTCAACAAGAAAGTTATGATAGACTACGATTGGCCTTTCACGATGAAGCCCCATCTCGTGCGACTGTTTACAACTGGTTTAGTGAGTTTAAACGTGGTCGCACTAATCTCACTGATGATTTACGTGAGGGACGGCCTTCTACGGCGACGACTGAAGATAACATCTGTGTTGTGCGGCGTATGATAGAGACTGACAAAAGAGTGACCTATCAACAGATTCGGACAAGCTTAGGCATCGGTATGAGTCAAGTGCACAAAATCCTCCACGAACATTTAGCGGTCAGGAAGCTTTGCGCCCGGTGGATACCTCATAATTTGACTGAGGCTCAAAAACTCCATCGTGTGGATTGGTGTCGTAAAATGATTGAAAGATTTAACGGAGGTGACTCAAATGCTGTGTTCGACATACTAACAGGTGACGAAAGCTGGATTTACTGTTATGATCGTAAAACCAAAAGACAATCTGCTCAGTGGGTGTTTCCTTTCGAGGAGTTGCCAACTAAAGTGAAGAGAGATCGAAGTGCGGGAAAAAAAATGGTGGCCTCGTTCTTTGGAAGGATAGGTCATTTTGCAACAATTGTGTTAGAGGATCAAAAAACAGTTTCTGCAGAATGGTACACTACCAATTGTTTGCCACTTGTCTTGGAAAAAGTTCGAGAGAAACGACCTCGCAGTAGGATCCTCCTTCACCACGACAACGCCTCGTCGCACACCGCCAAGCGAACGATCGACTATTTGGCGACATCAAACGTTGAATTACTGGGTCACCCGCCGTATAGCCCCGACCTCGCGCCTTGTGATTTTTATTTATTTCCAAAAATTAAAGAAAAACTTAAAGGAAAGCGGTTTATGAATGCTGAAGAAGCGGTGGCTGCGTATCGCGATGCCATTGAAGAGACCCCTAAGGACGAGTGGGCAAAGTGCTTTTCCCAGTGGTTCCATCGCATGCAGCGGTGTATTGACGTGAATGGACAATATTTTGAAAAGATATAATAAAACTAATAACTGGCTAATGTAATCAGTTTTTGATTTTCTAAGAACTTTCAGTTTGACCCTCGTCTTTAGTGCAATCTTATAAAAACAAAAATATTGATGTCAGTGTCAAAGCAAAATTAAATATAGCATTCAGGTTTCCTGAATATATTAACTAGTTTATAAAGTAAAAGGGGATCCAAAGTATTCGTTTCACGGCACGTTGATAACGATTTAATGTAAATCTATGATTATAATAAAAATTAAGGTAAAATAGTCTTTCGATGCAGGAAACAAAACGCAAACAGCACAACTACTACCTAAATATTATGAGTGGCAACATATCGGTTTCTAATGTCAATATTCGTCTACGAAGTGTTGATTCCCAGAAATACTTTAAAATTTGTGAATAACTATTATGAGTACTTAATTACGTACTTTAAAACTTTTAAAATGTGTAAAAGTTAATTTGAAATTGGAAAGAAATTGTGTGTTATAGTTGAGGTAAATAAATCTTATTGATCTTAGATAATCAATATGGTGACTAGAATGAACTGCTTTGTTTATAGTCCTCCCTTTTAATTTACCAGTTCTTTTATAAATAACTTTAGTCTATAATCAAAATCTTCATTAATGCATGAATATTTGAAAGTTTATCTCATCAAATGATATTTAATTAGAAATATTTGAAATACTTATTATGTTGACATAATAAAAACATAATTGACTCAGATTACTTTATCTTTAAATACAAAAAGAAATGCCTTTTACTATGGATAAGTAGTTTTAAATGTTTATGACCAAATACTTGAAGAAATTAATTGATTGAGGGTGAATAGGAAGTTTTTTGAAGAAAAATATTGCAATTTTGTCTCAAGGAATGTCAAAACAGTTAATTAGTAAGAAAAACAATTTTGTTAAAGCTAATGCTTTCACTACCGCATAATTAAATGGAGTTATTTTGGTTGTTATTACTGAATATTTAATACAGTATTAAACTCATTGAAAGTACATGAAGAAAACTATATCAGGTACGGGATAAGATAAGATAAACTTTATTTCAATTTAAAAATTATTCTATATTACAATTTGCTTGTGATAAATGTGAGCCAGACTTATTTTTATGTTGACACCTTAGTAAATATTGTACTTGTATAGTAGGTTTCTATAATAAATTAAAACTATTTCAATTTGTGGTTATTCTAAAATAATATATAAAACAATAAATTACATAATATCTGCAACAAAATACGACTTATTTGGTTATTGCCTTGTCTCTATTAAATAATTACAGCAAGTATTTTTTCTGTGTCATTATATGATCTACCCTCTAACCAGTTGTGTATGGCTTTTTTACATGAGATTTTATTCAAAGGGTAAAGTTTACTTTATTATATATATAACTCCTGAGAAAACAAAAAGTCTGTGGGAGTGTGAAGTCCATTCCTTTTCAGAGTGTACAAACAATATCAGTCCTTCACTTACTGGTTTGGAGTGTAGGGTTATAATGTGTTAGGGAGTGCTTTTTAAGGACTGTTAGTTGTATATACAACTGGCAAACAACAAAGACTACAGTTGACTAAGGGTTCTGCGGTTGGGAATCTAAATGGCCTGAAGATGTTTACTTTTAGAATGGCTCTCTGTGCTATTTCTAACTTTAGTATGAATGGATTTTATCAAGTATTTTATATGATAAATGTCAGTATATCATAGTAAATGCTCAAATTCACAGCAAGTATAACTACCATTGAATGCAATCCTAGTGAGCATTGTTTTTTTATATGTAAAATATTATGTATAAATATATTGCTCAGTTTTTTAACAGACTTTGAAAATGGAAAAGATTAACTATTAAATCAAATGAAAATATCTTTATTCAAGTAAGCTTATTACAAGCACTTTTGAATAGTCAAAAGATTTCTTTTTCTCCTACCACTTGTTCAGGATGTTTTTTAGCTGATAAGAAGAACAAGTGAAAGAAACTTACCAGCTCTTTATCATAAGTAATGACATTTACATAAAACATGTCATTACCAAAATAATATGTATTATCAATTTATCACAATAGTAAATACAACTTTCAAAGTCTGTAGGTCATAGGTTGTACATTAAATTAGTTGTTATAGAACAAAGCGAACACTATTAATTCCATGCATTGTGATCGTAAAAATAATCATCAACTTTATAATAGCCTTTACTCATAAGTATGTTCTTTACATGAATTTTTATGAATTGAACATAGCAATAAATGCATTGCTATGTTCAATAAAGTTCCACAAAATGTAATCAACCTACCCATAAATAAATTAAAAATTCATGTAAAGAACATACTTATGAGTAAAGGCTATTATAAAGTTGATGATTACCCAGAAATGATAGCGAAAGTTTTAAGTTTGAAATATTTTCTAGATCTTTTTCCCAGAATATTATTACCTTTAACTATATGATAAAGATAGGCAGACAGTTGCAACCACTAATCGTTGCCCATATCCAAAGAGCTTTTGTATTTTATACCTATATAATTATTGAAAATGTTGAAGAACAACTATTTTTATTTGTTGACATTGTATTTATACATCAAGATGATTTAAGAATGTAAAAGAAAGATGTTCTGGTGCTTGCCCTTTGTAATCAGTACTAACATCTATACTTATATTATAAGAAGGGAAGGATTGTTTGCATTTAATAAGCTCCAAAATTACTGGACCGATTTTAAAATTCTCTCACCTACAGGATGCTACTTCATACTCGGGTGACATAGACTTTAATTTATACGAAGTCGCGTGAAAACAGCTATTAAATATAAATACGTATAGGAGGGTAATTATAACATCTTGAGACATTTTCAGGGTTCAAAAATGGAAGCTACAGAGCAAGTGTTCATTAAACAAGAAGAGGATGTCGCAGGATTCAAAATGGAAGTAAAAGTTGAAGTGGAACCGTATGACGAACACGAGATCATTGCCAACACTGTCTGCGAGCAAAACGTGAAAATTGAGATAACCGAAAAAAATAGTGACACCGCCATCTATGAGAATGACACGGAATCAGACGACGAAAATGTTAAAAGCAACCCTAGAACTATAGAATTTGAGGGTACCGCCTTTGTTAACGGTAAAAGGAGTCGTTTGAATTGCCCACAATGCGATACCACTTTTAAGAACCGTGCTAATTTAAAAAGTCACCTCAAATATATACATGCTACAGAAGATGAAGTGAAAGAATGCGATATTTGTTTCCGCACCTTTAAATCTCTAGTTCATTTGCGGTCGCATACGAATTCCGTTCATGCTAACGTTAAAGAAGTCACATGCGATTTTTGCGGCAAGAATTTCTTGAACAAAAAGAAATTAAACAACCACATTTTCTATACACACCCGAAAACTGAGGAAAACGCGATATGTGGCATCTGTTCTAAAGTCTTCAAAACTAAGTACAGATTAAAACTCCACATACGAACTGTTCATCCCGAAGGGAAGAATGTGAAATGTCCAGATTGTATGAAGGAATTTAAATCAGATATGCTATTACAGAGGCATATAAAATGGGCTCATCCCACCGACGGAATGACTTACCGATGCCAGGAATGCGGAAGAGTATTGCCGTCCATTTATTGTTACAAGAAGCATTTGAAAAATGTCCACGGCTTAGGTAATATCAAATGTGAACATTGCGACAAAGTATTCCAAACTAAAAACACTTTACACAGGCACATAAAAACCTTCCACGAAGGAATCAAGATCGAGAAGAAAGAATACAAGAGCGGTCAACACGAATGCGATAAGTGCAATAAAAGATTCAGTACATTAACAGCGCTGACGTGGCATCAAGAACGGCTACATTCAGAGAACAAAGTCAATACGACCTGTCAGATGTGTTCCAAAGAGTTCGGTGACCACAACGGACTGAAACGACATTTGGAAACAGTTCATTCGATGGAGACGGCTACATGTAATTTGTGTTCGAAGACTTTTAAGTCGTATTTGAATTTGCAGAGGCACATTCGAGTCACCCATGCGCCTCCAGAAGCAGCTCAGACTTGTGATATATGTCAGAAAACATTCAAATGCTCTATGCACTTAAAAATACACGTTTATGCCGTTCATCCAAAGGAAGGTAGAGTCAGTTGCGAGATATGTAAAAAGGAATTCTCCTCCAAGAAGTATTTGATTAAGCACGAGAAAACGCATAATAGCAAAGATTTCCCTTGCAATCAATGCGGTAATTATTTTAAAAGCGTTTTTGATGTCAAAAGGCATATAAGTAGAGTTCATATGAAGAAGAAGCAGAATGAGACTAGAATTGACAGCAGTTGTTTGAAATGTGGTGTTAATTTCACGGATGATGCTGAATTACATTCCCATATAGTTAGTTGTGGTAGTCAAGATATAACGTTTATAAAAGTTGAGTTAGAAGAAGATATTGAGCACTCGTAGAAGAAAAATCATCTGTACATTTTTATTGTGTTAATAAATTAATCTGTAAAAATAGGCAAATGAATTTATGGATATATTGAATTTTGTAAATATAAAATTATATTAAAATTAAATAGAAATACATTGATTATAAAATATCTGTGAATTTTTTATCGCGTCAATAGGTATAACAATTTTTGAAGAATTTAATAGACTATATTAACGTTTTAATATCTCGATAAATTTTAATACTAATAAGAAAGAAAGAAAGAAAAATAGTTTATTGCTGTCAACCCACATAATGTGTGCGTTATGTGGGTTGACAGCAATAAACTATTTTTGTAACAATAATAATGTGAAAAAAAAAACTATTTGTATAATAAAGTGGTATTATGTAGGCTATGCGATGCCAACACTGGATTCAACTCGGTATAAGCAACAGGCAGGGCCCGACGCACTGATACTCTGCTGAGTTCAGTCATGATATCACAGAGTATAATTATTTCAATTTAAGACTGGAAATGTCCGCTTTAAAACCATATTAGAAAAAGTGACTAAAGCAAGCAATACTAAAATAAAAAAATTTCAAAATAAATCAATCAGTTTCAAAATAAAGGGCCTACTTATAATAAGATACAGCTGAGTAGGCTAGATTCCAAATTCCTTCATTTAAAAAGCACTTTTAAAAAAATGGATATGTGATGTAAAAATCTAAAGTTAGAAGAAGAAAACGTAAAAGTCTAATGAGGAAGTATTTTAAAAAAACGAAAGCACTAAAAGCACCTCCACTAGATGGCGACTCTAGCAAAAGTTGATTTTAGCAGGTAACGAATGTTTGATTTCGGAAACTATTTTTTTTAATACTTTCTCATCGATACAGATGCAGGACTGACCAAATAGGAAAACTGTTTTCTTTTTCGCGACTGAATTTTCAATCCAGGTTGCTAGCGTACAGTCGGCCAAGAAAGTGGTCTACCACCCTAAGGTTGAATTTCGCGTGTTACGTCAACTAACAACAAGGTTGATTTTCCGTAGCATTAATTTTTTGACACGTCAAGTACACGTCTGGCTTCGCACGGCTTGTGCATTTAGCCAATGACATTATTTTGTGGGTAAAGTTAGGGAAACGTCAGGAAAGGGATAAAGTTTAAGGTTAACGGGAATTTGGAATAATAAGGATTAGAAGGGTATAAGGATAAGATGAAGGATATTATTATAACATAAGGTAAAGGAATGATAGATATAAATTATATTACAGTTTAATATTGTTGAAAATAATAAATTTTGCTAGGGATTTATATACAGATGGATTATTCATAGCGAGCAAGGAGGATACGGAAGTTGGGAAAGGAATTTTAATTGATATTAGGTCATTTAAAAAGAAGGAGCGATCATACTTTAAACAAGCAAAAATGATGTGATTTAGTTCGCCAATAATACCCTTACCGCAGTCACAAATGTTATTGTTAATAATACCAAGTCTAGAGAGATGATCAGGAGTGCAAACATGTCCAAGTCGCATGCGAATTATTATTGAAATAGCCTTTCTTCCGTAATCAGCAGTCCGGTACCATGGTTTAAGAGAAATGTGTGGTTGAATAGAAGCATAAAATTTACCTTTTTTACTTGAGCTATTTTCCCAAATATTACACCAGGCACTATGAAGATCAGTCTTGGCTATAGACAAGAGGTCATGGCTAAAATTTTTATATGGATGCATGTCACCACAGTTCACGGCCTCATTTGCTAATCTATCAGCTATCTCATTGCCACCTATACCGCAATGACTTGGGATCCACATAAATTGTACGTAGTAATTGTTAACGTAACACTTATAAAGTAATTTTCTTATTTCAGAAATAACAGGATAATATGTTTTCATTCGAAAGGGAAATTTACCAACAGCCTGAAGAGCGCTCATTGAGTCACAGAATACAATTGTTTTCTTAAGCTTCATAATAATAACATATTCCAGGGCCTTTAAAAGTCCATAACATTCACCTGTGAAAACTGAGGATTCGGGTGGAAGTTTAATTTTTTGAACAACATTGTATTGTGAATGATAAACACCTATGCCTACATTGCCAGACTTATTGTTTTTTGAAGCATCAGTAAAAATATGATGATGGTCTTTATATTCACAGTCTATGGTATATTTAAAATTAAAACTGGCTGTAGGATCTTTATTAATAGACTTTAAGATAATATTCGGACATAATATTAAAGATTGATAGTTAACATCAAAAAGTGGTAGCAAGTTAGAACGATGAGTGGGGTTGTGCAGGTTTTTATATTTTTTATAACTTTTTATTAAACAAGGAAGAGTTTTGTGAGACCAATATCTGGAAGAGTTAATTTCTTCTTCGAGTGATTGAAGCAAGGGGAAGAGCGAATGATTAGATAATTGAATAGAGCGAAAAACAAATCTGTCAGATAAATATTGACGACGTAAATGTAAAGGCGCCTCACAACATTCTACTTGTAATGCATTGATGGGACTCGACTTCATAGCTCCTGCTATTAATCTGAGTGCTTTGGATTGGATTCTGTCAAGTTTTCTTAAGGCAATACTATTACCGGGTTCTAACAAAAAGGTACCGTAATCTAGTATACTACGAATCAGGGAATTATATAGTATCTTAAGGCTAAACGGATGAGCACCCCACCACACACCTGATAAACATCTAAGGATATTCAAAAGGCGTTCACATTTGTTAGCTATATGCTCACAATGTTGAGCGCCTGATAACTTCGAATCTAAAATAACTCCTAAATACTTATAGCTTTTTAAGACTGGAATTGAATCATTATCGTACATAATTTGAACGGAGGGAATGATACGTTTTCGAGAAAATATTACCACAGCGCTTTTAGAGGCAGAAAGGCTTAAACCATTCTGATCTAACCATTGCTTGAGATCATTTAAAGCTAATGATAAAATAGATGTTGCTCTTTCTATATCGCGATTGGTAGAATAAATTAGAAGGTCATCAGCATACTGAAGAATTTTAATACGGTTTTCAAATATTGACTCTAAATCATGCGTGTATATATTGTATAGCAAAGGGCTTAACACAGAACCTTGTGGTAAGCCTTTCCAAACTGTTCTAGTCATATCGTTATTATAATTGTATATAAGTTTCACTGTACGTTCGTTAAGTAAATTAATAATGAAGCTAGAAAGAAGAGAAGGAACATTAATGGTATCCAATTTGGTTTTTAAGATCGAAAGTAAAACATTATCGTATGCCGATTGTATATCAAGGAAAGCCGCGACTACGGATTCATTAAATGTAAATGCTAATCTTACATCTGTATTAAAAATACTAATATTATCAATGGTGCCCTTACTTTTCCGAAAACCATATTGCGATTTAGAAAGAACTTGTTTGTTTTCAACAAACCACTCCAGGCGGTTTTTAATTAAATGTTCAGCCAATTTAACCAAAACATTAGATAGGGCGATGGGGCGATAGTTGTTAGCAACATTTCGTGATTTATGAGGTTTTAGCACTGGCAATATCACTTGGGATTTCCATGACATTGGAACGTTTCCTGTTATCAAAAAACTGTTAATGACATCTAAATAATATGAGAGTGTGTTATCAGTCAGTTTTGAAAAAAAGCAATAAGGAATTCCATCTTCTCCTGGGCAGGAGTCTTTGACATTATTGATTATACCTTTTAATTCATATAGAGTAAATGGTCTTTCTAAGTAATGCGAACTTTGTGTCGATAAAGTCTTATTATTCTCTGAGACCCATGGGGGGGCTAATCTATCAAGGAAGTTATATGCTAAGGATTGGGGAAGAACTGAAAAAGAAGTTTTGTTGAAAGCACATCTAAAACGCTTTATATTGTTCCATACTATTGTTGGATTGACGTTAGGTGAAATAGATGAACAAAAATTTTTCCAACCTTCAAATTTCTTTTTCTTGAATAGTTTTTTAGTTTCTAATTTAAGTTTACAAAAATGTTCAAAGTTAGTATCTGACATGTTTTTATTATATTCTTTTTCCGCTTGTTTCCTTTTCCTTACAGCAAGAGTGCATTCCCTGTCCCACCAAGGAGGAGATGGAATTTTTTCTGAAGTATTTTTCACAGGAAATGTTTCATTAGCAATCTCTGTTATTAAGTGGGTCAAAGATTGAGCACATATTAGATTATTGTCACTGTTAACAGAGGGTAGCAGACTTAACTTAGCCTCAATCTTTTCTTTAAAGGAATCCCAAACCTTATCATTTTTAGTGTATTTATATTTTCTAAGGGATATCTTTTGTGGAATTATTTGTTGCTTACAAGGAAATTCAATAATTATTGGATAATGGTCACTACCATAAGTATAGGGAAGAGTTTCCCAAGATAGAGAAGAGGCCAGGCTTGGAGAACAAATAGATAAATCAACAGCACTGGGATTTTGATTTGGTCCAGTTCGACGTGTGGGACTGCCTGTGTTAAGTAAACATAAATTATGCAAGTCAATAATATCTACTAATTCTCGTCCCAGAGTATTACACTGAAAGCTTCCCCAGACTGTATGGTGACAATTAAAATCACCAAGTACTAAAAATGGCTTGGGCAGATTAGAAAATAAAAAATTGAGTTCACTTAAAATATAAGGTGAAGGGTGAGCTATGTACAATGATACAAAACAAACATTATTAAAACTTACAGCTACAATTGAAATATCATCAGAGTGAGGTGGAAAAGTTACACTTAAAAAGGGAATTGTATTTCTAATAAGTATAGCTGTTCCACCACCATCTGTACCTAGTCTATCGTCTCTAACTATGTTGTAACCAGCAAAATGAAAGTTTTTTTGTGGTTTAAGCCAAGTCTCTGACAAAGCAAAAACAAATGGCTTGTATTTGTTGGTCAAATATATAAGTTCACTTCTTTTATTTATGATACTCTGAGTGTTCCACTGTATTATATTGTGTAGATCCATTATTAATTGTTAACATTAAATTTTCAAACAAAGAGGCAACGTTGGACGGTGAAATAAAGTTATATTTAGCTAATATATTAAATAAAGCTGTTATTAACTCAACATGAGATTGATTTCCTTGATCTTGAGGTTTTTGTATAGCACATCCATTAGCAGGTGTAGGGATTCTAAAGTCATTTATGATAGCATTATGTGCTTCTTTATTGTAACCCATATTGGTTTTATTTATATTACGAGGGTTTAAAAATACTGTTTTCTTATAGGATGTAGTGGGAGATCTACTATTTTGAGATGTGTGAATATTATTATACAAAGGAGATTGAGGAAGAGGCTTCGAAGCTACTATGTCTGCATATGATTTAGTTACTGGAGGGTGAGCTTTGGAAGCCTCAGCATAAGACACACAGTTTTGAGCCATGAATGTTTTAATTTGTTTTTGCCTCATAAATTCAGGACATACTTTGCTAGTGGCATAATGAAAGCCAGAACACAAACAGCAACAGGCATCCTCTTCAACTGTACCACAAGATTCCCCAGTGTGGTCCTTGCCACATTTGTAACAACGGGGCTTAGATCTACATTGTACCTTTGTGTGACCAAACCGACAGCAATGATAACACTGTATTGTAGGGTATATATATAAGTCAACATTTAATGCATTATAGCACAAGTACACTCTCTTAGGAAGTATCTGTCCATCAAAAGTAATAATTACAGTTTGTGAAGGTTTCCATGTTGGGCTTCCATCAATAAAAGTTTTGAAGTTCATGCGTCTGACTTTCATTATAGTCCCACATCCTACAGGTACTGAAATATTAGCCATGACCTCTTCAGGTGACCACTCAGCAGGAACACCTCTAACTAACCCCATTCGGGTGACATTAAATGTTGGTATATACGCTCGGTAATTATTGACTTGGAGAGCTTTATCATTAAGAAAAGAGTTTGCATCTTTAAAATTAGTAAAACTAATTGAAATTTTATTTCTGCCAATTTTCTTGACACTGCCATTGACAATGTTTGGGAATTTATTCTTTTTCAAAAAATTGCCGAACTTAACTGGGTGAATTGATGTCTTGTCATCTGCTGATAATATTAGTTTTTGTACATGCAATATAAAAGGTGAAACATCTGACTCGCAATAAGCTTTCCTACCGATATAAGTTGATGAAGGTAAATTAGTTACTGGGGGAGGGATGATCGAGTCTGATATTACAGATGTGGGTGCTGAAGGAAGGTCGAGAGAAGTTATATTGTTATTGAAAGAAGTTTCAGTACAAGAACAATCTGTTGGTTTAGGTTCAGAACCGTGATGCCGCCTTCTTTTTTTGTTACACGTTTTGCATAGATTGGAGCGACGGCTCCTTTTTAAAGTCGATCTATTCGATGTAGATGCATCCGTATCCATCCCTGACTCGGAACAAACTGTAACATAACTACCTGCCGGGGGGACGAATCCCCCCGGGTCGTCGGGGGGCTCGCCCATAAAAATAATAAAAAAACTTACCTAATATCTGCAGCTAAGCACTAACTCTAATATATAAACAAATATATAAATGTAAATACACAAAAATACCCTTCTAATGAACTAACTTAATAATTAATTTTAATTATTTTATGCCACTAAAAAAAAACACGCCTAACAATTTCAACATTATTGCTATCTTCATCATTTTGACGTAACCTTTGACAGTAATTATCTATACCTATAATAAAAATGTAACAAGGTTACATTTGTAAGATATTTTGGAAAAAAAATATATGGACGGCCTTCATAAGACTAATAGAAGCCAAAAATATTTTTTTTTTCTGTCTGTCTGTTTAAATACTTTAGAGTTACAAATATCCTACGTTAGAATGTAGATTAATTATATTTTAATACAAATAAAAAAAATCAGTAGATAGTGAAATGCTATGCGTAAGAAGCTATGCGTGTTATAGGTCTGAATATACTGAGATAACGGATAACAGAAATGAATAGCGACGAAAAACATATTGCGCCGACCCATAGCTTAGTGCGAGACAAGGGCTAAAACTAGACAAGATGAAAATGCTAATTCTTTGGTTGTTAAAAAATATATACAATTCTTTTATAAAATTATAATTCTTATAATCTTGTGTAGCCGCCATCTGCCTCTATAACAGCTTGCAGACGTTCCCTCATCGAGCCCACCAGTCTTGAGCAGATATCAGACCCACGTGTTTCCTCCCAAACCTCATTGCAGTGCCCTTGTAGTGCTTCTGCTGTTCGTTCATTACCATAAGACCCCCACATATTTTCAATAGGGTTGAGATCTGGCGATTTTGCAGGCCATGGTATCAAGTTTATTTCCGGATGTGCATCAAACCAAGCACGTGTTACCCTTGCTTTATGTAAGGGACAGTTATCCTGTAAATAATTAAATTGACGCATTTCATTTTCAAGATAAACGTTCCGGACGGATGGCAACATAGCATTTTGGAGAACATCAACATAATCTGATGCCGTTGCTCGTGGTGGCAAAAAGGTCAAGTCTCCGACACCATCAGCAGTCATCCATCCATACAAATTTACCGAGATACGACCCGATTCTCTATTTGGCACGACATGATTTTGCGTGTATCGCGTTTTATTGAATCGCCAAAGGTGTAAACGCCCGTGTTGACTGGATTTAAAAGTTTTCTCGTCACAGAAAACAGTGTTACTCCAATCAAAATCCAAATATTCTATGGCGAAATTTAATCTGGCCATTCTATGAGCGTCAGTCATATAAATTTTCTTTGCATAACGCCTGTGATGTAAGCCCATGTAATGTAAATGGTTTCTAATGGTTTGGAGAGTCACGTCAAATATGTCGGCAAAATAACGCGTTGGTATAAAGCCAGATTCCTCATAACTCCGTCTCATGAAGACTCGCTGAGTATCTGATATTTCAGGTCTACGACCGCTACGACTCCGAGCGTTCAAATTCCCCTCCTCGCTTTCTCGTCTTATCCAAAGACGGACAGCTTGTCTCTATAATCAAAAATAAAATATGAACAGAAAAAATTAAAAAAAATTTTTACACTCGGACTTGGTCTGAGATTTTACATTAAACTCACGTCAGACATAATAATACTTACCGACACATTTAATTCTCTAGAAATCTCACTAATATTCAAACCATCATTGTGTAATGCGATTATTTGTGCTCTTTCGTTAATGAATAAATTTCGGGGCATTGTAGTGTAAATTAATTAGGAAAATACCTACGGAAAATGCCGAGAAAATATTTGACATGAATTGTCAAGTGATCTATTCTTTTTCAGTAAAAGAGTTTTCGTAACAAAATAGTTTCCACTTTGAAGTGACCTACTTAAATTTTAAATTTATGAAATATTGTGAAGACTATTTGTTGTTGCAAATTATTATCTAATGCATAGACTGCAAAGGTCAAAATAACATTTGTGCTCTACGACAACACGTCAGCATTGTGCATCTCTTTTATTGTTTGCATGCAATTCTCAGATTCGCCTTTAGCGATGCTTTAAAGACACGGGAAATGTTGTCAAAACTGGTAGACCACTTTCTTGGCCGACCGTACACACAGATAAAGCTTTAACTTTTCAGCGCTGGCCGTATGTGCTGAGACCCCTTTTCCTTTGTCTTAATGGAAAAAACACCAACCACTTTTTGTAATCTTAAAAATATTTTGAAAAAGCGAAAGTAGGTAGTGGTTTTTTTACAGACTATTTGAAATGTGTATTTGTCCGTTTGGATGCGGAATATAATAGCGTTACAACTTCGAGGTAAGCAAATTCTATTGATACTGCTTATTATGGTAAATAATCTGCTTTGTTTGTACTGTTTAACGTGGTACTTTTACTGACCATTTCACTACTAGAAAATTTGACTTTAAGTGTTCGTGGTCTTCTTTTCTCTCTTCAGAAACATTCTCTGATCTCGACCTAAGCGGCATTTTATCATAGCAAAGCAATATTAACTGCGAGAAGAATAGCACTTTCGATTTAACTTCTGCGCATTAAGCGTTAACCAACTTTAAATTTTGCATATTATTGCTAAAATTGGAAACAGTTGCCATTTGAAATGACTGTTTGTTGACAACAGTGTAATAAAAACGTCTGCCAAAAACAAATTGAAATTATTATTTCCTAAGTTTATGCATTTGAAGTTAAACTCCAGTACAAATTGTCTTTTTTTATATACTTTAGAATATTTATGTAAATAATAATTTGAATTTGGGGTCAACACTTTATTAATAAAGAAATGAAAGCCCATTTAAAACCCGATTGCACAAACTACCATTAAAATAGTCATTATTTTAAAGTGCCATTATCAACATCATCTGTCTTGTTACATACCCAGTGCAGGAGTTCATGCCTTTCTTATAAATGGTTAAGGAGTATGGGCCATAACCCACCATTCGGGCCCAATGCTGATTGAATGGTATTAACAACTGCTTAATGTGCCTTCAAAACCAAAGAGTTGCTTGTCAGGACTATTTTTGGTCATCTATCCCGTGACCGACCTTTGCAAAAGGTGCTTAATAACAATGATTGCGGGTCGCGGCGCATATCTACTACACTATTGAGCTACTCCTAAGTGCCATTATAACTTACAAATTTTCAAAATTATAACATTCACTAGAGCTCAGTGTTAAAGAGTAACACTAAAAATCATATACATACAATCTAGAGAATAAAAAAATGTAATAATTTTTCAGGTTTCAAAAATGGATTCTACTGTCATTAAACAAGAAGCTAACATTGAAGAATTCAAAACGGAAATGAAAATTAAAGTTGAACCGTTTGATGAATACGACAACACTTCCAATATAGTTTACGATCAAAACATAAAAATAAAAGCAGAACCGTTTGATGAATACGAAACCACCACTGGTACTGTCTACAATGAAAACGTAAATATAAAAGTAGAACCATTTGATGAATATAAAAAAGTTACTAATTCCGTCTGCAAACAAAGTGTAAAAATTGAGAGACCTAAAAATTTTCATAAGTCAACTTATCAAAACTATGTGACACCAGCAAGAAGAAATTCACAAATGAATTATATGCATGGTAATATAATACATGGTATACAAGAGATAAGCAATAATTATCACACATATTTTTTTAACAATAACACTAGAAATACCTATGGACTAAACAACAGTTATGGACTAAACTATAGTTATGGACTAAACAACAATTATAGACAAAACAACAGTTATAGACAAAATATTCATAGATTGAACATCAATCATAGGCCAAACAACCATGTCATTAATAGACATCCTGCTCCAAAGAGAGCTGAGACTTGTCCAGTTTGTTCCAAGAGCTTCAAAAGTATGGTTGCTTTAAATCAACACCTAAAAAGTGTACATGTTCCAAGACTCGACTCACCTACCTTCGAATGTCTAGATTGTAAGAAAAAATACAAATCATGTAAGCTATTACAGGAACACAAAATATCGGTGCATTCCTTCAGCCTATGTGGTACAGCTAATGAAGAATTGAAAAAGGGTTTAAGTAATATAAAGTGTGATGAAGTACACTATTTAGAAAATGTAAAAAAGGAAAAATGCAATGAAGTACAATGTTTAGAAAATGTTAAAAGTGAAAAATGTGATGAAGTACACTGTTTAGAAAATGTAAAAAGTGAAAACTGTGATGAAGTACACTGTTTAGAAAATCTAAAAAGTGAAAACTGTGATGAAGTACACTGTTTAGAAAATGTAAAAAGTGAAAAATGTGATGAAGTACACTGTTTAGAAAATATAAAAAGTGAAAGTTGCGAGGAAGTACACTATTTAGAAAATGTTAAAAGTGAAAAATGTGATGAAGTGTTACAAAATAATGACTCCTTGCTGAATGATATAAAACTATACCAAGAGTGTATAAAAGTTGAAATGGAAGATTATGAAAGTGATCTTTAGGAATAGAAGGCAGTGAAGAGAAAATTTGTTATAGAACTTTTCTATTTTTATATGATGTAAATGAACATTTTTATTTTATTTTTAAGTTTCCTTAGTGCCGCAATACACTCAATAGACTAGGTTTTAACAAGACTTGATTTTTATTAATATATAAAAATTTAATAAAAAATATAAAGTACCACATTTTAAACCCAAACTTTTTATTGTAATACAATATAATATATACAATACCTTATACATTATCCTCCCAATACTAAAAATAGGATAAAAAAAAAATGTATTTAATCCATAACCCATATAATTATAAATAAGGTCAATTTATAATATGTTACCCAAGATTTGGCTGTATAGCTTAATTCCTTCGCCTGTTCCATGGACGAAACTACTACTACTTATAATCTGTCTCTCACATAGAGTCTCTCATTAGAAAATAAATAAGGGTCACTTCGCCTGTTCGCGTCCAGTACTTCAATATTTATGATATGTGTTTAGAAAAAAATAGTAAGCCTGACTATTCAACAAAAGAACGCGGTACATTAAGAAAACAGTGCAGCATCGCGGTATTATATTTTTATGTGAGATTTAGGACGCATAGCTCTTTCTAGACTTTATCAAAGTAGACTTAAAGTCTAGAAAGAGCTATGCTATGTGAAAAAAGAATAATGTTTATTATGAATTTGCTTATTTTTCTTTATAGTTAAACAGTAAAACTTGCATTTTCATCCACTGGCCCTGCGTAGAGATGTTGCTTCACTGTGCATCTTATATCGCATCTATTACGGGGAATGCTCCGAGGAATTGTTCGGACTCATACCTGCCGCTACCTTCCGCCATCGTTCACGCGACAAGAAATCCACGCCCATCATTTGGATGGTTGGAAGTCCTCAACTGCGCGTTTTTCTAGAAGTTTCCGACGTAAACGACCTTCACTTTCAAGCGTAGAGCATACTCGTCCCTCAAAGGCCGGCAGCGCACTTGTAGCCCCTCTGGTGTTACAGGTGTCCATGGGCGACGGTAATCACTTACCACCAGGTGATCCGTCGGTTCGTCGGCCGCCTATCCCATAAAAATAAAAAAAATAAAAAATTGCGTCCGCCATGGACGCAAACCATACCAATAAATGCAGTATGTATACTAAATAACGTAATTTTTGTTCCTTAAATGCATTTGACTTGTCTTACTACCTGTTGTACATTTTAAATTTAGATCGGCTTGTTTTCAAAAATATATCTATTGTTTATTTTAGATTTGGACTACGAGTTTAAAATTCTGTTTTTGTATGAATAGAGTAAGCTTTAATGAGGAGTATTTTTTTTTTTCAATATGGACTTGTTCCGTTATGCACGGAAAGCCAACATCCCGTAGTGAGAAATACGTGATTCAAGAAATTGAACTGTAGTAGTTTCTTGAATCACGTGTCTCTCTCAAATTACATATGAACAGTAATTAATCAATTCTTCCTTGAGATTGTTCTTTCTCTACAAAAAAAAAACAACACAAGAGCAAATATCACTAACTACAATAATTTAAGAAAAAACAAGCCCTAAAAAAGCGACTTCACTAGATGGCGACTCTAGCAAAAGTTTATTTTTGCAGGTATCGAATGGACTAAAGTATAGTAATTTCCGTTCCTTTTAACTAACATATTAAGAAACTGAAATTTGCAAAGTTCGAAACTTAGATATCAATACAAATACGAAAAAGTACAAATATAATAGGAGTTGTTAATGGAGTTTTGAAAATTAATTTACTTTTATACATGAAACAAAACCGGAAGGATTGTCATGGAGAAATCAAGTACCGTTGCGACATATAGTTTAATTTCGGGGACTAATGTTTTTTTAATACTTCCTCATTCTTAATTTCTTTCTAAGGTGAGTTCTACGAAGATAAGAAAGAAGGAAAAGAGAATATACGCAGAAGATTTAAAACTTACTAAAAAATACTGAGGGTAAAGGCTACAGCGCAAGTCACAGAAGGGTCAATTAGATTCTGGTTTAGAAATATTTGGACCAAATACACTCAAAAGATATTCCGATGAAAAAAAAAAACAGGAATATATGTAAAAGTCATATTTTTAAGATCAATTAATGAAATATTAAACCTACTTTGTTTTTTTAATTGAGTTCTATTAATGATGGAAATGTGATTTATCTACACTAATGTTTACATTAATATTAGAAAGAAGTAAGACTTGATTGTTTATTTGCATCGAATAGGCTTCGAAACTATTGGATTTCAGATTTAAAAAATCTTTCACCTACGTCATACGGGGTTGAAATAAGATATAATTGAATCGGGAGAAGTCGCTTGAAAAAAGCTACTTTATAATAATTCTAGCACCTAAGCTTATAAACTGACTATATTTACAGTTTTAATGACAATGAGCGAAAATAAACAAACTATGGCTATAGGAAGTACGCGTTCGAATGTTAAGCAACGTTTGAAGGGCCGGTTAAAGGATGGGTGACCAAAAATAATAAAATAAAGATTATATATAATACAAATTTTTTTTTATGTTTCTGTTTTAATTTTATATTGACTTCTGGTTCTGTTTCTGCTTCCGTTGCATCACTACCTACTGTATGATATCATCCAAAGCTTGGGCGAGCAAGTGCATACAAATTTTCGGTATCCTATAACCGGCCAATGAGAAAATCACATAACATTTTAAATTAAGAAATAATTTTCACCATTCGAAATATCTTAGGTATATAAAAAAATAAAAGACAAAAGTTAATTCAAAACCTATATTACATTGTACATTTTGTAATGCTGACATAATTTAAGTAAAAAAAATAACTATTTACACCCTTTCTTATATGTTACATCAGCCAAATTAGAAATTTCGAATTTTTTTAACAAAAAGTCCTTTTCACAATTTTTAATAAAAAGTTTATCCTCGACCGATCCTTTTATATTTAAGCTTATATTGTTTCTTGCAGCAAATTTCGATAGTAATCTCGTACACATGATTCTTTAGAAGCAAAATAATAAATTATGCCTCTAATGGTTCCAAAAATTACTTTAACTGTTAATTTAAAAATATCTGACCAAGTGCGACTCGGAGTACCATTATCTTAATAAAACGCATGTTGTAAGGGCGCCCCGTAAAATATTTATTCTGTTTTTTAATATTTGTTGTTATATCGGCAATATAAATACATCATCTGTGAAAATTTCAACCGTCTAACTACCACGGTTGATGATATACAGCCTGGTGACAGACAGACGGACAACAATCTTGGTAATTGGGTCTCGTTTTACCCTTTCTGTAACAGAATCCTACAATTTGAAATAAGCAAACGCACCTGGTAAACAATAGTTTATATCTATCAAATAAATATTATGTGCCAGGACTTCGTGGAGTGGATTAGTTAAGTATACTGACCAACTTTTACTATGGGAGCAACACTGAATTCACGAAGAAATAAACAGCTGTTTCATACAAAATTGTAATACCTACAACGTGAGACAGTATGAAACAGCTGATTATTTTTTTGTAAATTCAGTGTTGTAGCCAGAGTAAAAAGTTGTACCGTATCCTGGCTTATAATAATATTACATTTGAATTTGTGCAATAAAACTTAAATATATAAATAAAACAAATATTATATACAAGATTTCTTTAGCAGTACACAAACGGCGATATTTATCTCATTACTACAAGTTGTAGGCACATTTTGTTTTAGAAATAAGTTTCCATAAAAACGTTGGTACATCATGGTCACCCTATTATATCTAAGGGTGAACGACCTAAGATTATCGACATACCTATCATTTGACCACTTTTATCTTTTTTTATTGCCGGTTAAAAGTATTGAATCCTTTTTATTTGTTTTTAAATATTGCTAAATAAATTGTTGGTTAATTTAAAATAATATTAAATAAATATTAACAATATCTATTTGATATTGCGTTTATCCCAATACATTTTTAACTTTGTTCTCTTTATATGACAACACCACACACAGTTGTATAGATTTCTTTCTAAGATTTACTTAGGTAAATTATGTATGTATACATACAACTTTTTTATGCAAATCTTGTTTCATTGAATGATGCTATTGTAGTAGTAGATATGTATAAGAAAACTTAGTATCCATTCACATAAGAAATGAAACACCTTCTTATAGTTGGGTATACAGAAACATCACTACTTAATATAAGTCGCTTTCTGTCCCTATAACCCTATTTACGCTTAAATCTTTAAAACTACGCAACGGATTTTGATGCGGTTTTTCTCATAGGTAGGGTAATTGAAAAGGAAGGTTTTTATGTATACTAATTATAAAATTTTGTTAAGATCGATCATTGGACTTATGTTTTTCTTAGACAGCGACATATAAAATGGCTGCTACACAAATATTCTGCGCATAGAAGCCGTGAACGCGCGGGAACCTCCTCTCCGCCATTTTGAATTATGGCGCGAAATTGAAACTGTTGTATAATTGATTTTTATGCTTTTAAAAATTACTGTAACGCTCAACTATCAGAAAGCTTACAACAGGGCAAATTTTTGTTTGTTTGCCTGTCAGGTAAACTGTTGAAAATATTAAACTATTTATTTTTTCTTTTCGCAATCATTAAATTACATTTATACATTGAGTTAAAATGTCGCGTAACGTCACGCTTTGGTACATCTACAAAACTGTGACGTAGCGAGCCCCCACTCCTCAACTTTAATTTGAACTCAGCTATTTTTTGTTAAATTGTAGTAAAAAAGAATACGTATCTAACATACGTATTATATGAATCTTTTATTATATGAAATTCCTTTTTTTTACCCAGTCTTACTACGTACACATATACTATTTAAACTATGCGCCTCGGTATATTTCTTCTTTACGAATTTAACCGATCAAGAAACCAATGTGTGATCGTCGTTTTTGCCGCCAAAACTCGTCAGCACCTCGACTGTGATGGAAGTGACAGCACGCACTATTTCAGTATTAAGAATTGTATAGAGCTGTGATACGCCAAATTACCTTATTTGAATATAGGTACTAAAACATTGGTTACAGCAGCGACAGTAATGATTCTGAGTCTGAAATGTCGAGTATAGAAGTCATATCAAATTGTGATTAATTGATAAAAAAACTGTTTTACTTACTGGTGTCAGAAACTTATTTAGTTAGTACAACCGATTTATCTTAATTCGACTTTCTTTAATCTGGGGTTTTCATTTTGGTATCAGCTGATGGCAAGAAACACAGTGTACTTTAATTTTTAAATTGGCTGACCCAAACTAAATTTAAGCGAAATGATTAATTATGTAATAACAACTCTATATAGATATCTTAGGATACATTAAATACATTAGGATTGCCGAAGCTCGACGAATATAACCGAAACGCATAATTTAAATAGTATATGTGTAAAGTTCTTATGAAAACTATAATGAAAGCTATTACATAAACTGTATGATCAAAAAAAAAACCTTTTTAATCTAGGTTTTTCCCTTCCGTAATCGATTGCTTCGTACGCCGGTTTCGAGGTGTTGCCATATAAATGTAGAAAAAAAAACTTTTCTATATTAGTCTCTGGTCTGGGTGTTGTGGTACCTCGTTCTCTCAGTTCTTCATACTTGAGCTACTCATCTTGGAACATGAGCCATGTATATGATGTTGTAATATATTTATTTATTGTGTACAAATCTAACGGCACTAAATTTGAAATATATTTAGGCACTGCTTACAAAAAAAATATTTTAGTCCACGATTCAATACATTTCAATACAAATCGCTTCAAGCAGACTGTATCTTCGGACGCCTTATCCTCGGCGGGCCAGTTATCTTCATGTGGACAGTTTTTATATGTGTCTTGACGTCAGAGGACGTCAGGAAATCCTTGTTGCATATCTGACATATGTGCTTCCTCTCACCAGTGTGAGTCTGAATAAGGAAATAAATAACAACTTTATACAGGGTCAAATCAAAGTGTATGCAGGACAATTCCGCAAAGAAGAAGTATTTAAAAGAAAAATAAATCACTAAAAAAGCACCACCACTAGATGGCGACTCTAGCAAAAGTTGATTTTTGCAGGAAACGAACGGACCAAAGACAGTCATTTCCGTTCCTTTTAACTGACATATTAAAAAACTGAAATTTGCAAAGTTCGAAACTTAGATATCAATACAAATACGAAAATGTACAAATAGAATATGAGTTGTTTATTGAGTTTTGAACATTAATTTAATTTTATACACGAAAGAAAACCGGAAGGGTATGAAACCAAGATAGTACCGTAGCGACATCTAGTTTGATTTCGGGAACTAATGTTTCTTTTTAAAATACTTCCTCATTTTTACGTAAAAGTAGGAACTCAATAGAATCTTTACTATTTGCATTGTACTATCTACCTGAAATACAATATTATTAGTGCAATATCTTCCTGACACATTAATAGTGACAGGATATTTTATTTTTTTTATTTATCAACAAAAACATGTACCAGGACTTCGTGGGGTGGATATGTTATGCATACTGAACAACTTTTACTATGGCAGTAACACTCGAGTTCAAGAAACAATAATCAGCTGTTTCATACTGTCACCGAATGAATGAATGAATGAAATATTCTTTATTGTACAAACACCATACAGTCAGAAAATTTAGTTATAAGTTAACGATAAGTACAATCGGCGGCCTTATCGTTTAGACGCGATCTCTTCCAGGCAACCGTTACAAAAAGGAAAAAATAAATTGTAGGTAACCGATTGTAGTGTAATTTCAATTTTGTATGCAACAGCTGATTATTGTTTCGCGAATTCAGTGTTGCTGCCATAGTAAAAGTTGTTCAGTATACTTAAGTTCTGGCATATAATAAATAAATACACCTTATATAATAATATTGGACTACAGGCAGATAATACAATGTTGCAATGCAAGAAGTTGAGATTGTATTAAGATGTAATTATAACATTAAAATTAATAGAATGAGATAAAATAAAAGACTTAATTCAAATATATAAAATAATTAAAAAAATGAGCTACTCAGTGTAATAATTGGGTCAAAATTGGACATGAGTCTTTATCAAAACGGCTGGACTAATTTTATACAGTGATTCTATATTGATAAGTATTAAAAAAAAAGAAATAACACTATGAAACTCACCAGGGTGTGCCTGTTGACCGCGGACTTGGATTTGAACGTTTTAGAGCAGTAAGAACAGACGTGAGGCCGCTCGCCGGTGTGGACCCTCATATGTTCCTACAAACATCATCATCATCAGCCCTTTTACATCCCCACTGCAAAGGCTCAGGCCTTGCTTATGGATGGTTAAGAAGGATGGGCCATGACCCTCCACGCTGGTCCTATGCGGATTGGAGGGTATTAACGACTGCAAATGCAGCCAGGACCAACGCCTCAACGTGCCTTCCGAAGCACGGAGTAGTGAGATAATAATTTTTTGGTCACCCATCCCGTGCCGGACCATTGCGAAAGTTGCTTAACACTTTTAAACGGTTCCATCGCGTTTGTATTTAGTTTTATTCACGTTTCGGACCCTTTACAGGTTCCGTGTTCATTTATGACTAAGGTGTTGATTGTTAACCTTCAAAAACAAAATACTATTGGACACATTCACAAAACAAATGAAATTAAATGGCAACGTTTATATTAATTAAATTTAATTATTATAAAAGTACATTTGACTTATTTATTTACCCCTGGCTTACTTAATCTGTCACCAATTCCAGCTTGGGAAATTATTGCAAAAAAACGTCGATATTTTCCAACATCGATGTTCAGTTTTCGATAAATATCGACCATCCCTAGTAGTGATGGTCAAACCGAGTGACTAACTCGAGTGAACTCGAGTTGGGCGTAACTCGAACCCACTCGAGTTCGTTAACTGAATGGATCGTTGCCGATCATTTGAATAAGACTATGATGTTTATTCATTCATTCATCACAAACAAGTGTCACATAATAATATTTTATGTAGATTTGAGGTTAATTTTAAACTGCCGGTTATTGTTGTAAACTTTGGTGATATATGTTCTGTTTTTAAAAAATGCCGGGAGAAAAAGAAAATCTTTATTTTGGGATGTATTCGAATCCCCAGTGAGTGGATGTGTTGCGTGTTAACAATGTTTAAATTCTGTCCAGATTACCCCCGGTCAGAGGAGACCCCTTACTCCTGACATTTATTATTACGCAATTAGTAAAAAAAAAAAGAATATCCGATGAATTTGCCACGGGCTTCAATCGCTATAGTTACGCCACTGCTTGTCCATCTAGTTAACTCGAGTTATGTAATTCGAGTTCAACTCGAGCTATGCGGATTTTTACTCGGGTTAAATCGAGTTTTGTTTATTCCGAGTTGGCACATCACTAATCCCTAGTTCCAGTTTCACCTTTCGGGTACGGAACCTTAAGAGACAAAACGAATCAGTATCAAGTCCGATACAAGAAGAATTAACACCAAGAAACAAATCGAATCACTTATTCAAACTAGCAAGAAAACTTTATACCGCGATTCAACTACTCCCAGCGCCATCTATTGACATATTTCCGTACTAATTAATAGCACGTAAGCGGACAGTTACCTTGAGCAGTGTCGGCATCGCGAACCTCTTGCAGCACACTGTGCACTCGTATGGCTTCTCGCCGGAATGGGTGCGTTGGTGATGCTTCAGATGTACTATATTCTGTTGGCGATCAATCAACAAAAATAAATATAAGATGGGGTATTATAACACGAGATTTGTTTAGGGGCCATCTATAAATTACGTCACACGTTAGGGGGGGGGGGGGGGGGGTTGACGAATTGTGACATTAGAACAATATTTAGTAGAATTTGTATAGACAAACATGTGACACGGGGGGAGGGGGTTAAAAATCATGAATTTTGTGTGACGCAATTTATGGACGGCCCCTAATAACGATAATAGGTCGACTCGAGTGTTTTAATACATAAGTTATATGCAGTTTCATACACTACTTTATATGCACTCATGGGAACAATTGAAATTTAACAAAGTAGGTAGGTTACAAGGATAGTAGTTTTTGGAATTCCGAATATAAAAACACGATCGGCAAAAATATGTATATGAAGCGCGGGAAATTAAGTTCAAACTGCGCATGCGTGCGCCATTTTTTTCATATTCAACCTAAAACCATAGACTAGTTTAATAAATAAAAAAAGGTAGCGGCACTATAGAGTTTTAATTTTATGTATATGCGTTTATGAAGTGCGTTTGTACAGAATCTTCTTTAAATTCGTAATTCGAATTTTTCGATTAGAAAAATGCTTGAATTATATAAAAAGAACCATTAAGAATATTTTTCAGTAAAGCATTGTGAATGTAAAATAATCGATTACGAGTAATACTGTAATCGATTAATCGATGTGTATAATAATCGAATCAGCACATCATTAATCTTAATTTCGAACATTGCAAATATCAGTATTTTGATATGTCATTTAAAAGGAACGGCAATTACTATCTTTGGTCCATTCGCTTCCTGCAAAAATCAACTTCTCCTAGAGCCGCCATCTAGTGAGATGTTTTTTTGTGCTTTCTTTTTTTTTAATACTACCTCATTACATTATATACCTATTATGCTCACTGTTATTTATCTCTTTGGTCACTTAATGAAATGATATATTGTATAGAAGCTCGGTAATAGTAGTTTATGCAACTGTCTTAGAAGAAGGGGTATTAACACACGAGAGTCTGTTTATATATATAATGGGCCGACTCGAGTGTTTTAATACACAAGTTATATGCAGTTTCGTATACTACTTTATATTCACTCACAGAATAATTGAAATTAAACAGAGTAGGTTACAAGGATAGTAGTTTATGCGTGCGCCATTTTTTCATATTCAACCTAAAACCAAAGACTAGTTTAATGAATAAAAAAAAGATAGCGGTACTATAATGAGTTTTATTTTTGATTTTATGTATATGCGTTCATAAAGTGCGTACGTATAGAGTCGTCTTTGAAATTTTCGATTTGAGTGTATATATAGTTGTGTATATAGTTGTAGCATCACTGACCGCACAGGTCTTGCCGCATATCTCGCAGACGACGGCGCCGTGCGCCAGCGGCTGTGCCGCGGCGTTCTGGTCGTCCTCCCCCTGCGGCGCGATCACCACCCCTTCCTCGCCCACCACCACCCCCCACCGCCGCAGCGACGTCAGACGACGGCTCTTCTTCGGAACGTGAGCGCGTTGGTAATGTATGGAATATTCGCGGCCGCTCGCGAACGTTCGATTACACTGTTCGAACATATCATTATTGAAATACTCAAATGTTTATTGCGAAACCATAGTTACAAAATAATAATATCAATATCATATTATGGACCCTGTCGGGCACAGCAACACTTTAGAGAGAGGAGGACTTCATATATTTCTTTTTCAATATGATCTCATTAGAGCAACGTAGACGGATGTACAATTTGCGCACTTTGCACAAAATAGCTAATGGGTTATCTGATAGTAGTCTGCTGGGAAAACTCTATTCGGGTGCCGACTCGGTCTGCGCTTTCGCAGCGATTGTTTTCTGTACCCCCTTCTAAAAATAATGTCTCACAAAATAACCCTCTTAACAGAATATGTACTCATTACAACGAAATCTATTCCAGTTGTGATATTTTTAATTGTAGTGTTCCCACATTTAATAAACTTTTATATGAGCTGGAACCGATTATGTAATTTAAAATTGATGTTAGTGTTTCGGTTAATGACAGTAAGTACTTAATCATAGTTACTAATTTGGTTGCTTTATATATTTTATTTTTTTTTAAATAAAAATTGAATTTATTTTCCTCACAAATACAGGAACATGGTGACATGTTTATTGACTAAACACAATTTACAAAAAGAAGATTGCCTGTCGACTTTGTGAGGAACTGGTGTCTGTAAGGGGCGATAGCCTGAAATACATACAGATCACCAGGACCCACCCCTCGGGAATTATGACTATTTTCGCATTAAATGACGAAGTAACTATTGTGCTAATTTTACTACAAGGAAAATATTGAAAAAAAAAAGAAAAAGTTAAAAAGTGAAACAATCAAGTAGTAAATTTGTGTTTGATTATGTATGTTGAATATTTATGTAAGTGAACAAGTGTGATAGTAAGAAAGTTTCAGTGTGAATGTGTTTTGGTGATATATATGTTGTATTAAAAAAAATATATTAACTGTATTCTAAGTGTCACTTTTCTATTGAAGTGTATTAGAAACAAAAATGAGAGGGAGTCATTTATGAAAGAATTTAAATTAAATGTTTTATATATAGGATTAATACAAAGTATTTTATCAGAACCAAAGTCTATCATTGCACAAAATCTATGTAAATTACTCGTAAATTTAAGATAAGCTGTAGTAAATGCTGTAAAAAATTACCTAGTGAAATATTGTTATCAAATGAATTTAGATTTAAGTATGGTATGATGGGGTTGGCATGTTCTAAAGAATAAAAACCCCTTAAAAATTAAAAGAATAAAAAAAAAGTGTCACTTATTATTAGTTTATAGCAAATGTTGTGCACAATTGTCATTGGGCATAGATATACTTAAGTATTAATTTAATGTTAGATCTGCTGTATGTTTGCTATTCTGTTGTCTGTAATTGTGTCTTAATAAAAAAATAATAATAAAATAAGTGGTCTGGCTATTTAATAATAATCATAATTCTACAAAATCAAAGACAAAAAATTAACATATAAATGTATTACTATTTGTTATTTTTTAATTATGATTTTTTATTTATAAACTTAGCTCGGTGGCGTAGTCGATAAGCGCCACGGCCCGCGATCGTAGTCGTTAAGCAAGGGTCGCTAACGGGATGGGTGACCAAGAAATTATTATCTCGAGCTACTTCGTGCTCCGAAAGGCACGTTAAGCCGTTGGTCCCGGCTGCATTTGTAATCGTTAATACCCTCCAATCCGCATTGGGCCAGCGTGGAGGGTCATGGCCCATCCTCCTTAACCATCCATAGGCCTGAGACCCTGCAGTGGGGACGTAAAGAGGCTGACGACGACGATGTTTATTATCTAAATTCTTAGATTCTTAGTAATTTCGTGATTTTTTTTTTCACTACCGAAACTAATCCTTTCCTTTGTATTCCTTAAGATATATTTCTTCTACATATTACACTCATAACCCCATATTATTTATCTGTTTTCCTCCATAGGTTGCCCGGAAGATATCAAACTGTGCAATTTGTTACTCATCTTGTGCACACATAAAGTATATTATTATTATTAATCTATCTCACTCACCGATTGACAGGGCACCTCCACCTTCTCGTGATTGCCAATCACATGCATCTGCAGTAGCTCCTCACTTTCAAAACTGTCTCCGCACTGTGGACACGGACTCAACTCTAAACACACACCCGATGTCACTTCATAGTGACGTTTCAGCGCACTAGGATTCTTAAACAACTTGTTGCACACCTCACATTTCCTCAATATACCTAAACTCTTGGAATGTCTTGCCAACACATGCACTTTGGACAGTTTCTCATCATTGAAACTCTCACCGCACCGAGCACAAGGAAATTCCGAACACTCTCCGTTATTATGCACAGCCAACGCTTCAGAATTGAGGAAAGCTTCACCGCACTTAGCACATATGAACTCTATAACGTTTGTATGCATCAGGCGTCTGTGTGTCCGCAATCCGGAATCGCTGATGAACGATTCGCCGCAGTATCTGCACCAGACTTCCTCGTTCGGATGGTGGATCCTCAAGTGGGAGAGGTAGGAGGTCTTCCTGTTGAAGATCTTGCTGCACTGTTCACATTCGAAGCGGATGCCCTGGTGTATAAAGTGGTGACTTTTGGCTGTCCAACGTCGGGTTGTGTTGAAGTTGCAGAGTTTACATTGGAACCTGAGATGAATTTTATAAAATTGAAAAATCGACTAAGAGACCACTATTGGTAACAGGAATTAACTAAAACTGTAACTCGATTGATTAATCTATATGTTATATATTATTTATATTTTAAATGGCTTCTCAAAAACCATTTCGAAGACGCTAAGCGTGCAATGAGGAAGTATTAAAAAAAAGAAAGCACTAAAAAGCACCTCCACTAGATGGCGATTCTACCAAAAGTTGATTTTTGCAGGAAACGATTGGACCAATGATTGTCATTTCCGTTCTTTTTAACTAACATATTAAAAAACTGAAATTTGAAACGTTCGAAACTTAGATATCAATACAAATACGAAAAAGTACAAATAGAATATGAGTTGTTTATTGAGTTTTGAAAATTAATCTTTCAAACGTCGAATTGTGATGTGAAAAGTGATTGCGATCAATTTTTGGGTCTGGGGCTAAATATCAGTATATGAATTTAAGTTTAATAATAACAATATACTTGTTATGGGTTTTCCTGTAAACTAGATATAAGTTGTCTAAAGAATAACAGTCAATTATATGTTATTTAAAATTAGCTCTTTTATTTTTTAAAAGGCGTTTGATAATGTGAACCCGTCTGTCTATACTATGTAAAAAACTTAAAAATTCGGTGTAAAAGGAAACTTGTTTAAGAAATTTAGATCAAGTATTATTTGAGAAAATATGACTTCTCTTCAGAGTATTATTATCTCATTGATGTACCTCAGGGTTCACATCTTGGACCTGTCTTTTACACGATTTTATTTTAGACCTTATTAGTTGACCAAGTGAAACTTCAAGGTAATCTAGAATCTAATTGAAATGGTGTCAATAAAACCAATACCATCCTTATGAATGACTCATTAAATAAATCATATATTATAAACAATTGAAAATTGTGACATCATCATCAATTATACCTTTAAACGAGCTATTCCTATAATTTGAATCTCGGAAAAGGCATCAACCATTTTCATAAAATTTAGTATGCTAATAGGATTCATTTATAAAGAAAACCCTCCTGTTTTATATGAAGATACGAAATTATTTAGAAACATTTGTTTGAGTTTTAATTTCTTTGACTTTCTTGTCAAGTATAATACAGTTATTTGATACCACAAGGACTATTTCAATAATATAACAAACATACATACCTGTATTTATGATTGAACATATGGCACGATAGCTTGGTCTTATTGTTGAATCGGGCGGTGCACAAAGCGCACACGTGATCACCGATATCGGGGTGATGCATCGAGTTGTAATGGTTCACGAGTTTCTCATCAGAGAGAAACCCTTTGCCGCATAACTCGCATCTGTACAATTAACGACGAATGCATACATCAGCGTTTTACCATTCATACAATACTATATATAGATCTATACTTTAGATAGATTTGTATTTATATTTAGCTATATTTTGCTCAAGTACAGTTCCTTATGTTAAATTGAATGTTCCTAAATGTTAAATTCTTTATGTTTATTCAAGTTACTAACGTTAAATTCAAAATTCCTGATGTTAAGTTAGAAGTTCCTATGTAAATTTTAAAAGTTGTACCTACTGTTCTTGTTTAAGATTAATCAAGATCTGTTACTGAACTTAGTCTGTTAAAATAAATGATTAGTATTCAATTCTTGTAGCCCACAAATATTTAAATTTTATACGTACAAATATAGATGAAAAAAAAATAAACCTATGCATGTTATGGGAGTATGGCTGCTCCTGGCACAAATGTATTTTACATTTAATAGGGGCATGTCAGCCTCTGACTATTGTTAAAACTCATGCTTAACGAAATAAAGATTTTTCATTTTCATTATAGAAGAATAGATGGAGACTGTGTGAAAGATGATGAGGAAAGAGTGAATATTGCGATGAAGATTGATCGAGAAATATGGAAGAATACAGACGACCATGAATTGGGAAAAGACAAGCAAATGATGTAAGTTTTATTAAATTAATCGTACGAATTTTAAACACAAATTCAGAATACTAATCGCAAGATAAGTGTTATATAATATATTTATTCGCTAACAAAAACACCTTATTTTTTAAGACTAAGAACCTTAATTAGTCTGCAGGATCATAGAAAAAATGGAGCCTTGATTGAAAAATATAAAATCATGACTATACCATTGTGAAGAAATAATTCAAGTTTTTGAGAACACAGTTTGATTGAAGTTTACTAAAAAATGCAACTACCAACTTAAGGTTTTTTTTAAGTAATACTAGTGGTCGATACCTGGAATAAATTGCCATGCAATATAATTGCAGCTACATTCCCTCCCATTTAACCTAAACACTACTTTGGAAAATATTACGCTTTGAAAACATGAAAAGAGCAAGGAAAACAAATTACAATAATTTGCTAATATAAATATGGCTTTAAATTGGTTACGTAAAACTTAACAACTTTCATTACAACATCTATAAACATAAACGCACAAATAACAAAGACATTACAAACATTGCCCACTTTACACATTACGTTTTTCGCTAGTGTTGCACTGTGACGTCACTTTGTGCCATCAATGTGTAAGGATCGTTTTCGGCCGCCAAACACAGCGCCGTATCTCCGAAACAATTAATCGCAGACATGCTTTTATTCTACTTTATTTCTCAGATATTAACGAACTATTTATTTATAAAATAGAGAAAAAAATGTCAAAAAGCTGGCATAGAGCAATGTGGTTGCAAAATTGATCAAATATCAAATAATACTCTGTTAATAAATACCTGTGATTCGACTTCAGATAGTTGGAAGACAGCTTCCTACTCTGCACCTCCAATTCTTGCTGCTCAGGCGTCAAACAAGTTACCTCCATATTGTATTCCTTCTCATAAACATCAGGTCTGAACATGCTCCTCGACTGTGAGAAATCTAAATATTCTACTGCATACTCTCCATCGTCTACATCATCACAATTCTCATCATCCTCCTGTTCATCAGCGTCTTCTTGACAATCGACTTCTTGCATATCGGCTTCGTACAAAACACCATCTACTAATACATCAGATTTATTTGGAATATTATCTAACAGGGTATCTTTACGAGAAAAATTCTAAAAACATACAGTAGGAATGAAGAGTATTTTTGTTTGTTTGTCCGTCAGGTAAATTTATTGAATACTAAATACGATACATTGAGTTGAAATGTCGCATGACGTTACGCTTTGGTACATTTACTACAAAACTGTGACGTAGCGAGCCCCCACGCCTGTTACCTAAGCCATTTCTTGATTAAATTGAAGCAAAAAATATGTATCTGATATGTCTCTATTATCTGACTGACAGACTAAATAGAATTCATTTTTTTTTACCCAGTAGTCATCCCTATTGAGATAGCTTAAGCAATAAGTAGTCTGAAAATGTTAGGTTCAACTCAGAAAAATAAAGAAATTAACTTTTAATATTCAAATCAAAGTTCTCAAATCTTAAGTCTGTGTTTTTATTACACGAATCAGTAGCGGCCATGATATGACGTCATTGGGTGTGTAAACAAACAAGAAAAATAAGTTTAGAGGTTATTTTTTTAAATATTATGATGACGATATAAAGAAAATGTATTTTTTATTAAAATAATACCACGGAACAGAGTCTTGTAAAGGGATATCGCACAAATTTTCCAATAGTAAACACTTAAGAGCTCGATTTTTGTTCTTTTCTATTACGGTGGCGTAGTGTATAAGCGTCGCGACCACGCAATCTTTGTTGTTAAGCAACTTTCGCAAAGGTCGGTCACGGGATGGGTGACCGGAAAATTAGTATCTTTCGCTACTTCACGCTTCGGAAGGCATGTTAAGCCGTCGGTCCCGGCTGCATTTGCAGTCGTTAATACCATAAGGAAGGCCTGACCCCCTGCAAAGAGGACGTAGGAGGGCTAAATTAAATAAAAATCAATAAATATACTTGGATATTGATCCCGGCCAGGGTAATACTTAATGAGCAATTAATATACTAACCAGATTCTTCCATTACATTATCTTCAATTACATTATCTTCAATTACATTATCTTCAACTTGCTCCTGTTTCATTTCCATTGGAACATCTTCCATCTCGGTCTCTACACATTCCTCTCCTTCTACCTTCACGTTGACCCCTTCAGATGTCATTTCCTCATCGAATTCCTCGCTACCCATCAATATAGGGTCGGATATTGACAGATTCATATTTAGATTGTAGTACGGACGATCTATCGACTTGACGAAATTAGTCTTCAACTAAAACAGGCAAACTATATGTTTTCGCGCGACTTTGTCCGCGTATGAGCTTCCAGTAGGTGAGAGTATTATCAAAACTGGTCCAGTGTTCAAATTCAAAATCATTTATTCAGTTTAGGATGTTACAATCACTTGTGAAAGTCTTATAACTACACCATCATCATCATCAGCCGGAAGACGTCCACTGCTGAACATAGGCCTCCCCTTTTGAACGCCACGACGGACGACATTGCGCCAGCTGCATCCAGCGGCCGCCCGCGACTCGGACGATGTCGTCCGTCCATCTAGTCGGGGGTCGCAGCGTGGGTCGACCCCCGATAACTACACCATCAGTTCGCAAATCTACGAAGACTGACCGAGAAGAACCGGCAAGAAACTCAGCCAGGGCTGATATTTTAATTAGTTGCTAGTAGTTTTTGAGCATATTCAATGCAAACAAACAACCAAATCTTTCCTTTTTATATTATTGTTAGAAAACAAAAAGGGCATTAAGAGTTTTGACGCAAAAGCAAAAGAGGAAACGATATAGACCAAACAAGAAAAGTAAGAATCGCTTGAATAATTCATCATTTCCGTTAGTTCCCGGGTAGCTCAATGGTCAGAGCACTCGCCCGGATTGCGTTAGGTCGTGGATTCAGAGTGCCTGAGGCTGGTGGAATTTTCAAGCATATTTCATAAATCATATCATAAATTGGGATTTGGGGCTCCGTAGACAAACCTTATTAGATACATCCTATTAATATTATAAATGTGAAAATTTCTTTGTTTGGATGTTTGCCGGTCAATCACGCCGAAACTACTGAACGGATTTTGATGAAATTTGGTATACAGATAGGGTGTTAGCTGACTTAGATAATAGGATACTTTTTATCCCACCTAACATTTCCCTAGGGTCCACGCGGGCGAAGCCACTGGCGAAAGCTAGTATTATAATACAGTACATAATTTAAAGAGGGGGGAGGAGGTTATATGCGCAATATCAAGTTTCTGCCCCGGTTACCATACCGCTCCGGGCCTCTGATGGGTTTTTTTTAATTTCCCCAATCGCTACTGTACAGTCCACACTCACCATGTCGACACTCCTCAGCTTCTGCACGAGCGCGTCCGCTCGTCTACATCTCTCCCTGAACTCTATACACTTCATCAACAGCGTTGCGCAACACGCGCATATGAACATACGATCATTATCACTATCCGATATCTATAGACAATAAAGTAGCATATCATTTTATTTAGTTATTATTTTATGTACTACTCTCTCTCTTACTCAGTGGTATCACCTTCATGGAGATGAGGCAACCCATAAAAGTGATACTACCCGCTATATAAACCATTGCAAATCGCATCCGTGCTTCCATATTCACTGTAATAGTGGTTGTGCCCTTCAAGTAAATAAGATGTCTCTGTTTTATGTTCGGAAAATATGAACCTTTATGATACTACTTCGGAAAATATTACGCTTTGAAAATATGAAAAAACTTACATAAAATTAAAATTAGTTATATAAAACGTCACAACTTTCAATATAACAGATATAAACATAAACGCTCAAATAACAAACATGTAACAAAGATTGCCCATACGTTTTAAATTACGGTTATACACGGTTTGGTCAAAGTAACTTTACAACGCGGACGAAGTCGCGGGCAAAAGCTAGTTTTCTATAAAGTAGCTAAGCACAGTATCTCACCTTACACCCAACGAAATCTTCAATGGCGTCCTTCAAATTGGCTTTCTCCAAGTCATACAATTTAACTTCCGTAGCTAAACAACAGCGACAAGCCAACAACTCTACAAGAGGAGAGAATAATAAAAAAACAAATAACCTAGAGCACAATGCCACATTGAAAAATATTCTTAATTAAAAATGCTAAAAAAATCACTTTTAAGTTTTTTTTTAATCACTGTGAATGCAAAATCGTAAGTATATAATAATTAGAAAAAAATAATCATCTTTATCGAAAGTTTAAACATTTGTAAAAATATTCCTTTCGGCTGTTTGGGTGGATCTAGATGACGTCACGCTTTTGTATATTTTCTAAAAAATTGTGACGTATCGAGCCCCCACTACTTAGCTTTAATGCCTGTTATCTAAGCTATTTCTTATTAAATCGAAGTAAACAAAAGTATCTAATCTGACTGACGGACTAAATAGAATGTCTTATTTTTTTGCCCAGTTGTTATCCCTATTCATGAGTCACTAACTTGTAATTAAGGATTTAAGGTCACCATAATTTTAAATGTGAATTTCTATTAATATATCAAAAGCTTAAAAAAAATATCAGTACCGGTTAACAGAGCAAAATATCGGTTAATTTTATACAATACCGGTTTTGAGTTGTCTGACGATGAAATTGCCCTCCTGCTGTTCGTTTACAGTGTAAACCGTCGATTCACTATTAACTTCAGTTGAATAATCTTCGACATCTTCCTCTGGAACAAAGAAATATTCGAATGAATGAAAATGAGTCTATAGCCACATCCCTTGCGGGGTGGGCAGAGGGGAGCGAACGCCACAATGTACCGTCCTTATATACATCTTTCGTCCACTTTCATTACTCATTTCATAGAAACTCGTCGATTTTTATAGCTTCTGACATCAACTTCTGAGAACACTCGATTGATTTGATTGTGAAAGATGTGCCTTGGTCCCCAGGCTTCTGCATCCTTCCAATTTTTGCGTCGTATATTCAGTATTGTCATTCTTTCATCCAACTGACAAGGGGTGGGGGGTTAATCTTCAAAAATACTGATCCGATCATGATAATTCTATTGCCTACGGAAAGCTACAGCGTGCGCGGAAGATAGAATATAATTTATGCATAATAAATATCACACCCTGGCTGTAACAAGCAACGACTCACACATCATCTATTCTCATAATAATTGGCTATGTGAAATATTCACCCGCTAGGCGGCGCTAGGATATTTTGTAGTTAAAGTATCAAATCAACCAAAACTGTGTAATATTTATGAAAAATAATTAAAAAATGAAGTGAGAAAAAGAACTGTAAAACAAGACAGGAAAAATATTTTTTTTTTTCAGTATGTACTTGTTCCGTTATACACGGAAATTTTGCCAACATCCCGTAGTGAGAGAGACACGTGATTTAAGAGACTGAACAATAGTTATAATTAAATATGTACGGTAATTAATCAATTCTTCCTTGAGATTGTTCTTTCTCTACTAAAAAAAAAAACAAGACAAACCTTTAGATATAAAATTACAAAAAAAAAAAATTATCAAATGACAGCTGTCAAAACTGTAACTAGCACCGTCCACGCATTTTTAGCCTGCCAGATTAATTACACTTATACAATAATTAAACACTTACCTATATCTTCTAGCACTTCATTAACCGTTTCGCGTTCTACAACAATAGAAAAGACAAATCTACATAATGTACCGGGAAATAGAAAAAAATAGGAACCGGGATAATATTGATTATTGAAAAAAAAAATCTTATAAGATACACGTAAATATGTGAATCATAGCAGTGTAACTTCAAAGTAATAATATATTAACTTCGCTACTTCTGGGGTTCAGGCCTTCCCTATGGACTGTATCGGATCGAATAGGGAGAATGGGCCGTGACTACTCGGTCCCAGTGAGGATTGGCGAGTGTAAATAACAAATGTAGCTGAGACCAATGGCTCGAGCCTTCAGAAGAACAGAGAAGAAAATTTTACCATAGAAAATTTTTAGTCAACCATCTTATGATCGCCCCTAGCGAAAGATGCTTTAATACCGTATCCTGAAACGATCTTCAAGTAACTTTTACCGAAGTCCGAACTTTAACCGAAGAAGAAAAATTTTCTATCTTGAGTTCCTCCGTTCTTCAGACGGCACGAGCCGTTCGTTCTGGCTGCATCTATAAGTGTAAGCCAACAATTCGAACTGGACTCGCGTGGTGTGTTATGGTTGGTTAGGTTAGATTATGTTTAGGTTAGGTTAGATTCATATACTGGGAATAGCGACAAAGTTATTAGAAACTATTTGAAGGAATATTATTCTTGGGAAAGATAAATATTTAGAAAATGAAACCACCAGTTTTTTTATCACTTTTTATTCTATACGTATCATCGGTATTTTTATATTACAATATTATTCACAGTTATAATGATGTATAATAAAAATCAGTCCAGTCGTTCTCGAGTTACATAGTTAAACTAACGCAGTTTTCATAAAAGACAACCCATGATCTATGACGATAATGTTAAACCTTCGGTCCCGGCCGCGTTAGCATTCGTTAACAGCCACCAATCCGCATTGGGCCCGTGCGGTGGGCACACATTCTACTTATTCGATTCCACCCATTGTACGGAAGAGGTTCGGTCCAACATTGGGGACATTAACCGGTGAGGTTGATATATCTGATTACTCACGAGGTAGATGCAATGTGGGTAGTGCGATTTTATTTAATCTACTGCTGTTTGTACTCTTTGATGACTCAGTGAAATGTATATCGCAGACAGATCTATTTTTATATATATAATCGCTCGTCATTCCCTCTAGGGATTCCCCCACCAAATCAACCCACACCCTGAACATATCCGGGTTGTTTAATGGATGTGGAAATTTGTGTATAGTAACACCTGAAAATTTAAAATAGATATATCATTATAATAGCGATGATCGCTAAATTTTGTTCGTTTGTTCGTCAGGTAGATTATTGAATAATACTAAGCACGTATTTGTTTTTTTTTGTTGAAAACTAACACCGAAAGTTCTAAGCTGGCAACATTGATAGCAAATATATCATAACAATAGCTCATAACTAGCAAAAACACTATAATGAGCATGCTATTGATAATGTAATAAATAAAAATTGGTATTGATTTACATTACTAATGATTACACCCCCTCGCTTAAGGAGTACAGTAGCGTTTATTAAAATAAAATAAAAGCTATTTCACTGAAAAACCGGCAAACCGGTAAAAAATAAAAAGTGCACAACAGACTGGCGACGCATCGAGTGTTGAAATTATAAAAATAAAGATCGTCACAAACAAGAGAGACAAATGAACCAAAAATAAAAATAAAGTATTATTAAAACTATTTTCTGCTTTTTTATTACTTAAGCTGATTAGTATTGGAACAAAGCGTCGTGGGGAAATCAATCTTATGTAAGTCTAAATTCATAAATAACTTAACGACTTAGAACTCTTAAGCGCTTAGTGTAAGTTTTTTTGACATTTACTTTAATCGTCGATCGTGAGTGCGTTAAGGTTACTATGGAAACCAGTTTTACCTAATTTTAGTATAGAATTTGTGTTTGCATACGGAACCTGTAAAGGGTCCGAAACGTCAATAAAACTAAATACAAACGCGATGGAACCATTTTAAAATTGTTTCATTTATGGATAGTGCGCGTGAAAATATAAGAAATCGGTACGAAAAAACATATATTCATAAAAGCTGTAACGGTGTGCCATGCCACCGTTTGTTTTCCTAGGTTTCAGTATGCAAACTTTTTGTTTTTGAAATTCAACATCATTTCATTTTATTACTCGTCTTTCGTAATTTAAAATTTTGACTAATCAATTATACTCTTTATGGATGTCAGTTCGTAAGAAATTCTCCTATGCACAAGATGAAATTATAATACAATACAATATTAATGGTATAAATTTTACTATGTAATTTTAAAATAATTCATTTATTGTGATAAATAATGTGATATGGTGATAAATAATGTGTAATCTGTATTTTGGACGTTCCAAAAGTTAACTAGAAGCCCGACAAGGGTTTTTTTTTATTACCCTTATTTAACTAATAAATATATACTCAAGCTAAGCAGCCTTATTAATTGACCCAAGCACCGAACCCGTAACAAAGCTTACTATGGCCTCTTTTGATTTTCAAAGTTGCTCACCTAAAAAAATTAAACCTTTGATTGCGATTACTCAAAAGTATCCTAAACAAAGTTATTGCACTCTTCATAAGAACGACAGACAAATTTCCATTTCCATTTGTCTGTCCTTCAGGTAGTGTATAAACGAATATAAAACATGTCATTTTTTTGCGTAATCAAAAATAATGACTATACATACATTAAGTTGATATGTCGCTAGACGTCACATCTTTGTACGTAGTTGTGACGTAGCGAACCCCCACTTCTCAACTTCAATGCCTTTTAATATAATACTTATAAAATAAAGAAAAAAAAACGCATATAATACTTTTTTATCATCTGACTAAAAAAATAAATAAAAAAGGTTTATTTTAATCATCACCGCTTGAATGTGAAAAAAACCAAGTTTGTTATTTGAAATAAAAGACGACACCAGTACAAAGGCAGTCGACAATGTACTGTTAAAACAGGTGAATAAATTAGTATATATTTGTGATGGAAGAATCAAAGGAATTACATAGAAAGGAGAGTGGGTCCTGGAAAGTGTAAGTAGTGTTGGGAAAACTTATCGGCGATAAAACTGTAAGAAAAAAACGCAGGCTCGCACGGTGTAATAGCACGGTGCCGATCCAAACGCTAATGTACGATTTGGGTATTTTTGAGAGAGCATGCAGGTACAATAAACTCAACCGAGATGCGTTCGTTACGTAGAATTTGGAGAGTAACACTCTTAAAAGGGCATTCTTAAAGAATTGATATTTAAAAAAAAACTAAAGATAGTGTAAACAATTAACGTGATGCATGCATTGTTAAAGTTCCAGAAGCCATAAGCCAGTATAATAGTACAATTACCTGTTGTCACACATCCAAAGGCGCAGCGTTTAATAGAAGGCATTGTGAAGACAATTCACACACTCAAACGATGAGGTACAATTTCAGAACACTTGATTGACATCGTCCAATCCCATAATTTTGATTAGTTTCGTCCAAACGACAACACTCGACAATAGTGTTTATTAACGCAATCTTGATTAAGATCTTTCAATTTTATAACACTTAAAATATGTATTATACCGCTATCTTGATTGATAATGTCCGATACAAATATATTGATAATTATAATCGTCCAATTTCACAACACTTGACAAAAAGTCCAATGCAACTATTGTTTAATATACTCCAGTGTCACTGTATTTGATCAATATCGTCCAACATCAGTGAACTTAACCAATAGCGTCCAACAGTCGTAATACTTGACAATTACTGTCCAAAATCACTACACTTGAATGAAATCGTCCAAACTATCGCGCGTTTGCTTGTACTTGTGTAGAAAGTTCGACACGGCGTTATCAAATGCTTCGTACAACTGAATAGTAAAAACAGAATCAGTCGTAATATCTAAAGAGCGAGCAAAATTGATTATATTATTTCGTTGGTTATATACATAGATTGGAGAAATGTTTACATGTCATATAGGGCGTCATATTATATACTTTTATTAATATGCAATGCAATGTCCTGAGAAGCTCAATGGTAGGAGCAGTCGGCCAGATTGCAAAAGGTCAAAGGTCATAAGCCATCTCAGAGTGCCGGGGACAAAGTGAATGTTTTTTGCATTTTTCATTAAGGATGCATATTTTTATGTATATTTTCGATCTTGTATAAAAGTATATAAAAGCTTTTAAAGGTAAGGATAAAAATGTTTTCAACTGTACTACGCTTCCTAAAATATAAATTTGATAAGGCGCAAACAAAAAAAAATGTCTCAAATAACATTATCACTTACTTGGTTCAGTGTATGCGAATGTAGACCGCACCGGTTTCATACTGATGGACTCATCTGGCTTTTCTTTTTCTGAAACAAAAGTAAGTCTATAATAAAAACTCGATAAAGCACATCGTTACAAGCGCAGCGTTATCAATGAATTAGTTTAATAGTTAAGTTCATCTACTGACTAAAATGAAATTTTAATTTATTGATTATTAGGCCTGGATCTAAGGGGGGGTGGGGATCACTTGCCCGGGCGCCAAAATAATCATTGTATTATACTTATTTACCGTTATAAAAAGAATGAGCTTTACAAATTCGCTTTATAGGCTACACCTAAAAATATGATAATATAAAGTCGGGCTTCACAGAGCGTGGGAGGGGGGGGGGGGGGGGGAAGGTAGTGGAAGATCGCCTTACGAAGTTCCTGCTCCAGAAAAAAAAATTGTTACTTCGGGCCTGATTATTGTTTATTGGTTTTAATATATTGTTTGTTTTGTAATAAAGCGGTTATGGTCACAGAACAATATACTCTAAAAATAAAGGAAAATTTTCCTCAACGTCTAACGCCATCTATAAAGTTACCGCGCAAACTACGTAGCTAAATTAGCTATGGCGGGAAATTCAAACTGGCCATAATAGGCTCCTTTTTTTGTGACAGTTCGTGCCGAACTTCTAGCAAGCCTTGAAGTTATTTCAAACAGCAGCGGCACGGTCATAGATTTTTAATTCGCTAGAATTCCATGTTCATGGAGTACCATACACTTGCTCGAAACAACTTCAGAGCGCGGCATAAATTTGGTACTACTTTTATACTTTACGCTTAATAAATTAATCTAGAAATAGGGTCTGTTTATACATAAATTCCATATAACAAATAGTAAAAAAACGATTATTTATTTAATTTCTTTTATTCATTACAACTATAGTAGCGTTAACATGAAAGACAGCGTTAACAAGAAAATACATTTTTATAAATTTAATTTCAAACAAGAATAGGCTACTTTTGATCGAAACAGACAGAGTGACACCTTCATACAAAGCTCCCCACTATACCATCACACCAGTCGGACGATGTGCGCGCGAGACATTCTATGCAGAAGGACATCCTTGCTACTTTTAATGCATTCGATTGTTTTGTTGGTTGAAATTTTCTTCCCACAGTTAAAATTTTCTCATAGGTGAAGTGTATCTTCCTGGCATCATGTCTCCTCAGCAGCAATGGATTTGTTCTTCTCTAAAAAAAAAATCTCTTTAAAATCCCAAAGCTTTTTGTTGAATCCCATCGATGACCCAAACTGAGGTGCTTATTAACTTGACATTGTGAGGTCAAAGATGTTAAATCAACATAAGTAATTTTATTAAGTAATAAACCACATTTTTAGAAAATTAATGTTTCACATAAGATGAATTTCATCATATGTGAAAAGTTTTTGTTCCTAACCTACCTGTTTTACGTTAATTACAGTATTATCATTTGCACAGCAGGTTATACAAACTGTCAAAATTATCCACTTGAACTTTTAAACCTTAAGACCTTAGGTAGTTTCGTGAAATTGATTGTGAAAATTTGTTGTTTGTTTTTATTTCTAATATTTCTTTAATCGTATATAGAATATAAATTATTTATTTTTCAAGTGTTTCAACTTTTGCAGCTTATAAATCTTATTTATATTATTTTTCATTTTCCTCATCAAAAGTTTGTTATTTTTTTCTGCTGTCAGTAAAGACTTTGATTCCTTTAAATTTTTTTCTGTACTCGTTTGATTGGCTTCTGTTTGTAATGTGACATAAGATGGATTTATAATGTTTACCTAAAGGTCTTACAATTCTTGATGAACCAGTAACAGGTTGAACTGTGGATGGGCGAAAATCAGGCACAAACATAGAAAGTGCTCCAGTAAGCCTTACATCAGAAATAGATGAGTTCTGAAAATAAATCACAATTTATTATAAATATTAAATATTTCAGTTACTTATGTAATACAGTTGATATTTATTAATCCAACCCTATCATATCAGACATCAGGTACAGCGGTTCTAAACAATTTCTTCTCTAAAAAACAGTTGGGTTGAAAATGTTTACTACAAAGCACTTTATGTTTGGCATAAAGATCATGTTGAAAATTAGGCGAAGACCAGTCTCGTTCTGGATAACAATACCTTGCCCATAATTCACAACTGGAAAAAATAAAACAATAATCATTGTATAAGAGAAGGCAGTCAGGCATGGCATCATGTTTAGAATATATGTGCAATTCTTTACTGATCTGACTCGGTGAAAATGTAAAACTGGTTTCTATTGTAATTTTTTTAAATCTTATATGATGCTTTATTCCGTGGACTCAATTGCATTAAGCATGTGTATAGAACAGACTAATATAATAATGTGAAAATAGTACACACCGCACACCTAGATCTAAATTGAGACAACTCAAAAATTTGAGTGAGTTTTGACTTAGTACAATATTCAAATACTCGGTGATCATACGCATCTATCCAACATAACAGATTCAATAAATGTTCAGGGATGAGCCGCTAGATAACTTTAGCTTTCTTTTGTTGAATCATTAGCGGTCGCGCTCCTGCCATGTAAACAAATGTATTGTCAGACCTCCACATTCATTTTTGAGTTGAAGTTTAGATTTAGGTGTGCGATATATTTGTTTGGATAGTTCAAAATGTCCTAAGTCTGAACAAAGAAAGTATGAAGGAGAATCTATTTGATTTTAAGTGTATTTTAGAACTTAAAGTGTTATTTTGTCTTGTCGTGGCTTAAGAATTATTTTTATCAGGTCATTTCTAAATACATTCGTAACGCGATTACTTGGTACTATCTGCTCTTGAATCTATCTGAGAATCGATAATCCAAATGAAGCATTACTTGATTCCAATCTTTGCACTGATTTAGATTTAGAAAGACACGTATTTCGCAGTACTATTCATTTTTAAAAAGAAGCATTTTCTACTTCCATTCTGTGGTCAAAAACATAGGTTGTGTATTTTATACGTACCGTAGACTATTCCTAGGGCCAGGTCTTGGAAAGCGATGCAAAGTGATGTTGGGATCCTTAATAGGTTGTAATCCACATACACAACAAATTCTAGTGTTTTCTTTTCCCGAACTCATCGTGAAACAATTTAAAATCTACAAAAGTCACAGTCTCGTTCACAATTCCACTCACAAAACACTGTATCACCAAAACACTACAACGGAGGAACAAATGCTAAACTCGACTTTTTGCTGGAAATTACGAAACCCCAACTGATAACGTACACAAAGCCAAAGAGTAGTATTATATTAGGGGAAAGAGAACACTCTTTTGGAAATTTTATGCCAACTCTTTGAAAGCAGCGCCTCTAGCGCCCTGATCCCGAACTAATTCTTTATGTGTGCGTGCGTATGTTTGTGTACGTATAAGAGTGTATACTATTTATACCTAATACTTTTACTGTTTTGATCTATTAGATTTTAGCATCTTTGCTTTGTATTGTTTTTATGACCAGGAAATAATCATAATAAAAGAAATACAAACTATAACAATTTGCTAAAATCTAATAGAGCATAATAGGGATGATGACTGGGTAAAAAAAATGCAATTCTATTTAGTCCGTCAGTCAGATAATAGAAAAATATTAGATACGTATTTCTTTTTACTTCAAATTAACAATAAATAGCTTAGATAACAGGCATTAAAGTTGAGGAGTGGGGGCTCGCTACGTCACAGTTGAGTAGAAAACGTACTCTAACGTGACGTCATGCGACATTTCAACTCAATGTAACGCCGTAATTTTATGATTACGAAAAAAATACGTGTTTAATATTTTTTAACACTCTACCTGACGGACAAACAAACAAAAATTAGTCATCATCCCTATTGTTCATATTTGAATAAATAGAACACCAAAAAATATATTTATAAAAACCACAACGATTTGAATTTAGTATTTTATTGTTGTAAAATACATGTACATTTAAAATTGATTGACAGATGATATGATAATAGATATTATAATCAGACAAAACTTCGAAGTACATAGTTAAACATTCATATTTAAATAAACTAAAGTACCTTCCTGATTAATTGTTATTGGTTAACGATATATCCTTATTTATAAATAATGGAAATATTAGAACTATATTTAATATAAATAAGTGAATGCTTAACAACACTTCACAGTTTTATAAATTTGTATAATCAGTCAAAGTATCTTTCAATAGAATCTGACAATTTACAAACAAGTATGACTTGCGCACTTTGTTTAATTTCCTAGGAAAGAGAATTATTGTGTATTCTAATTGCTATTATTGAAACTTCCTTTAAACCGATATATTAAATTGCTATGTTTACTAAATAAGGTTATATTTTCTATTTTTCAAGTGTTTAAATTTATTATAATAAATTTAGGCAGATTGTTTAACTTCGTCTTCACCATGATATCGCACCCCCGGTGCGACACTGTCACTTTTGCAAAAAATACAAAAATTAGTTAAATATGTAATAATTGTCCTAAAGCCCCCTTTACTTGGTGCGATAATGTTACTTTTGTCTCATCTGTATCTTCTAAAGTCATTGTTTTGTGAGGTGACAGAGTTTAAAACTCTTCTCCTGAAAAACTAAATTTTTGCATAAGTGACAGTGTCGCACCGGGAGTGCGATATGTTAATTTACCTGCTGAAATTCTTTTGACTGATCTAGTCCAACTGTACAAAATGACGTTTATTGATGTATTTAGAAAATATTCCTTCAACTCATTCTTATGGGCCATACAATCAAAAGGGCAATTTAACAGTAAATCTTGATATAACAAGATCGACTGTTTAACATATTTTTTTGGCACATCTTTTTTTAATACAGAAACTGTTACATTGTGGATTGCAATAGTTTTCTAATGGTTTACTGGGGTAACAATATAATGAAACATGTTGCGACTTACCAGGTAAATAAAGGCAGGGAACTGCGATAGCACTTAAACGATGACAGCTGGTTTTATGTTCATCTTTGAAGTGAATATCACATAATCTCTTCTTTTTGTAATATTCATAGTCAGCTGGAGTTTCAAGATTTCCTCCTACAATACGGACCAATTCGCGAAAACGTTCAGGAAATTTGGTTGGATTTGGGAAAATGTGTACTATTGTACCTGTAAAATAATAAAGACCAATATTCACTAAAATGACCGTTGTTGAGTTTGTTAAAGTTTTAGCAGTGATTAGCTTGAGGAGCTGTGTTTCGGAAGGCACATTAAGCAGTTCGTTTAGGCTGCATCTGCGGTTATTAATGTCAGATAATGTATGGGATACATTAACCATCTATGGTATACCTTATATATATTTTTTAAGTGTGACAACACTCAATTGTTTCTGCCTCTCTTCCTTTTTACATCGTCATCATGGCCGGGTGCGTAATATATAAAGTATTAATAATTAATGCAATTATACTTGTAGAATGTATATTTTGTTGAATAAACATTTGTACAAGTGAGCTTAGTGCTATTTATTATTTGTGTCTGTCTCCGGTCACTCTTTACAACCTTAATAGGTTATGGGCCCAGCGTGCTTTCTTTGACCGTGAGTTTTATCAACACACTACAACGGCACAAATTGCTTTTAATATTGTTATTCATTTGCATTCTGCACCCGGTCCATCGTCGTCAGATTATAAATATGACTGAAGAAGCGAATAGGAATTTACCGGCGTTTTCATCAAAACCTAGCCACGTCATGGCTACACCTGTGATGGAGAAACTGGATGGCCCTGCGAACTTTCACTCTTGGAAATTTACCATGCAGAATATTTTAATTTTGGAAGGCCTTTGGGATGTTGTTCAGGGGCGCGATGAGGATGTAGTGAATGGGCGACGCGCTCTGGCGCGCATCTGCCTTGGCCTGAAACCTGGCTTGTATCAATATGTCAGAAATGCCAGGACTGCTGCCCAAGCATGGAAGAACTTGACAGATGTTTTCGAAGACAAAGGTCTGTATAGACGCGTTTTGCTGTTAAGGAAATTACATAGGATACAATTGAATGAATTTGACTCTATGAGTAAATATATAGAAGAAGTTACTACATTGGTTCAGCAGCTGCTCGACATTGGAAAATTCATAGAGGACGCTGAAGTTGCTGAAATATTGCTCAGTGGATTATCATCAGACTATGATACCATTGTCTCCAGCTTGGCCGCCGTTACAGTTACAAACCAACTCACAAGCGAGTTAGTAAGGGCAAGACTCTTGCAAGAGTATTCCAGAAAAATGTGTAGTGAAAGTGGATCAGCTTTTATATCTAATAAATTTGGAAATTTTACATGTGATTATTGTGGGAAGAAAGGACATGCAAAAGTCCGTTGTTTCAAATGGAAGCGCGATAATAAATCCAGCCAGGCAGCAACTGCAAGCGTCGATCAGCAGACACATTTAGTTTCAGCGTTACTGACTGTCCCCAATAATGATGGTAATTTTTATTTGGATAGTGGTGCAAGCAATCATATGGTTAACGACAGATCGTTGTTCAGTGAAATGAGTCCTTCTAAAACTTTAATTAAAGTTGCTAATGGTGAAACTTTGACAGGCCAAGGAGTGGGAACTGTTAAGTTGACAATTGATGGTCAGGTGAGTCCATTGTATTTGTCAAATGTGTTGTATGTGCCTCAATTGTCAAGCAATTTAATTTCAATTTCAAAACTGATTGGAAGTGGTCATTTCATTATTTTTAATGATAAAGGCTGCAATATTTATAATAAAATGTCTGGCAACCCAATTGTATGTGTTGCATGTATGAATGGTTTATATTGTTTGTATGTGTCTATTGGTGTGAGGGGTGATGGAATCTCGCCAGGGGAGTACTCTTTGTTCCTGGAAGAAAGCCAGGAATCACCGAGTGCCCCAGTACTGACAAACTTACCAGCAGAATTATGGCACAGACGTCTCGGACATTTGAGTGAAAAAGGTATGATACAGCTTCGGGAAAGTGCATGTGGTATCATGTTTCAGGATGGTCAGCTGAAGAATTGTGGGCCATGTCTGCAGGGGAAGATGTCGGCCGCATCTTATCCTAGTGGACGGGCACATAGGGCTGCTGGGCCACTGGAGTTAATTCATAGTGACGTTTGTGGACCAATGCCGGAGCCAAGTTGGGGTGGCGCAAGATATCTAGTCACCTTCACGGATGACTACACCCGTAAAACTTACGGATATCTTATGAAACAGAAATCTGAGGTAATCAACCATTTTATTACTTTTAAATCACATGTAGAAAATCAATTGGGGTTGCGAATAAAGATTTTGAGAACTGATAATGGTGGAGAATATTTCAGTAATAAGTTTTCTGATTATCTGAAGAGGGAAGGCATTATGCGCCAGACTACCGTGCCCTACTGTCCCCAGCAAAACGGGGTCAGTGAACGTTTGAATCGTACTCTTATGGATAAGGTCAGGTGTATGTTGGTGGAATCTGGGTTGTGCAACCGTTACTGGGGTGAAGCTATAATGACTGCTATTTATCTTAAAAATAGATCACCCACTGTTGCATTGGGAGGTCGTACTCCTGAGCAGATCTGGTCTGGTTCACCTGTGGACCTGTCTCATCTTCGAGTCTTTGGCTGCATTGCCTATTATTTAAATCCATCTCAAAAGCGCACTAAGCTGGATGTGAGGGCGGAAATGGCAGTTTTTATTGGTTATAGTGAAACATGCAAGGGCTACAGATTGTCAAAGCCATCTAACCCGAATAATGTGATAATTTCCCGTAGTGTAGCATTTATAGAAAATAAGTTTTATTGTAATTCACCTGACCAATCGATAAATAACTGTGACGATATCGATAGTTATTATTTTAATTTTTTAAATGATCATTTGCTAAATGATGATAGTGAGAATGATGAAAATACTGATATTGACAATTTTAGTAAAATTGATTCTCAATGTCCAGATGGCGCTAACAAGGAAGAATATTTTAAGAAAAATTTGACAGCACCAGACTGCGTGGAAGAATCAGATGCTGGTGAGAATTTTGAGAGTATAACATCATCCGGCCAGTGTTCTGATGGAGGGGAAGAGTCGTTGCCAGTTGAAACCGAAATGCCTATTCAGTCGACAAGGGTGACACAACGTCCTGCACGTAATGTACGACCACCACAAAGGTATGGTGATTATGATTGTAGTATGTTAGGTTGGCATGTTCTGTGTGAGGAACCGGTTTCATATGATGAAGCTTTATCTTCCGCAAATCGCGATAACTGGCTGC